GTGACTCTGTATCAGCTGCCATAACAGGACTCCACTGAAGTTGTTTTCTTTGACATGATGGGAAAAGAAAAAAAATTCTGAGTTTGTGTACCATTGGATGTACAATGTAAGGCTGAACAAATTACTTGTGTGCAAACTTTCAGACCATTTACCGCAATCTGGTTCTCATTGTAAATATGCATGCAGGAAGACCCAAATCCTGCTTGGAATTGCACAAAAATTGATAAATTAAGAGTACATTGTATATATTTCATTATCTTTTGCATACTTTTTTTTATTTTTAAGTGTCCCATGTAGATACTAGTTTTATGTAGACCAAAGTAGAGCTCCTTTAACCACTAAAGCATCAAAGACCCTAAAAAACAAATTTACATAATATTCATTTATACAAACAAGTCGGCCACCAGTAATGAGAAAAACTTCTGCAACACACAATTTTCCCAAGAAGAAGTTTGTAAGAATGAACAGAAATGTAAGATGCACTTGTTAAATGATTTGATGTAAAAAAAAATAACTACATGTAATACTTCCATCATGAGATGGGAATAAAACCCAGTGAAGAAGATCTAATTATATTGCTAATTAATGTAACAGGCACATGTTGTGCCACAATTCTCAATGATAAAGCACATTTACCTATATTATACCTTGAATTCACCTAGAAATCTCTGCACATGCAGTAACACAGAAACGCCCAGCTATAAAACTATGATCTGTTGTAATTATTCAGCAGAACATACAATATAATTCTTGACAACATTCACACAAACACACATTGTCACATAATTTTATAACTTTATTTACGTGTTCTAAGAATAATGTCTTACATGCTAGGGGGTTTGAGGGATGTTGAACTTTTTTCATTATCCCTCATGTACAGAGTCAATCAAGCTGAATTTGCAAAATTCATGTAATTTTGTTGTGATTACTGCTTCCAAAGGACACTTCATAAAGATTGTATCATTTAAATAAATTGTTTAGAACAAACAAATCTATGAAACAAATACAACATTTAACAAGAATGTCGAACGACACATATACCCCCCTTTCTAGCAATTGACTCACATAATTGGTTATTTTATTACAGAAACTTGCCAAAAATGGGTACATGGAAGTGTTCAATTATGGAAAAATCAACAGAAACCATTTTGACATTTAAGGCCCATGTGACATTGACCTTTGACCTATGACCCCTAAATTGTTAGAGGTCATCTACTACTTATGACCAATAACTAGGTGAAATATGTAGACTTTGTGATGAATACTTTTCAAGATAATCAGCGGAAACCCTTTTGACATTTAAGGCCCCTGTGACCTTGACCTTTGACCTAGTGACCCCAAAATATATAGGTGTCATCTACTAGTTATGACCAATCACTATGTGAAATAAGAAGACTTTGTGATACATACTTTTCAAGATAATCAGCGGAAACCATTTTGACATTTTAAGGTCCCTGTGACCTTGACCTAGTGACCCCAAAATCAATAGGGGTCATCTACTAGTGATGACCAATCACTATGTGAAATATGAAGACTTTGTGATACATACTTTTCAAGATAATCAGCGGAAACCATTTTGACATTTAAGGTCCCTGTGACCTTGACCTTTGACCTAGTGACCCCAAAATCAATAGGGGTTATCTACTAGTGATGACCAATCACTATGTGAAATATGAAGACTTTGTGATATATATATACTTTTCAAGATAATCAGCGGAAACCATTTTGACATTTAAAGCCCCTGTGACCTTGACCTTTGACCTAGTGACCCCAAAATCAATAGGGGTCATCTACTAGTCATGACCAATCACTATGTGAAATATGAAGACTTTGTGATACATACTTTTCAAGATAATCAGCGGAAACCCTTTTGACATTTAAGGCCCCTGTGACCTTGACCTTTGACCTAGTGACACAAAAATCAATAAGGGTCATCTACTAGTGATGACCAATCACTATGTGAAATATGAAGACTTTGTGATAAATACTTTTCAAGATAATCAGCGGAAACCATGTGGTCTACCGACGGACAGACCGACGGACCGACAGACAGACCGACAGACAGACCGACATTAGCAAAACAATATACCCCCTCTTCTTCGAAGGGGGGCATAATTATGTTCAAGAGTAATCTTTGGCCCATATCTGAAATTTATGACACAATTATGTTCTTTCAAACAAGGCAAATTCACATTCTAACCCACTGATACATATATGATTTTGGAAAATGCTTACACCAAGTGTTTGATTATTGCACACAAAACATTATAATTGGTACATATAGGTTTAAAACATTGAACCCAGAATCCTCTAGATTTCACACTGTAGACAAAAGTAAACCTGGTTCCCTTAACCCATACCCTGCTGGTACCAGTATTGATTAGCCCTTGTCATCAGTATAGAGCCAGGCCCACCAGCAGCACATTCATGCAGTCTGACCATCTATACTGCTGACCGACTTACAAAATTTTGCGCCACGCAAGTACAGCAGATTAAGGGTTAAACGTTATCCTTTATACAACATTTCTTCCCATATTCCTCACATAAAGAACTAAGACTACCTGATGGTGTTTGGTTTGATTATGTTCAGCCTTATATAGTATGTATTCCTCCGCAAACATTCGATCAGTGAGTTCCTCGATCTTGTGATCTCGGAGAGAGTCCTCGATCTTCTCATGAATACTAGCCATGCTAGAACTTTTACTGCTCTTTTTTAACATTATTCCAGTGATGAGCTGTTCTTACTGTATCATATGTCTAATACTTTAAATCACAATGGTGAAAACATTTTCATGATAACCGATTACCATCTTGTTTTACATGTTACTATCAAGATGTATAAATAACTTCAATTAGTACTTTTAACATAATATTAAATATTGTAAAATTTCTCTATTCTAAACCTTTACTATGGCAGATTTACTTTAATAATGGACCTACCAAACTTTAAACTTGGAACTGTTCATAGTAAATATTAGAATTTCAATATGAAATTGCTACAACTAAGCAGCTAACACTAACAAGTGATGCCAGAATGCATTAAATTACTGTACAAAATATCCATTTCTATAAGTTTTTACACATCTTTTTTTCTATGTGAATCAGTAGAAGGATACTGTCATTACCTATCGAATCATATTATACCCGCATAAGAATTTATGACAGTCTACCTATTTTTTATGGAAATATGTCTATAAAATATTCCTCTTGCACATGTTAAAAGCATTTTATATCCTTGTATACAAGCCAGTTGGCAGTATCTAGAATCATAAATCATATCAACCTTAATTATTTCAAACAAGACAGAGAAAATTTATTAACAACATTAGTATCTTTAAAAATCTGATTTTTTACAATGAATTTTTTATTTCATATATAATAGCTGAATGAGCTATAACAAACTAGGAATAATACATCAATTCAGTATCAAACAAATAATATACCAGAATACACAAAAATTATGGAATTTAAACAATGCATTATTATTTCAAAGTTAATTCATATGGCTAAAACAATAGATTTCTATGTGACCTCAATGGAATATAAATCTAAATTTAACATTCATAAAAAAGATTTATTTTTTTACTGTTTGCAATTCTGACTTCACATTATTTATCATTTTTCACTTCTTTTTCTCTCTTTCTTTCACAACAAAATTCATGTTATCATAACCTATACAAACATTTCAACAAAATACTTTTCAAGAGTTTACTGTAGATAATTACATAAGAGAACAATAGCAAAAATGCTAATAGGAATGTTTCTAATGCCTTTTCAAAACAGTCAGAACAATTTATGGAAGGCTTAATTGATTATCAGAAAATGTAGTAGTAACCATGAAGGTTTTCAACAATGGCCATGGACTGTTTTAAAGCAGATCACTGGAATGTCTATGTATAAAGTTACTATAGATCTATGATATGATTACATGCTAGATTGTTTATCATAGTTTTTTATCATTTAAATGCTTATATTACTAAAGGATTTCATAGTAGGAGCTAATTTTTGAGTAACTTCAAGTGGAGGTTTAAATTGTAACCTGATTTTAAGGTATTCATCACATTCCCCTTTTGTTTCAAAAGTTTACACTAAAACATAGTTAACTCTAGGTACACAGGTATTTACCTGTATAAGAAATATGTGCACATTTGTCAGTCTATGTTAAGTTATAAGACTTCTTTAAAATACACAATTATGCTGACCTTAGTAATTCTAAGGTACTCCCAGTCCAGGATTTCAAAATCACTTGGTACAAAACAAATGTAACACTTTTGCAAATAAAACAAACTTGTACAGGCATCAAAAAGTAGACCATTTTCGCATCCGAAGACTGACTTCTTATCATCATGTCAAATTAAGTTTGAGTTTACATGCATAAATACCATAAATACATTCCAATCTTGAAAATATACCATAATCATATATACCATCAGTTCAAAAATTATGATGTCAATTCATGCAATCCAAAAAACCTCGATATGTGATATATCCACATACCATAATTATAGTTTATAAAAGAACCACCTAACAAGTATAATAACAGACTAATGTGTCTAGGACAGGGAAATATAACATTAAATGCTCTATTATTATCAAAACGTAAAATGACATTTAATAAATAGCATAACAGTAAGTAATACACAATCTAAGCAAATTTCAGCAGTGAAAACTCATTTCTTATTCAATTAACCTAAATTTTGCTACAGGTTTTGTCATATTATCAACTAGCACTGGACTTTATATCACTGATAATCATAATAAACCTCACAGGAACTAACAATTATCATTGAATTACACTGCTGGTACTTAACTTTATGACAAATTATTCTTTCAATTTTTGAAACTCTGCATTACCATCAAGAGTGAAAATTTACAGCAGTGTTCTTATGTGCCCCTGTCTCTGGGATACTTTGAGTGCATCAAAAGCAGGCAAATACTTCAGCAAATTTTCATTCTAGAGTACTGTATATTATTTCATGTTGAAAATACATGAGACTTACCTGATGAAGTTTGTGCACTACTTTTTCCCTCTCACTTTCTAATTCTCTAGTGAGTCTCTCAAACTGTGCTTCCTACAAAAATATGATAAAAATGTTCTCATTACAGATAAGATATACATGTAAGTAATGATATATCTACAAATGTTCAATGCCTTTCTATTTACTAATTGAAAATTCTAGACATTATCTGTCATTATAAATTGACTCCCAGAATCACATAGACAATACAGATAGTTCTTCCAGTAATGATACATTAACATGATAAATTTAACACTTTTATCTGTTAACCACAGTTATTCATACTTATCTTTATGAAAATTGAGAGACAGTTTTAAATTGTTCAAAAATTTTGTCAAGCTAATAAATAAAGAAGCTAACACAAGACACAATGCATATTAACAAAATGTGTGGCGACTTTTGCTAGAATGAACCTTTCATATTAAGGAACAGTGATAAAAAAAGTAAATGCAGTCATATCACATGTATTGTGAATATTTACAAATTTCTTGAACATTTAAAACATTTTTTCTATAATTTGATACATTGAAATTTGTTCACACATCTGTGGGCCTGTTGCTCCAAGATTAACACCACACCAAATATATGGTCTTGTCCATCTTTCTGTCTGATATAAATCATTCATCATTTTTAGAGAAAATTTCTTAAATATTTACTGACTAAGTAGAGAACAGTGCAGACCATGGTCAGATGGCATAGCTGATCTTGATCTGCACAGGTTGTATGTGTAAATACATTTGCCACCAGCAGGCTAAATGCTTATTATGAAACATGTTGACTAACTTATTTCAACCACTTCTGACTTATTGTTCCTGAAAAGAGTCAATGTAAGTGTGCTTCTGCATAAGACTCCATTTTAATTGAAACTAGAATCTGTCAATAGGACATGGATGCTCCTGTAATAAAGGCTTTGCGTCTGCAAATATTTAGTGTTGTTTTATTAATGATATCATTCACTTTTGATTTCAGACCATCTATATGAACTATAAAATATGGAAAATTTTGTTTATATATCATGACCTGGGTTTTGCTGGTATGTGAACACTTCTATAGCAACTTTCAAAATGGTAACAATTATATACAAATTAAAATGGCAAAAATGGCCAAGTTCAGCAGCACACACTTGAAATTACTATAGCTGATCCAGTACCAATTATTAAACTATTAACACACCTGTTCTCTTACTGTCCTCAATATGTCTGTTGTGTTATGGCTTGCATCTGCTGTGTAAGCATATGGCTTGCTAGAGACATTGCTGTTTTTATACTGGACACCTGGGGGCATATTCTACATTGGCATTCCGTTTATAGAATACTATTTTAGTTCATGGACAACTGCAGTGACTCACAATAGTAATATTTAGGTAAATGTCAGCAACAACCTAAAATACAAAAAAGACACAATATGTTGGAAACATGTCAAAACAGTTTATCAAATTTATATGAATTGCATTTCATTGGTAAAAATTTGGTTGATGCAGCTTCTATGGGATTGGCAACAAGACAGACTAAATGTGGATCTTACAGAAGAGAGACATTCTAGCATATTGAGTTCCACTCAAATGAAATATAGAGAGTGGAGCATATCAGCATATATTTCTTTTCATCTTTTTTTTATGTCATATATATTTCTTCTTGTGACCTGAATGAACCTCAGTCCTCAGCTTGATTTTTCCATTAATATTGATTAAACCTTGATAACAGTTGAGGGAATAGTGGTGTAGGATAAAAGAAATAGACTTCTAATCTGGAAGTCATGGGTTCAAATACCACTTAAATTAAAACCACTGATCTATTTTGTAGTTGCTTGTCCTCTTGTCCGAGTCTCTTATTAAAGTGCAATGGTATTTAAAACAAAATTGAACACTTATTGTGGACAACACTGAGGTGCTTATATCTTGTTATCTTTAAAAACAGCTAGCTAGCTGACACAAGTTCTAATTAAAAGCTATTTTGCAGACATTCGCATTACTGAATTATTATGTCTTACAATCTTACAATGAAATTGGAAATATGAAAGTACATACTGCTAATTAGATCAACTTAAACAACCTTTTAACAATGAATTTTTGTGCAAGTGCATGACCTTGTGAATCCATTTATGCATGCACAAGTTACCTCTACTTTGTAAATGAACTTAAGACTGAAATACTTATGCAATTTATAATTTCATTTGTTAAGGAGGAAGATAAAAATTAACACATTTGATTCCATTTTTTTAATAAGAATGAAAACAGTTGACACATTTGATTTATGTATTATAATATCTGAAACTGGATGCTTTCTCTTCAATTTGTGACCATTTAAAAATGTCATGGTCATAAGTCAATACACATCATTATATGTAGTTATTCACATCATTGTGTGACAATACTAACATGCATTGTCAACAATACAATTCACATTATATCATCAGGCATTTAGTCTACAACGCTATAGATCCATATATTATCTATCTATCTATCTTCCAATAATGTAAAACCCTTCCATGGGGTCAAAGATACCTGTGTGCATCAAAATCACAATAAAATTAAAGTTGTTTAAATGAGAATAAAAGAAGAATATTAAAGATGTTAAAAACTGGAGGGCTACTAGGGTTAGATGTGTTGATGTTCAATGCTAGCTTATAATGGCTGCACTGTACAATGTACTGCTCTGGGATAGGGCAACTGCAGTTCCAATGGTGTACAGAGCAGTGTTTTTTCACCAACATATTCGGGCCAAATTTGGCCAGATTCCCCCCTCAAAGTAGTATGCTTTTTGAAAATAAATAAAAACATTATCTTAAATAAAAACATTGAAATCATGTCAACAAAATGCTCTAAATATAGTACATGACTCTATTCAAATTGGTTCCCGCGAATGACGTCATACGAGGTCTCGCGTGGCACCTAAATGTCATGGCCGACTGAAGTCGGCGTAAATTGATGTTTTACAGTTAAATAGGCAATTTTAATGACGGTATTAATATTTTGATACTTTAATTGGTATATTTTGCAACTATTGAACTAACTGCCAAAAAATGATTTTGTTTAAGCGTGTAAGACTCACTGTTAAGCAAGGTTGTTTACAAATCTTTCCCAGGTAGGTAAGGGGAGCACAAAATACAAATATTGCCATATTGCCTGGCCCTGTAAATTAACATGTAGATAGTCACTCACAGGTAAAAAGTGGGTGGGGTATAATAATAGAAAATCTGCCAAATTTTGTCATTTGGTTATAATTGCTTGCTAATCTAATTCCTAAACATATCATCAATAAAAATATACCTTTCTAGAACATCAATCAGTAATTCAAGACTTTCTCTGCAGCCAAAAACCTCAAAATGTAACAATATGAAAATCCGACCCACTCAAAGTTTTCAGCATTCCGAAAACAAATTTTACTCCCACCAAGTTAAAACTAAAATAACCTTTATAGTATTTCTCATCCCCGCTTTTCACCAATAACTATATTATTTAAATTTATCAACTGACAATACGTTTTGCTGCAAATTTTAATAGGTTCTGTGAGAGAAAGATGACCAATATACGTGGCTGTTCTGTTAATTAATTAGGGGACATTTTTACCTGTTCAAAATAACCGGAAGCAGTTCTATGTATGGTACTGTAAAATTCCCGTCACTAAAAATAAGACCGTACCGAAGATGATACACGCATTGACGGATGGAAAGGATATATTCTTGCAACCACAAGCAGGTTACGAATGCGCATTTTGACTCAGAAACGAGTGATTTTCATTATTTAGAAAGGGCATACGTTAATATGATGTGCATTGACTTTATGTAGAAATAGAATATAAAAAATGTGTATGCTAACATTTACTTCGGATGAATTGTAGCAGATAATGTTTAATATCTATTATGTACTTTACAGCTGATTTCTTTATACATGTATTCATTTTATGTTAATATGTTGATTTCTTGTAAATATATTGTCCTCATGGGTCTGTGACCTTCTGGAATTTACTTGAATAAAATCTAAAAGCTATATAGATCTATCTCTGGATCCTGCCAACCCCTCTTACAAGTGTTATAGGCAGGAATTAATGTTAGTAAAAGGTGAAAAGAAAAGCTAAAGAAAGAAAAGTCCAAGCATTATAAACATGCTAGGAAGGTCAGACTGAAAATGTATTCTAGTCATGGTTAAAATGTTAATAGTGAAACAAGATGATAAGAGCTAAAATAGTTTAAAAACACTGGGAGTAAGACTAGTACTGCAAACCCACCACTGACTGTTTGAAATGACTCAAGTTGGGCAGGGTGGCAATGTTACTAGGGAGTTTATTCCATAGTATAATGCTATGAGAACAGAAAGAGTACTTATGGTAGTCGGAGGATACCAGTATTTGGCGTGGGGATAAGGGGTGCATATGTCTGGTTAATCGAGATCTATGAGAACAGAAAGAGTACTTATGGTAGTCGGAGGATACCAGTATTTGGCGTGGGGATAAGGGGTGCATATGTCTGGTTAATCGAGATCTATGTGGGGCTTGAACATATGGTGGGAGATGAATTGAAACTAGGTTATGATATATCTTGTAAAACATTATCAGTCTACAGTCCAATCTGCGATGTCCAAGGGATCACCATATATATTATTACATTTATTTTGAAGAGTCGTGTATTTCATTAGCATATATTTCTCATATGGTATAAATCTCTAACAATTGGGAAGCATTTGTCAACAGGTAACCAAAAAACATACCCTAATCATAGGTGCAAACATACATTATACATTAAAATTAAGTCTATTATCAATTATCCAGATTGAATACATTTTATTCATGTACCATGTAGCAGCAGCCTTATGGATATATATGTGATGCCATTCAGTTATTTTTAAAGATCCTGTATGTTGTGATCAAAGTGGTTTTCCACACTAAGTGAAATTATATATAAGGTAAAAAAAAAATTTAAACATCGAAGAATATGTAAAATATGTACTGCAAATATTTATGCATATTATATGTAATCATTAAAATACATGCATTTATTTCTTATTGTAAAATTTGACCTAAATTTTATAGAAAATACATTTTTATTACCTCCCTCTATTTACACGAAATATTAAATTATGTAATATCTTTATAAATAACGCTTTTGTGTTAATGTCGTGTTTCTATTTATTAAAATGATGAAATAAATTGATCGTTACGTAAATATATATATTTCATCATCGTAAATGCATTACTCATCCAATATCAGATTAAAAAATATATGTACAAGTTATTCTATGATCCATTCAAACATTATCTAGAAGCATTTAAAGAACCCAAAATATTAATATCTTTACCTTAAATAAATACTGGAATATAGAAATTATGTCATAAATGCAGGAATAAATGTGCCTATGGGGAAAATGGCTAACAACAACAACAATTTTAAAACGATGAACTGAAACCATATATCTGATATTACAATACAGGTAACTTAAAAGATTGCAAGCATTAAAAGAGAAATTCTTATGAAAAACAGTGAATAAAAAAAGAACTAAGCGAAAGGAACACAGAGGGACAATGCACGTAAAATATCAGCTCAATATATACTGTTATGATTATCGTCCCTATTTTATCCAATGACACCTTATTCTTTCATTATATGAAAGATAAATCAATGATATTAAAAAGATCGGTTTGTCTAATCTAACATTACATATCTAATTCACATTTTTATATTACTGACTGGAATATCTAACTCGTTAATTAATCTTGTCTATCTAGCATTTAGAACAGAGTTTAGGAGTGAGTAGGTTTTATGTTAACCCATAACTGCATGAGCATTTTGTGAAAAATGGCTGTTTTCATTGAAAAGTCTCCCATTTCAAGTTCAAATTGCTATAAAACTACAAAAAATGCTTCAATACTAATCAAACATGGCACAAATGTTGACTGGACTATTGCCTTTGTAACGACTTGCTCAGTCTTAAATATCCTGTTCTTCTTCTTCCTTCTTCTAGTATAATAGCCGGGATCCAAAAGGAACGTAATGAGGCTCTGCGAAACTATGTACATGGTGAGATGGAACACTCTTCCGCTCAGCGATAAAAGTTGTAAAAACTGATAAAAACTTTATTTACAGAGACGTTGTGAAGTGAATTCAGACGGAGGCCGGCAGGCGCGCGCGGAAAGCATCCAATGTTTCCGCGGCGGTGACTGTTGATGCCAGGCCATTCCAATCAACAATTGTCCTGGGGAAGAAGGTATTTGTATACATCCTGCCAGTGGTGCGTTCTTGGTAGAAACGTATTCGTGTTCTACTGTCACTGGTGTTCTTCTTGGATTGGTTACTCAGTGGTAGGTACTTGTCCTTGGGGATGTCTACTAGGTCATGTTGAATGCGGTAGAGCATGCCTAACCTTGCTTCCTTCCTTCTCTGTTGGAGGGTGTTCCAATCCAGGCTCCTCAGCATTTCTGTCATACATCCAGGTGTTCTGGATTTATAGTCATTTTTGACAAACCTGGCTGCACTTTTCTGGATCTGCTCAATTGAATCTATGTGTGTCTGAATATGAGGATCCCAAACCGTTGCTGCATATTCAAGACCTGGGCGTACAAAAGTGCAGTAACTTGGTGCTTTCAGTTGTGGTGTACAATCCTTCAAGTTTCTCCTCACAAATCCCAGTGTTCTGTTTCCTTTGGCAGCTACATTCTGTATGTGCTTGTCCCATGAGAGGTTGTTGGAGACACTTACACCAAGGTATTTGCTGTGGTCCACTGATTGCAGGACTTGGCCATGAAGTATATACTGGTGTTGGTGATCTATCTTTTTGTTTGATGATATGTGTAGTACATAGCACTTGGAAGCATTGAAGCGCATAAGCCAGGTTCGTTCCCATTGTTCCAGTGCTTCAAGATCCTGCTGCAGCCTTGTCTTGTCATTTGTACTCTTGATGACCCTGAACATGAGGCTGTCGTCCGCAAAGAGTCGGATGTCAGATGATGTGCAGTCAGGCATGTCATTTATGTAGGCCAGGAACAAAAGTGGACCTAGAACGGTTCCCTGGGGAACGCCAGATATAACATCATCTTGGTCAGACTTGGTGCCTTCAAGGACTACCTGTTGCTTGCGGTTGCTCAGGAAGGATTTGATCCACTGGTTTAAGGGACCTCTCACGCCACGACAACGAGGGGACGTCTCAAAATTGCCAAAAATCACCATTTTGCGTTGATTTTTTCCATCAAAATTAATTTCAAAGTGCTGCAACTTCTCAATGGATTCAGATTGAGTCAAAGGCTTTTCAGCGTTGGTTACACGTTACCTTATGATCGACCTGTGGCTCACAAGTCAAAAATTTTCTTGGCGATGAGGGGGACTGCCGCCCCCTTCAAACCCCAAACAGAAGGGGACACATTCCCCTTCTGGCAACACTTTGATGTACGTTCTGGATATGGGGCGGCGCCGCAAAAGTGCTCGAACATTTCTCAAACAAAAACAAGTAAAGGCGCCTAAATAAGGCATTTTTTTTACCAGTTGAGACAACAAATAGGGGCGGGGGTAAAAATGCGTTAAAAGGCGTGTATTTCGGGTTATGGGTTAAATTGTTGAAATCATTGAGTGTGTCAGACACTTTTATCGTTATATTGCACTACATGAGTCTGCATTCATGATTGTACTGCTTAAGCGGGTGCTAGGGTATGTGGACGGTAACTTGCAATTACCAACACCGCAACCAAACTTGCAACATTTTGGGCCTGAAAAAATGCACGAAGGGGCACCGAGGTCTTCCTCCATCAGTAAAGCTGGAACGTCGCCAAATGACCTACACTGTGTCGGTGTGACGTAAAAAACTCAAATCAAACAAACAAAAATCATGACGATCTATATTATCCTGATACCGTATAACAGACATAAAACATACCAATCTTACATGAAACAGACTATATACTAAATAGACACTAATTTGAAACTTTGAAACAAACTATAATTGTTTACAATCTGAAGTGACAGCAACTTACCTGTGAAATTTTTCGCATAGGTGAACCGTGACCGGTGTTTTTAAACTTTTATTAAAGTTGTTTTTATTGTAGGATCGGTTAATTAAACTAATGCGGAGTATTAATTAGACATTGACATTGTGTTTTACTTAACTTTTAATTGTTTTTACGTGAGTTTTAATGGACATTCCGATGTGGGACAAATTGAAGTAAGGGATACGCAAGTTAAATATGGCCGCCAAACTTATAGGGGAACGACTACCACGAAATTGGAGTTACGGTGTTACAAGAGATGGTCGCATCTTCTTTATTGAGTAAGTGATTGAAATAATTATTTGAACACCTGTTCTTTATAAGCACGTGTTTGAAACATAATTGACCATAAAATGTTAAAATGCACGTGGATATATTTCTTTTGCAGTGTAAAAAGTGTCTTTTTGATTCAGTGTATAGTCTGATAGTAACTTCATCTAAAAAATATCAAATTTTTGAAGAAAATAGTCTGTTTGCAAATATTCAACTGTTTATTCTGCATTGCATTTCACTTTAATTTTAATAATGATCAATAATATTGTAATAGATTAATAATTTAAGGCTGCTGACATTGTCAAATGTTTATTTCTACATGTAAGTTATTGTTTGTTTGGCAGTCATTTAGAAATTGAGAGTAACAAGATTGTCAATCATTGATTAAGTATATTATATAAATTTAGTATCTGACAGTATATGAAAATGTTTAAGTTACTAAAATATTAAAATGTTTAGTGACCAGGTTCATAGCTTGTTTGGTAGCAAGACACCTCACCCCCCCAGACACTTCAGCCCTCAAATTTTGAAGACACTTTTTTTCTACATCATACTGCTTTAAAATCGTTTTCGATCACTCTAAGCAGGTATACATTGTATACATTTAAGAAACAGCTTTAAGATACAAGGGAATCCGGGAACCAGTCCCTAGCTCTTATTGAATAGACCCCTTGGTTCTTTTACATGCCCAGTGTATAGCACTGATACATGCGAGGATTACCTGGATTTCTTACCAGTACACCTCTATGTAGGTGGGAAACACTGAAAGTGTCTCTGAAAAATCCCAAGGGTGTAACCCAGGATCGAACCCGGGACCTCAGGAGTGATAGTCAGTGGTTTAACCAATTGAGCTATCGCGCCACCACTTCACCCCTTAAGACACTTCACCCCCCAAAATCAGTAAGACACTTCACCCCTCATCCAATTTTTTTCTATAAAGTAAATAAAACAAGTTGGTCAACAACAAAATGCTTATATATGTTAATTTTTATTATTTTTAGTATTATTTGATTAAAAATTTTGCTTATTACCTTTATTTTTACTAAGTTTAAAGCAGAATTAGGTTAATTGGTTGTATTGCCAAATGATATATCACAGCACTTTCATCCATTGAGTGTTAATTGCATGTCACCTTGTTTATTCAACATGTTGATTAGTTGTTTTTCAACGGTTATCTCACAATTGATTAGATAATTGAATTAAAATGGTATAATTGTTTGAAAATTAAATTTATTCTTAATAAATATTATAAATCAAATAAATAAATAAATTAAATGAATATAAATGAATATGAATGAATGAATCGGTTGCTTTATAAAATATAGTAAATATAAATTATTTATCATCATTATCAGACACAATTATCCTGCATTTAATACAAAGATCATTCATAATGTCATGTATTAAACAAATAAATAGCACCAGTTATGTAAATAAAGCACAAGGTTAAAGCACAAACCATCACCAAATGAACATACGGTAACTCAATGTTTATTATATGGTAAGGATCAAACTGAAAACAAACTTAAGTACCAAAACTTCAAGAATTAAATCAACTCAAAATTTATTAGACAATGGGTGAAAAAAATAAACATAATCACTATTGAATGTATTTAACATAATCTACATAAATAATTGTTAAACACAAAATAAAAAAAATGAGGGGTGAAGTGTCTCAATCAAATTTCTTAAAATGAGGGGTGAACTGTCTGAGGGATGAAGTGTCTGCAAAAAAGGCCCTAGGATGAAGTGTCTGGAGGTGAAGTGTCTGTAAGCCGCTTGTTTGGTATATATATTAATTATATATAATGCACTGGTTGGTATATACCATACATAGTTGATGTGTACTACACTTTGTATCAGCCAGCTCTTATCAAGTATTCATTTCAAAAGTTGTAGTTTGCTACAAGTGATGCTGGGGTAGAGCAGCAGACTCCTAAATCAGAGGTTGTGGGTTCATATCCCACATATAATTATGTGGTCACACAGTTTAAACAAATTTATTTAAGCTTGATTGCAAAACAAGTTCTTGCAACTTAAATTAGTCACTTTCGAGTCCCCTTCCTGGAACCAACCAACCAATACTGGTGTCATATGAAGAAACATGGTCGTGACCCTAGTAGGGCTCGAACCCATGATCTTTGTGGTCACATTGTGGTGTGATTCTCTTTCTAACATTCACAATCTGCACTGGCGCAATTACTGGTTATGACACCAGGCAGCTGTGAATTATTGTGACTTAATAAAAGCACCATCCAATTTTTCACAGAAACAGATTGTTGATTATTGTAATATGTAGATGCAGTCCCATCATGCAAGTGGCCTTGTTTCAAAGGTGGTTGTGAAGTATTTGGAAGTCTGATCCCTAGTGGTGTTACTAGTACCATACATCCTTATTTAGTCCATGAAGCAAATGGGTTCAAATAAGCTGGAAAATTTGTTCTCAATCAATTTAAAATAGGTGTGTTTAAAGTAGAGATACCTCTTAGTTTGTCATACAGTAATGAAAATGAACATAACAGAAAATACCTGAAACTCGAAATAAACTCTGTCAGTTAGATGCTCTCAAATTTCTTGAGTTTTGGTATTTGAGAAAAAATGTGTCAAACAATTAATGTCTCAGGTTTTTCTTGAAAATTTCAGTAACAAGTTTGACATCCCTTTATATTGCTTTTTAATGGTCTTGTCATCAACATTTAGGGACAACAATGGAAAGGGTTTACCCTTGTGTTATCACTGCAGGTGTTGGTGTGCATGACATGATAACTGTGTTCATTCACACAGTTGTATTATGTTTGTTTCAACTTTCACTTTAATATGTTGTTTGTGCTACATTGTTCAAGAATAATTCTTATCTTATCAATGTGGATCAATTTCATTTTTTCAGTGATGGTACACAAAACACAACATGGATTCATCCACTTACAGGGGAACCAGTTCAGACAGGATTCACATCGGTCCCAGGTACAGTTCATACCAATATAGTATATATCTGACTTTATTTTTATTGAAATAGAATATCGCAAGTCAAAATTAAATTGTGGGATTGACAGTGTCGGTATTCAAGCTGGTCAGGTATCTGTATTCAGCAATTTGCTGTCATTCTTAAACCAACTGTCTGGAATATCGCTTACCAGACCTAAAAATACAAAGACGCATTTCTTTGCATTATGCTTCAGTAATATGATCGCAAAAGTCTCCACTTTCAGGTGACAGATTGGCATTGAGTTTTAAATTCGAACTAGTATAGAGAATACACATATAACCAAATTAAACACATAACTTTTTATGGGGTTGGTCTTGGAAGGGGGTAGGGGGAGGGTGTAAGGATTGGTAACTCAACTACAACCAGGCAGAAGTGGGATTACTGGTAAGAGGATGCAGACAATGCTCTTCCTAGCTAATCCCCCGTAGGTACAAACAAACTTTTTACAGTTACAGCTTTGAAAATAAGCAAAACAGATTGACTTATCTATTGTGACAAATTTTGCACCGTGAAGCTATAACAGTAAAAGTTAGTTTGTACCTCATATTAGCTTGGAAAAATCAACATTTGTAGAGTTCCGGATAACGTCTATTGATCCTGCATTATATTGATATCAAATTATTCCATTGCTAAAAGATATAAGAAGTTGGAAAGTTGACCTACTTTTCACAAGCTTATGATGGACATGTTACTTTAAAAACATTACATATATCATGTACTTGTCAGTGATAAACTAGCTAAAGTTAGAACATTAGATAGTGATACCTGTCAGTATAAAAGTTAACAAATTGTTGACTGATTACAGATGGACAAGTGTAACTTAAACCAAAACTATTGTTATAACAATGAGACCTCTTGAGTCAGTGTTATCACTATTTATATTTCTATCTGAAGTACAACTGCTGATAAGCCATGCAAAAACAGGTGATATATATAACAGCAAACCCATTGTTCTCTTAGTAGGTGGTACAAACTGTTTCACAAAAGTTCTATTGTACCTTATTTCTTATAAATACTTGCTTTCATGAAATATTTCACCTAGTTATTAATTTAAAAATAAACACAAGGGAAAATGAAAAGTTTTAAGTCTTAATATTTCAAAAGAAAAAAATTCTTATCTCTTTAGAAAGTGCCAAGTAGATTTAAAAGATGGAAAGTAATGATTGTACGAATTGTTACATTATACAGTAGAGGGGTGGTTGTATATATTTCTAAGAATTTCTTTCTCTACCTTGTCTTAGCAAAATAAATACTTGTAAGATTCTGTGGAGAAAGCATATTATAATAACATGGATATATATTGAAGACTTGTGTATGCTGTGAAATGTCAGTGTGTTAATAAGATAATTATCAAATGCATAAAATTAATAAATTAATTCATTATTAAAGTCTGGAGTTTATTTATAATACACAAAAATGGGATTTTCTCAGTCTAAAGAAGAATATAGTTATTATGATATTAAACCTTCTGAAATTGATTTTGATGATGAAGGGTCAGATGGCAGTGACCTTGATGACCTTCCACATGAACTTGACCTTGGGATCATGCAAATTTCTTCAGCAGGTAACAAAATGCATGTTCATTGCAGATGAAGCACATTATTTTGTGGTGTTTTTTTGTAGACACAACTTGTTGCTTATGAACAATTAATTGTATCGTATCTTTCCGATATTTTCTTGTGTGCACTACAAAAGTGTTTTTGCTGAAAAAGTAAACAGTTGGTGGGGAACAATTTAATAATATTTTTTGTTAAACAGTCATTTGGTTGTGTTATAAAATCAATTTTAAAAAAACAACTAAAAAATTGATGGAAATTTTTCCTTTCTTTCATCAGAAGAAGAAAATTGCATGGTGTAGTACATTTATAAAAAAATTGGTGTATATGCATCGCCAAACTAAGTCCAGTCATGTTTAGGTCCCCCCTATTTTTTTTGCCCAAGAAGTGACATATAAAATTAAAATTGAAAAAAAAAACCTTTTATTCTAAATATATGCATGCCTTCAACCACCCACCCCTCCTCCCCCCACAAAATTCAGCAAAAATAAACCCAAAAACCCCATTTTTGAGTAGGGATTGCCCCACCCTCATTTAATAAAAATAGGAATTTTGGGTTTGGCAAAGTTAGTGCTTATAATTTATCTGATTTAATATGGGGTTTAGTTCCTGGAAATAACCATGCATTACTGTCATAGCATATATTATCAACCTTGACTGTTAAGTTCAAATAAGATATGGTCAGTAGCTATGTTATCTAGTTGTTAAGTGTTTTCTATGTTCTGGATCAATTATTGTATATTTACATGTTACATGAAACAAATTTTGCCTCTCCTCATTTTCCTGAAAGAATTGTAAGATCTCAAAATCTTTTATAAACATATAATTTACTCTCCATTTGAGTGTTTCAACTTGGTATATACATAATTATAAATCAAGTTTATTAGGCACATAATGTAAATTATAATTTGTTTCTCCAGAAATATGATTTAAAATGACAGATAATTAGTTTTAAATGCCAAGGAATTTCATTTTAACATTATTTTGTTATGCAATGTTTTAAATTATAATACATAATGCATATAGTGGATATATTTTACGTATTCATAAGATTTCTATTTAAAAAACTGCTCATTCTGCAAGAGTTTGTTGCAATGTTGCAATTATATAGTTAACTTATACTGAATTGGCAACAGTTATTATGTGCAAACTATAAAACATGCAATAACAGGTAATATTTTGGCAGTCTGTAGGAGAAGTTAATCATTTTATTGTCAGTAATAAGTGATGAGACTTACTGTTGTTTATAGCTGTATTATTGTATGTTATGTTTTACTTTAACATAACAAATTACTTTGTTATTTAACTTGTAACCTGCTGAGCTGTTATCAAAGAGGCCACTATTGCATGGCTCTTTTGGATTTTACAATCAATCAGTTCCAGAAATTAGGATAGCAAAGTTAAAGGGACTCCACTGAGGTTTTGACATGACATGACTATGACAAAGTGTTTTGGATTTTTGTACCATTTGATGTAGGTCTATGCCAATAACTTTGTATGCACAATTTCAGATCATTCGCTTATTCTGTTTTACCTGAATGATTATTCTAAATGTGAAAAATGACCAAAAATTGAAAAGCCTTTCACTCAAATTTGGCTTTAAATAGCACAAAAATACAATTTTCAATTTACTTAGTAATTCCGAGTATATCTGTTAATTATCTTTTAAATATCTTTCAGTTTTAAGTGTCCCAGTTGATCTATGTTAGAAATTAAAATTTTATGTGATTAGGCTTTTGGACCTCAGTGGAGTTCCTTTAAACAAGCAATCATATATTGAGTCTGGTGTGTCTGCTCTGATGTGTGGCAGTTGTGGCACTGTCTTTTACTTTGTATCCCCTCTACTTCAAGTCCACAATGAGGATGTTAATGCCATTATGTGTCTGAAGATATAATTTCTGTTTATGCAATATCTTGTTAAATCTTTATTAAAATTTTAGTCATTTCTAGAAATATAATTTCACTTTCTGGTTCAATGTTATTGTAATATGATAAACATTGTAATTTATACCCTTATACATCAAATATATCATTGTAAAACTATGCTCTAGGAAACTTATAAAACATTTATTTAAGAGCAGAATGTTTTTATGTTTTGTTTAGGATCACAATGAACTTCTTTAGATATTGTGTTACACTTTGTTTGCAAGCCTTACTGGCTTAAATTGTGGTGGATAGCTAGAATAGTAAATGGAGAAAACTTGAAGTAAGGGAGATCACTTGTAGAAATAGTTCAAAAAGGGAGATCACTTTAAGATCTTTTATAATGAAAGGGAGAGCACTGTGTATGTGGTATGGTTAATCATCAGAAATGAACTGCAGACTTATTTGGTTGATCATTAATGTTGACATTTATGACATAACAGCGCCCTCTGGTGGTAGACAGTCATTATTACAGTCATTACCTTCACATCATTATTGTGAAATATGCTGATTATCACTGGTCAAATCTTTGTTGTGTCACCATTCGTGATTGACCAATGAAAATTTTGTTCAATAATCAAAACAAATTTAATGCTATGTTGGCTGTCCATGAAATTCAATTAATATGTATTGATGAATATGTATATCATTAAAAATATTACATTTGTTTACATCATGATATATAAGGCAATAGACAGTATTGTTAATAAAGAGATTAAAATTATATCCTAGGATAATTTAGTTGTCTAAATAATTTTTTCTGGCTTTGTCAACTTACAACAAATAGATAATTTCAGTGCTGTTGTTTAAGCCATCATTGAATTCTTTTTTAGTGAGGAAGTTATTCAGCTAGTGGTTCAACTCCTGGTGCCAGCCCAATTACCTGTAATAATGCATGAAAGTCTCCTACAAACAATAAAACTGGAAAGTAAGATTTTGAGATCAAATAAAATAATTGATTAGATCTCTTATCAATTCATGAAATTTAATGAATCTTTTGGGCAAGCTAAGTAGGGTTATACATTGGGTGTGGCATTATTTCAATATTTTGATTACATTAAAACATTTTACAATATTACCAAACAGCAAAAAGCTTTTATCAAATGATAAAAGCTCTGAAAGAAAAAATTCATCGTTTTGTGCTAAAAAGTATGCAAACATAGCACAAAGTATATAACAAGTACTCAATTAGTATCAGATATGGCAAAACTCACACAATTTGTTGTTAGTTCTCCACCAACATTGGCTCATTTGTTCTATGTAGCATTTTTTCTTAAGGGTTTTATTAAAGCAGCTAGTAAATATGCAATATAACTATAGGATTGATAGGCTCTCGTTCTATCCACGGTCAAACTCTTGTATCAAGCTATACACACATACACACGATAATGAAAGATAATATGTCATGATCAATATTTTTATTTGTATTTGGAATGTGGACAAAATTATCAACATTTTTGTGGCTTGTAAATGGAGGCTAATTCCCAGTTTTATTTACTTCTAAATCTGCCCACCTAAGGGGTTTATAGTCAAAGGATATCTGCTCCATTCGGTGCAAGAACAGGCTATGTGATTGTTATATTTTGATAACATATAAGATAGTTTGATTCAATTCTTAATTTTTAAACATAAAATACAACCAACATAGATTATTTTGTTGATTTAAGTTTCTTTTTCTTTTGCGTTAATAAATGCAGATAAAAGTGAAAATTCTAAATTGTTTGTTTTGCAAAAATGGCAGATTTAACTTAACAGGTTTTGAGGTCACTTTATATCCTTTTCTGTTTTGAATTCTTAAAGTGTGTAAAGCTTTATCTCTACTGCCTGCAGTTTACAAAGTTTTTGTAAGAATAATTCAAAAATGCCTACATGAAAGAAATTTGTTGGTATATTTCCTTTTAACAAATGCATATGCACAAAGTCATTGCTAATTGGTTAAAAACCATTTATTTTAAATATCAACATAAAAAAGGGTAGGCCTATTAATGCACATTAACATCTGCAGAAGCACGAAAAGGTATTTAAATTTTTTGTTGTTAAGCCTCCAGGTTTCTCATGTCAAACTGCACAGATATTAATGCAGACAAAAGATATGTTTTAAACTTCATTATACAGAATTTAAAAAAAAGTGTAGAGCTAGGAAATGATTGGAACAACCAAGGGAGATAATTTAAATATATTCCAATTGAACTAAATATTAAAGTATTGATATATTTATATTAATAATAGGTCAACTTTGTATAATGTGTAGTAGTAAGTCAGGATGAGGTATTGTATTGTGAATGAAATGTTATCTTATTGGTCAGGTATTATTGAACATGATAAGTTTGTCAATATTAGTTGGCACAATGAGACTAAGTGATCAATCACTAATTTGTATCGTTTAGTTTAGATAAATTTGAAAATTTATGCCATTATTAGAAGGGTGTTAGAATATATTTAGTTCTCTACAGTATGATTAACTTAAAGGTAAACATAGTTTTTATTACAGTTTAATTTTTATAAAGTGTTTGTTTTTGGGTGTCAAACCAGTGTTTTATCTTTAATATACTTTATCCTTAATGTTTTCAGGGTTTTAAAACAAAAAGATAAAACCAGTTTTTTACTAAGATAGGATTTGAAGACACAAGTGCTATTGTGTAATCTTTTGGATATTGTTCATATTTACTGAGACTGTATTATCTAAAATGTAATAGTTTATAAAACACTTGTTACATGTTTGTCATTTTGTTGTATGATAATAATATGACATATGGCAAACATCCAGACATTGGTGGAATTTATATAAATACATTTCATGGCAGGATATATCATGTGAAATAACAGTTTTCAGTGTTTGTTTTGTTATAAAGGTTTGTTTTATTTTAATAGAGTTAAACATTCTTTAGGTTAACTACTTTTCGTTCATGTGTTACATCTGCTGTAAAAATTGCTGTTTTGATAAAAGTTTAAGTGTTAAAAATTAAAATTGCATTTCAGGTTAAGTTTCCATAAACTTACTGGATTTTTGGAGCAAATCTATACTGTTAACTTTAGTTATAAAACTGTTATCTTTTTAATGCTGTCTTTGTTTTTTTGCTTGACTCTGACATTATCATAGCCAGAATCACAATAACACATTGTAAAAGTTTTGCATACAATTTCATTTTCTTTAACATCAGAAGTTGTTCACTTGAAACTTCTCACTAGTATTTTGGGGCCAAGTGGATTAGGTCATAGATTTCAAACCACTTGCCCCTCACCACTGTGGGTTTGAATCCAGCAAAAGACTTCCGATTGTTTCATATAAAGAAGGTATCCTGAGCTCCTTACAGAATGTTGGTTCTACTTAGGTGTCTGTTTGTGCCTGAAATAATGCATGGAGGGGCACCTGATGTCATCTGTCACAAATAAAGCTGGAAAGTCACCATATGACCTTTACATTGCATATGCAATGTAAAACCCAACAAAAATTTTAAAAAGAAAGTGTTTTTTGGTTGAAATTGAAAGTATTTGTCTATAGGAAAAGTTTACTGGATTATAAGTACTATTTTATTGTCAAATGTCTTGTGTTTCAGTACCTTTGAAGGGTTTTGTCTGTCTAGCATTTCTTGTTGTAGTATTTTAAATTATAAGGCATGATAATGATGATAATAGTCAAATAAAAATCTAAAAAGCATTTTTCCTCAAATACATACATTATATAAATATTAAGTTTGCACCTATGTTCTAGTATATAAGAAAAAAATTGGAAGACAATTGTGCTATACACAGTAATCAATGATTGATCAGTGTTATATAGATTTGTCAAGACATGGTCTTTATTGATAAAACATTAAGAAAGTGTCAATGAGGTATTTGTATAGTGCTGTTATAAAGAAAGGCCCGCTGTATTCTAAAAGCTTTTGATAACTAGAACAGAAAATATGATATTCTCTGTTGAAATAGCATTTTATTTTATCTTTTTGTTTGTTTTCCTTTTAATTTTAAACCCAATTTCGGGGACCTAGACATAGGCTTTAAATCACACCAGTTAACAGCTGCCTGGGTGTCAATGTCACTAAAAGTGACTTATTGCACCAATTTAGATTGTGGAAGTTGAAAGAGGATCCTGCCACATGTGGGATTCAAACCCATGACCACCAGGAGAGATGTCTGATGCTCTGTCATACACCACACTCTTCCTGGTTGTTTTTTTAAGTCAGCATTAAGAATCAAGTTATTATATAGCTGTTTTTAATTGAAGATGAAATATATTAAAGTCATCATTACTAAAGTTCACTATCTGGCTATTGTTAAGGTCTACAGAATGGTAATATTAGTTGCAGGTTTCAATATATCAGCTTATCTTCCGGACTCTTACCAAAAATTGAAAATGTTTTCACACATGTAAAACATCTTGCTTCATGTATGGCAGCTTTTGAAATATATATAGTTGAGTGTTGAAATTATAAACATCTGTATTTACTTGTATATATTTTCAGGACTTCCAACAGGCTGGGAGCAAGCACTGACAATTGATGGGACAGTCTTCTTTATAGAGTAAGTTTATATTTGATACAATACTTAGTGTTACTGTAAACATATCTTAAAAGTAACAATAACTATCCCTCTCCCTCCACCATGTAATGCCCCTGTCCGTCCGTCTGTTTGTATGTCTGTCTGTATTTAATTTTGTTCCATATTTATGCTTTTTTTTAAGGACTGAAAGTCTAACCTTGACAGACTATCTGTTGCTTCTCTTTCTTAAAACTGATGACATAAATATTCCACCCGAACCTGCTGTACTGTATGGCAGTCATCCTGCCTGGCTGACCATAGTATGCACTTTAGTACCACTTGCTACAAGCTATTTCATGCCATTAATTCCACATATCTTATAAAACACACTAAGAAAATGTTAACAAACACTGACATGGTGTTTTGAAACTTGTATTTTCAGCACAGGTAATTGACATGTGTATTAACATTAGGTACATCACTGTCATTAAATGATGTACTGGTATGTATTGTTTTTACCAGTACACTTCAAAAACTGTTTATAATTGACAAAAAGTATCTAAGTTTGATATTGTTGTTGTAAAAAATCATGTATACAGTATACCTGTAAGTAATTCATCATATTCAAGATAAACTATGACAAAAAAATAGAGTAAACATTCTTGTCAGAAAGTCAGGAAAAGATAACTATTATATTCTATTTTAATTGGTAAGACAGGATATTCACTATTGCAGTGTTACATTTATAATCCCTTTGAGATTTCAAAAGTGAATAGCCACTGTGAAGCAATCATGTCTTGTATGAAAAGGGTTTAATGTAAAATCCCACTAGACTAGAAGTAGTAAGCTATCCATAGTATGATACAAGTGGGTGTGTCTACCTGTGCCTGCTTATTTAGTCCCTCAGTGTACATCCGGTGTTAATCCTCAACCACTATAGCTTTACAGTCACCATTTTGACTCTATGTGGCCTTGAGAACAAAGTAACTCTTTGTTTTATTTATATATTACATAATATTCTTTAAATTCAGCTGTTCAGCACTTATTATTAGTGTCTGCTTTGATTTTAAGATGTTACATAAAATGCATATTAATGTAAGTGCAGCAAAGTATATGTTGTGTAAATCTGCACTGCATGAGTATAATGCACTTGCTAAAGTTGTCAGGACTGTCTAAAATTTGAATATTAATGACATATGGTCATTATACCTCATTATATATAAAAGCTAATATTTAAAGAACTCAGACATGCAGTTTCAGCTCATTTTCAAATAGTTTAATCAACTATTTTAACAAGGGAACTCAATTTCACTTTTGTTTATTCACTTATCCCAATTTCCCAACCAATGCCATGTCCATTACCCACTATTCTTAATGTGCGTGCCTATAATATAAATATATCTTTCCTAATGCTTAAACAAGAAAATGGCCTTTATCAATGGTCTGTTTATCAGTGGATCAAATAAGTTACTAAAGAAACATTCCTGTTATTGCAAGTCTCTGTGCCAAACACTTGTTTATATTGTAATATCTTATGCTCTTTATTCTGTCAATAAATTATTTGTTGTAAAGATTTGTTTCATCTTTACCTGAGAAAGACAATTCTGTAAAATCACATATGTTTGCGGCTGGTAATATTTCCCTGCAGATTTATATACAGTATAATTATATGTAACTTGTACATGGATTAAATTTTCCAGGATAATTCTGATTCTGACTCCCTAAAGTGCTCTTGTTAAATATAAGACTTGAAACCTAATGCTTAATTTAAGAAGTTCAGTTTTTTTTAAAAACAATTTTTGATCTTGAGGAGTTTTTTTAAAAACAACTTTTGTTCTTGAGGATTGTCAGAATCCCAAAAGCTCTCTTGTAACTTTTGTAATTATAAAATATTAACATAGCCCATTTCATGATTTTCAGGAATTAAGGGTTTCATGCAGAATTGAGAAGAACTGGGTTAGCTAAACAAAACCAATACTATTTGACAGAAAAGTATTTGATATTTCAAATCATGCAGTGAATCAAAAAACATTTGATTGTCAAGTTACTTACATGTAACAAGAACAAATGTTACATGAACAAATTTTACAAGAACAAAATTTAATGTTACAAGAATAAATGTAGCAAGAACAAGACTTTAGTGTAACAAGAGCAAATCTCTAATTTTTACTCTTCATCTTTGTATCCATAACATTAGATTCCTCTCAAAATGCTGCATAGTTCTCTGTAGGAAAACTTGCTTTGAATTTGTACATGTACTTATTCATTAATCAAGTACAATCTAAGCAGAATATTTTTGTCAAATTGTGGAGATATACATTTGTATGTCCTGACATGAATCTCAGTGATTTTGCCACTTGTGTTCCAACTAAAACCATTACATTTCTCCCCAAACAGCTTCTTGTATATACATGTGATAACACTTTATTCTAAGCTTCTTTTCACTTTGTAACAGAGACAAAAATTAATGATGTGTTAACACTATAGACAGATTATCTTTTAAGTTTCTTTTCCTCTTTAAAGTTCAACAATATCAGTTTCCTTTGTTAGTACTTGAAAAGCAAAGTGTCAGAATCAACATAAACTGCTGTATTATCCTTTTTCTTAACCAGGAAAAATAACTTTACATAATTTTGTTTTTGGTTTGGTTTCACAGTATAGGTCATATGGCGACTGGTGGAGGAAGACCTCTGGTACCCTACTAACTGATCTGTTAATACACCAAGTGTTTGAACTAATGGTCCAAACAATGCAACTTTGATGCATTATTCATTTTTTTTGTAAACAAAACCGGGTTTGAACAATATGTTAAACAGGACTTACTGGTACATTACCTGTCTTGTTGGCTTACTCTACAATCTTGTTAATATACAATTTGTAGAAGGTTCATTTCATACTTTAGTTGGCAAGGACTGATATACATATTTTCATGCATGTTTTGTAAGATACTTGATTGGCTTATAGTGTAATACATTTTACCAAAAACAATTTTGCCTTTTTTATAACACTGGTTGTAATAAAAACTTAAATTGAAAAATGAATAGGTGTAACTTCAAGGTTTTGTGATAAAACCACCCACAAAACATAGGTTTATTATCATGGTTACTTTTAAAAACTAATATATTGCGAGTTTCTTACCTTTGATTATTTATAAGATTTTCTTTTTTTCATCAAAACTTTATTTTTCTCATAAAAATGTGAAAGAGGTAATACAAAATGTATAATAGTAATTCTCTGAATAATCAATTTTTTAACGTTGTTTATTCAATCATGGGTGGTAAATTTGTTTTCCGCTGACAAAATGTCAATTTTTACTTTATTTTATGCCTGGTACATTAGGTTATAACAAGAAAAATTGCTGTAATTAGCCATGTAGCAAAGTGCTCAAACGTATTGAAGCATTGGGACGATCTGATCGTTACAATAGCTAGCACAGCAATAGCGAGGGACGCTCATTTAACGATCATTCTACGCAAATAAAACAATCAATCTTGTGTTACAAAATGGTTGTTTTATTTTAAGTTGTCCACCATCTTTTTTAAATAATTTAGTATGTATCATATTGCCGCTGTTGATGTTATCAATAATTTTATACCACAGAGGCTTTTGTCCTGCTTCAGGTAACATCAGATTATGTACGGGAGATGTTCATTTGTTTACATTGCCAGAGTTGTCTTTCCTTTGTTAGATGCAAAAAATTTAAAATACTGTAAAATCATTATTATTCGTGGGGCACGAATTTTCGTGGTTTTCGTGGGTAGGTCAATCCACGAATTTAAGATCCCACGAACTTTTATACCAACAAATACTTCTTACCCAGTCTTTAATTGTTCTATATATTACAAACATGCGTCGGCTCTCTAGTCTACTTGGACTTGATTGTGTCAACAAGAATACTTGACATAATCGAGTAAATATGGGAACCCAGGCAGTGCAATAATTAGCGCTAATAAAAATTGTCAGTTTGCTCTTATTTATTAAAAAAAATCTTTGATATTAATGTCGTAAGTACACAAAACTATAAAAAAATACGATCGCTAAAACAGATTTATTGTACATTCTTTTGTCGTTTTAAAAGATCCAGTTTATATGAATTTTAATCTGTATTTGTGCGAATGCTATTCCGTCAACATCAAAGACGCCACCGACTATTACAAGATCCACACATACTCGTGTTATTTACCGAGATTAATGAATATGCATGTAAATTTACACAGTCGCTGTGACGTTGCGTGTAGTTACTGTCAAATATGTTACGACCAATTCAGGGTGTAAACTTTTAAACTCGCTGGTTAAAACCTGTCAGGTGTCGTATAAATTATGCGATGTTTACATCGGCGAAATACAGGGGCAGTGTGTCCAATGGAGATGCATATCATGTCACATACATGTGTTAATTGCAGTCAATTATCGGCAGTAACTGTGCTAAATTAGTTATGCCCAGAGGCAAGGATTAAATTTATTGACAAGCGCTGTGTGACAAGTAAAGATATGTACATGTTGTAAGTAAAAATGTTCGGCGATTAAGTTTAAGATTATTTTGCATTAGGTTACTGATTTTTTTTTAACAAGAAAACGAAAATCCACGAATTTAAGAACCCACGAAAATGCCCTTTTTGATAAAACCACGAAATTTCATGCCCACGAATTTAAGTGAATTCACAGTAGTTGATAAAATGTAACATAGTGTTATTTACATTTTGCATAAAACGTGTATGGTCTATTTAACTGAATTTATGTGAAAAATTTCATATCGTTTTATCTAGATTCACTTAAATTTTAACTAGGTGGCAGACAAAATTATTTCTCTAAGTGAGGAATGTTTTTGAGCAGATAATTAAAAAAAAAATTTGTTTAAAGATTTAATATTTGTACAGTTATTATCCGAATGCATTTATGAAAAGTAATTCCAAATGATATTAGTTTTACCATTTAATTATAAAAAATGGAAATTAATGTTATATAAAGGGTTATATTTATTACCATAATGTGTAATATGAAACTTTATATTGTCATATGATAATAAGGTAAATCATTGCTACTAAACTATCGGTATGGCATTACAGATATAATATATTACAATAAAATTCTAAAAGAGTTTTAAACATAATAAAACCAATACTTATCAGTTGAATACAATTTACTTACGCTTGATTGAAAAAAACTTGAAATACTGATGAGAATCTATGCATGAATAACTGAACCACATGTGAAGAAAGAATAGCATAAAATACATTTTAATTTAGGCTAATTTCTTCTACATTCATGTGCATTTTAAAGGTCTCTTCCCTTTTTAACAGTTGCAATGATTTGAATAGAGTCAGGCAATTTGAAACATTCCTGTTTATATTTCAAATAGCTGTATCCAATTCCTTGACTTATCAATGTCATTATTTGAAATCTATTTTCCCACCAAATGTGTATAATTATATTGGTGTGAAAATAGAAGCCTAAGAAAGAAGGCTTACTCTTTATAGTAGAGTAAAATAAGGCTTAAATTTTCAGCTCCGATGAATTCATTTTCCTATTACCTTGTTAAGCTGAATATTATTAGAAAGCATGTCCAATTGTTAAAGGCAGTTTACTAATGTAGTGTAGTTTTCGTATGCACACAACAACTGGGATATTGGGATGATTGCCCCTGGCAAGAAGGTGGTAGGCATCCAGGCAGTGTCAGGTTTTGTCTTGAGCATATTTTTTACATTTATGGAAGTATTCTAAAGTCACTTTTTCAAAATGTATATTATCATGAGACGTTGTGTAGCACACATGAACCAGCTCTCTTAGTCAAAGGTCAAGGTCACTCTAAAAAGTCAAATGAAAACTTTTGTCAGGAGCAATACTTACACATATATTGCGAAATTAGTTAGATTAGTTACACTTAGTATTTAAGTTTAAACTAAATTTAAATCTAACTATGTATTAAAACTTGATTGTGAAGAAAAATTGTAGCTTATGTGAACCACTCTTGTAGCTTAGGCCTGAGTACTAGTGTCATATGAAAAAAACATCATTTGTTTAAAATTGTAAAATAGAAAATTATAAAATAAAACAGTCCAAAAATATCTGCTTTAGATATTCTTAAATATTTGTAGAAAGCGATTTCCAAAGTGAATGTAAATGTAAACACATTTATCAGCTTATAGATTTGAAATAAACTTATGACTTTAAATCAGGTGTAAAAACCAATTAGTGATAATCAGATCAAAGTGTACAATTGAACTGTTGAACAAAAAATGTAAATGATTTATCATTATTGATAATCAAATGAAAATAAATTTTGTCACGAAAAAAACATTAATGAAAAATAAAATGACATTAAAGTGACCAAAAGATTAATTTAAAGGAATGATTGTCATAATTTAATGTTTTCTTTTGCTACCAATTCAATGCATCAGCATTTATACAACATAAAATACAACAAAATAGTTCTTCTGATCAAACAGCATGAGAAGAAAGTGTTACAAATGAAATAATTAAGTTTTCTATATTTTATGATAATCTGGAATGTAAAACATGATTTTATCATTATCAGTTTCTTTTTAATTAAGTGTTAGTAAAACACATGAAAAAGTTTCATGTATAATTGATTAAGAGGCATGAGATAATGAGCATTTTTTAGTGAGCTCCTTGATTAATAACATTTTACATAACTTGTGTAGTCATTGGCTCAGGTACATGTACACAAAATGCGATTCTTGAAATCTGTTGTAGTATGACCAAATTTGGAAATATTGAAGGCCGAGCTTAAAAATTATGCGCAAAAAATGTATTATTTAATATTTAAAATTTTAACTACAATTGTGATTTCATTAGCATCAAATTTAGGTTTTGTTCTGTTTACAGTTACAGTAGCATCACTCTCAAATATATCTAAATGTATAACGACATCCACAGATAGTAAACAGTTTAATACAGAAATTATTATTAATATCAACCCATAACTTGCTAAATTTCTTAAATGGACCTGTCTAGCTTTCATTTTTGGAACTGTCCATTATCAAATGTAGAGGGAGGAGGGATATCAAGACAAAAAAATTGAAGTCCTTCAGCCAATAGTTAAGAGCCAAATCATACTGCATGGCTATGCAAGGCTGACCTGGCAAAGGCACACAACTTTTGAATCCAGTTAAAATGATGCAGAACGTTGTATACTTCAATAATAAATTTATAAAAGCATTGATTAGTGTACTCCCCTGTGATACATCATGTCAAATTGACAGATATCACATAAAATATCAATAAAATGTGGAGATTTTTATGATGATATTATTTACTCTGTAGGTTACTTTTGAGTTTGAGAAATGTTTTATACCTATTTAATACCGATTTAGAATATTTTATATTGATTAATTAAAGTTGTACTTGATTTGACAGTTAATGTTGCCACAAATGTTTGTACAGGTTTAAATAAAATCTCAGCCTGTAACATCAAAATTTATTGAAATCTCAACTAGCTTAGTCATGGTCCAATCTTGATAGTTTAAAGAAATTTCACATTTCCCTTTATAGTTTAAGAAGTTGGACATTTTCTGGTGAATTACTATAACTTTGATTGTGATGAAAATATTACTTCCACCAAAATTATCATCATATGTATTAACTACAAATACTTACCTCCATTAACCTCACCATTAAATAAGGTTGATAAGTGAAATGTGTACCTACTTTGTGCATAGAAGCTATCCAGCATGCATGTTTAAAGGCCTGTCATGGTAAACTATGAACCCCTTTTTTACAAAAATTAAAATTTCTCAAGGGTAAAAATATTAATTTATCTATTTTCAGTCACAATCGTAGAACAACAACATTTGATCATCCTGTAACAGGTCATTCTATAATGGAGGCTCCAACTCGAACCCCTCCACAGAGTCCGCTAACTAAAGGTAGCCAGCATAGGAAGAGTGGTAAATCTCGGACCATTAAAGCGCCGGCTGCTTCAAGGGAAGAGAACTCCAAGGTCATTCTTAGAGGATGGTTACAAAAACAAGTAAATATTTTTATATTAAAATATATTCTGGTTCCTGTTCACTTGTATAAAGGTCATGTACTATGTTTAATAGATATATAAAATACCCCCACACGCGTTCGCCTGTGAAAATGCCATGGCAAGAACATGTATGGTTTAAACATATTTCATTCGTCACATAAGAACACATTTACATACATGACATTTACAATCATTAAAAAAAAAGGATTAGACTGGAAGCAACCTAATGCGTCCCAAGTACATGTTTATTTACATGAAATTAGAATTAATACTGAAAAATAACATTATTAATGTAACAAATCATGACAACACATTGTAACTTTATATTAAGATAAATGTATTTAAATTATGTAAATGTAATGCTATCTAAAACATAGCTGTTTTAAGAAGCTATGATACAAATGTAGTGAGGTCTTTATATGATTTAACATGAATCATACATTATATTATAGGAGAGTGGAGGTTTGAAATTATGGAAGAAGAAATGGAGTGTTCTTGCTGACTTTGGTCTGTTTTTCTATAAGGATGATTCAGAACAAAACTGTATAGGTAAGTGAACAACTATAGTATGCTTGGTAATGTAAATATTCCATTGTCAAAATTGTTAAATTCACTCAGTTTCTTATATGCAATAATGCCAGGAACTTGCATTTCTGCAAAGCTTGTAAAGGATACATGTATTAATTGAGTACAATTTTGAAGTTGTTTATTAGGTCAGATTATATTTTGATGCCATGTTAATCATCACCTAAGTTCAACCAAGGTATTTTCACAACTTTTTGAGTTTTAAATTTTTAAGTGTATCTGACAAAATCATGTGACCGTGTAATATATGTCTTGTTGCCTTGCTGCAGGTTCTATCCTGTTGCCTAGTTACAGGTTCTATATTAGATTCAGTCCTGTTGCATTGCTTCAGGTTCTATCCTGTTGCAGGTTCTATTTTGTTGCCTTTTGACAGGTTCTCTCTTGTTACCTTGTTACTTATTTTATCCTGTTGCCTAGAAACAAGTTAATTCTTGTTACCTTGTTACAGGTTCTATCTTGTTGCCTTGTTACTTATTCTATCCTTTTGCCTAGATACAGGTTAATTATTGTAACCTTGTTACAGGTTCTATCTTGTTGCCTAGTTACAAGATCAACCCTTGTAGTTCACATGATGTCAACAAGAAGTACGCATTTAAGGCAGAACATGAGAATATGAAAACATTTTATTTTGCTGCCGAGAACCAGGTGGAGATGGAGAAATGGGTTGAAGCATTAAAAATGGCCTCACTTGTACAGCGAGCTCCAGGGTAAGACAACTCTTGTACTCTTAATCTAATTCTGAATTATGCTTCTTTATTAGCATAATTATATGATAATTTCAGGTCTATTTTTTAGCTCACCTGTCACAAAGTGACAGGGTGAGCTTTTGTGATCGCTTTTCGTCCGGCGTCCGTCCGTCCGGCCGTCCGTCCGTCCGTCGTCCGTCGTCCGTCCGTAAACTTTTACTTTAAATGACATCTCCTCACAAACCACTAAGCCAATTTCATCCAAACTTCACTGGAATGTTCCTTTGGTGGTCACCTTTAAAAATTGTTCAAAGAATTTAATTCCATGCAGAACTCTGGTTGCCATGGCAACCGAAAGAAAAAACTTTAAATATCTTCTTTTAAAAAACCATAAGAGCTAGAGCTTAGATATTTGGCATGAAACATCTTCTAGTAAGTGTCTACCAAGTTTGTTCAAATAAAAAGCCCTGGGGTCAAAAATTGGCCCCGCCCCAGGGGGTCATTGATTTTCCCTATATGCATATAGTAAAAACTAAAAAAAATTTCTTTTAAAGAACCCAAAGAGCTAGAGCTAAGATATTTAGCATGAAACATGTTCTAATGGGTGTCTACCAAGTTTGTTCAAATAAAAGCCCTGGGGTCAAAATTGGCCCCCGCCCCGGGGGGTCATTTGATTTTCCCTATATGCATTATAGTAAAAACTTAAAAAATCTTCTTTTAAAGAACTCAAAGAGCTATTGCTAAGATATTGAGCATCAAACATGTTCTAATAGGTGTCTACCAAGTTTGTTCAAATAAAAGCCCTGGGGTCAAAATTGGCCCCGCCCCAGGGGGTCATTGATTTTCCCTATATGCATATAGTAAAAACTTAAAAAGTCTTCTTTTAAAGAACCCAAAGAGTTAGAGCAAAGATATTTAGCATCAAACATCTTCTAATGGGTGTCTACAAAGTTTGTTCAAATAAAAGCCCTGGGGTCAAAAATTGGCCCCGCCCCAGGGGGTCATTGATTTTCCCTATATGCATATAGTAAAAACTTAAAAAGTCTTCTTTAAAAAACCCAAAGAGCTAGAGCTAAGATATTTAGCATGAAACATGTTCTAATGGGTGTCTACCAAGTTTGTTCAAATAAAAGCCCTGGGGTCAAAATTGGCCCCGCCCCGGGGGGTCATTGATTTTCCCTATATGCATATAGTAAAAACTTAAAAAGTCTTCTTTTAAAGTACCCAAAGAGCTAGAGCTAAGATATTTAGCAGGAAACATTTTCTAATGGGTGTCTACCAAGTTTGTTCAAATAAAAGCCCTTGGGTCAAAATTGGCCCCGCCCCAGGGGTGTCATTGTTTTTAACTATATGTGTATAGTAAAAACTTAAAAAAAATCTTCTTTTAAAAAGCCCAATGAGCTAGAGCTTAGATGTTTAGCATGAAACATCTTCTTATGGGTGTCTACCAAGTTTGTGCAAATAAAAGCCCTTGGGTTAAAATTGGCCCTGCAACGTTTTCGGGGGTTGGGGGGGTTGGGGGGCCTATATACAGGTGAGCGATCTCAGGGCCATCATGGCCCTCTTGTTATAACTTCCTGTAGGTACTATTTTTCTCATTATTTATGAAAGGAAAATTTGCATTTATTATGCAATTTCCACTTCATGATTGTACTGATAAATTAAAATGTAAATTTAGATTTTTCTTAAGAAATTTTATCTGAGCTTATAACTAGATAATCTGATAGTTTTAAATCTGAATAATAATATTGTCACATAATATACACACAGGTACTTTATTATTATTAATATAAGTAACTTAAAACAGTAATATCTCATGTCGAAAGATTATTTTTGTCTTACTTTTCATTATGTTACAAGTTCATTTCCCTAAAATTGTTACTTTATTTAAAGATAAGTGTTTATGTAAAAGCATTTACTATGTGTGAAACTATGAATAGTTAAATATCACAATAAGTTATGATTTCATTAAGGTTTGAATCACCTGCTGTTTTCATTTTCCACTTATTCATTCTGACAAAACACAGTGAGAGTTTGTCTATTGTCATTTTTCACATGTCTATCTCTTTTAACACAGGTCATAAGTCCAAGTTTGATTAAATCAGTCAAATGTAATAATGTTTTGTGGTTTAAAGATATTTTGATGTGCAGGTTCAGAAATGAGGCTCTATCCTTACCCAGTTATATTTTTATAATGGACATTGTCCTGCTATGAATTTTGATCTTTTCATTAGAAATTTAAGAGTGTTCATTATCAAGAATTCTAAAATTTTATATCATACAGCAGTATTGAGCCTTGTTAAAACTTCATTTATGCACAGACTGGCATCAATCTAATTAAAATTAGATCATCGTTTTTTCTTCGTTCCTCTAAGATACAAAGGGTAGTGGAGCGATAATTAGGATATGATTTTAATGAGATTGAGACTGCCCTGACTATACTGGTGACACTATATTTTTGTTGCCCCCAATCAAAGTGGTTAATGAATATATTAATTTGTAGGTCACATTGGTTATTTTGTTTACAAAATATTTAATATTGATATTGCAATGCAATTGAAATACATGTATGATTAATTGAAATGCTACTTGACAAGGTAGGTATTTCTTTTTATGGTTACTTTGTATAAGATCTCCCACAAGTAAAAAAAAAAAAAAAAAACTATGTGTTTACAGGTCAGGACTTGTTCCTAAGATGATCCCTAAATCTCCCATCATGAGTTGGAATGATGACACAGACAGCCCAGGTATTTCTCCACCAGACATGCAACAGTACCCATTCTCAGGTCAAGATGGAAATACTACCAGAGGAAGTGGGGACAATAGTTTCATTGAAAGAGCCCCACTACAAGCCCGTGAAAATATACAAAACTATAGTGACCCTTACCAGAGACATAGAAATGGGAGTGGTCCTTCTAGTGTCAGTTCAGGAACTTTGCCAAGGGATAATAGAGGTCAAGGTCCAGGGCCAGGGTACGGGCAACCAAATTATCCAGATGATCCCAGATATCTTGGAGATAGAACAGATAGAAAAAGAAGCTCACAGAGATCAAATCAGGGTCAAGGTCTTCCAGATGATCAGAGGTCAATGTCATCTGTAGGTCAAAGGTCAGCTCAGTATCCCTCAAGTACTATGCCAAGGGACATGAGGCCTAATCAGCCAGATAACAGAAGCTTGAGCTCACTTAGAGGTCAAGGTTATAACTCATTGCCAAGAGATCAAAGGTCAAGGCCACAGGAAGGTCATGAATTGCCACACAGAACAAAGGAGTACAGAGAAAATCCAAAAGATGCCTCAAGGAGAAGAAGGGATGATAATAATCCATACATGACAATGATGTCACCTCATGCAAACGAAAGGTATTTGGTTTATTTGTGATATTTTGGGTTTCTTGGTAATTAAAGTTTTATAGATCTGTTATCTTTTGTTTTTGATAAAAAAGACTTAATTATCTTCACTTTATCAGTTTATATACTTATATATATCATCACAATATCAGTTAATTATACTTACTGTAAAATACTAGATAGATATAAAAGTAAGGGGAAAAGAATGCGCCAAACATCAGGGGGTTATGAATATATATCAGATTACTGAACACTTTTTCAGGTTGTTTTTAAATGGTAAGAAGATTTGTATAAAAGTGTCAGGCATACAAAGTTTTTATAAAAAATTACTGATACCAAAAGAAATTATTATTTCATGAAATAATTATTATTTTGTCTGCAGGAAAATGGACCCATTAAAGCACAGTAACAGACCTTTACCACAAGAACCAAGACATGAGAGACCTCGTAATCTGGAACCTGCACATGAGAAGGGCCGGTCAGGTGGCGGGGATTATGCCAGCCTTACTAGGATAAGAGATAAATGGCCTAGTATGTTTATATATTGTTTGAACTGTTTTATTCAAATTACACATGTACATTGTATCTGCAACCCTTTTGATTGCAAATTATGTTGTATATTTTATAACATAGATATAAAGAACATTGTATGTCCTATTAACAGGCCATGTTTTAATGGCTTAACCATATTTTGGCAGATTAAAATAGAAACCAATATTATATTTAGATAGTTTAAGATATGCTCTGTAGAGCTGGAATTGCAATATGATATATTATAGGAATGTTTAAGTTGACATGGTTAATTGTAGTGTTTTCTTTGATTATAGATCAACAGTTATCAGACAGTGGGACAACAGGATCTGGCAGTGAGTCAAACAGACCTAACCACCACCTGTCCCCCACAGGTTCAAGCGGTGAACCAGTGAGACCAAATCATCTTTCCCCTACTCAGCAAAATAGACCAGACCTGTATGTGGATATTCCTCATACTTATGTTAATGTATATGATGAATCTCAAGTCAGAGGTAGGTCTTCATTTGTCAATTTTATAGTTTTATGTTAAAAATCATGAAAATCAACAATCATCTGTCCCAAGTTTTAGGTCATTTGATTCAATCAGAATGATTAAGATTAAATAAGGAATGGGTATATACATAAGTGTTAGTGAATGAGAGCTGTGTCATATTTTTACTGTAAAATAGAAATAGATTCACAAGCAGTATATTCCTACATATAGCATAGTCCAACTGTTTGTACTAAGATTTAAGATATCTTGTCTCTTTGATTCTGATTTTTTTTCTCAGAACCAGCTTTGGACATGAAAATATTTTGCTTCACATAACCATAAGCTTTTCTATGTTTTTGTTACCATAAACCATGTGCTTTTAAATATAATCACAAATTATTGTTTGTTACATGTTGCAGCAAGTCATGTGCTGTTACATAATACCTAAAGAAATGAGTTGTTACATAGTACCAAAACCACAAGCCATGTGCTTATAAATGTAACACAAGCCATGTGCTGTTACACATTACCCTTAGTCATGTGCTGATACAAATTACCACAAGCCATGTGCTGATACAAATTACCACAAGCCATGTGCTGATACATATTACCACAAATCATTGTGTTGATACACATTACCCTTAGTCATGTGCTGATACAAATTCCCATAAGCCATGTGCTGATACAAGTTCCCACAAACCATGTGCTGACATAAATTCCCACAAGCCATGTGCTGATACTAATTACCACTAGCCATGTGCTGATACAAATTACCACAAGTAATGTGCTGATACAAATTCTCACAAGCCATGTGCTGATACATATTACCACAAATCATTGTGTTGTTACACATTACCATGAGCCATGTGTTGATACAAATTACCACATCCATGTGCTTTTTACAAATTACCACAAGCCATGTGCTGATACAAATTCCCACAAGTTATGTGCTGTTACAAATTCCCACAAGCCATGTGCTGATTCAAATTACCACAGCCATGTGCTGATACAAACTACAAAAAGCCATGTGCTGATACAAATTCACACAAGCAATGTGCTGATACAAATTCCCACAAGCCATGTGCTGATACAAATTCCCACAAGCCATGTGCTGATTCAAATTACCACAAGCCATGTGCTGATACAAACTGCCACAAGCCATGTGCTGATACAAACTACCACAAGCCATGTGCTGATACAAACTGCCACAAGCCATGTGCTGATACAAATTCCCCATGTGATGATGAAAATTACCACAATCCATGTGCTGATACAAACTACCACAAGCCATGTGCTTATACAAACTACCTCAAGCTATGTGCCGATACAAATTCCCCATGTGATGATGAAAATTACCACAATCCATGTGCTGATACAGACTACCACAAGCCATGTGCTTATACAAATTCCCACGAGCAATGTGCTGATACAAATTCCCACAAGCCATGTGCTGATACAAATTCCTACAAGCCATGTGCTGATTCAAATTACCACAAGCCATGTGCTGATACAAATTGCCACAAGCCATGTGCTGATATGTATTACCTTGAGTTTTGTACTATTTACAATTTATCATGAGACTACTCAATTTTTCAAGGGAAACATTTTCCTCTGATATTGCTATAGTCTCCCTTCAAATATATTATGTTACATTGCAAGTAATTTATATGTGTACATAATTATGTATTTTGATATGTAACTTAATGCTGTCCTTGACTATCCAAAGAATAATTTTGTAACTAATACAAATAATTTCAAGCATATTCCTGTAACCACATTTATTTCATACCACAGAAACTATGTACACCCATAATATTTTGTATCTTAGATCAGAAAATATTTTCCATCATGATTAACTCCCCTTGCACCATTGGTATCCTAGATTGAAAACTATTTTTGTAAAGGATTATCTCCCCTTTTGCAGCACTATGTGTACTGCAAATATTTTATTAACTTCAGAGTTAAAGGGAAAGCATTATCTATTTTAAGACTGCACATATTTGATAAGTGTTTTAAGGACATGTTACATCTCAGATGTGAGATAATTTGCATTTGGTAAAGTATATTTAATAATGTGATATTTTTAAAGAGTTTAGATACATTTTGAATTGTTTTAAACTTTAAATTGATAATTTATCTCCATGTTTAAAATACATTTAATATTATAACAAATAACTTGTATTAAAATACTATTACATAATTCAGTAAGTATAATGGCATTATGTTGAAAGGAAAAGTTACTTAGCGGGATAATCTTATCTTAATGTTTTAAAGAGTTTTTTCACTAACAGATACATGTAAAATGTACTTAGACTGTCAAATTGAAAACTGTTTTTAATAAATGATAAAAGAATATTTTGCTATATTTATGCCTGACAGTTTTTGCTATAGGATGTTAATGTCTAGATAATCAAACATTTGAGTGCTTACAAGTTCTAAAGGTGAAATAAAAGACATAGAATTGCTACTCACTTTTAGTATTTAATATATAGATATTAGATTATTAACTATTCATTGATTATTTTAATCTAACAATAACTAAAAGTAACAAGTGGCAGTTTCAAAGTTTAAGTTAGGTAATCTGTTTTATATGCAGTTGCTCTAAAGTTATGGAAACATCTTATTACAGCTTTCAGTACTAGTATTCAAAATTGCATTTTTTAGCTCGACTTTTCTATGAAAAGGGGAGCTATCCTACTCGCCCCGGCGTCGGCGTCGGCGTCACACCTTGGTTAAGTTTTTCGTACCACCCCACTTTATTTCAGAAGTATTACAAGTATGGCTTTGAAACTTACCATACTTGTTCACCATCATAACCTCCATCTACAGACAAGAGTACATAACTCTGTCAAGGTTTTTGACAGAATTATGGCCCTTTTTTGACTTAGAAAGTGTATTGAGCTTGGTTAAGTTTTTTGTACCAACTCACTTTATTTCAAAACCATTGGAGGTATTGCTTTGAAACTGACCATACTTGTTTACCATCACGACCTTCATCAACAGACAAGAGGACATAACTCTGTCAAGGTTTTTGACAGAATTATGCCCCTTTTTGACTTAGAAAATACATTGAATATGGGTAAAATCCACTTATTGCCTTAACCCTTTGAGATATTGCTTTGAAACTTTTAATGCTATTTCACATCATTACCCCCATCTGTACGCAAGAGAAGGTAACTCTGTCAAGGATTTGTTTTAAAAATTAAGGCCTTTTATCGACTTAGAATCTTGGTTAAGTTTTTAGTACCAGTCCACTTTTTGACTGAACTGTTTGAGATATTAATTTGAAAGTTGGAATACTTGTTTACAATCATGATTCCCAAACATGTCCAGGAGAAGGTAATTCTGTCAAAGATTTTATTTGAATTATGGCCCTTAACTGTCAATGTTTTGTATTATAGGCAAGCACTAAAAAACTTAAAAAATTCATTCCTATCCACTTGTTCACTTTACCATAAAAGGCTCAAGTCAGTTTTTTTTTCTTTCTTACCAGCCCTCTTTTGACTTAAACATTTCAAACTTTGCTGCAGTGTTCAAGGGTATCACACAATTCAGTAAAATAATTCTTCACTAAATATCTTAATGCTGATGGCCATTGTTCACTTTAAAAATACAGAGATTCTTGTATTGCCTTTTACTGCAAAAACTTTTTTTATTGGCAAGCAATAAAAAAGTCGAGCGCGCTGTCTTACGGACAGCTCTTGTTTTCTCAGCTATTGACCTTTATTTGAAAAGGTCAATAGGTCAGAGTTATGGATCATGTTCACTATGAGATTTAATTTAACATAGTTACCCAAAACTGGTGAATTTGTAGTGGTAGTGGCGGTCAGCCGTCAGCCTAGTTCTAGTATTTGTGTCTGATATGTTGTGAAAATTAAATACAAGTTTTCTTCAGGCAGTTATTTCTTCCCATTTCTTAAGCTTTAGAAAATTTGTCTAATGTTGTTTAAAATAGGGGGGAAATACTTGACTTTGTCTTTAACAAGTTTTTTATGTATAATAATATGGTAATCAAATAATGTATACATAATTTCAGACCATCCACCAGAGTTACCATCCCGTCCTCCTCTCCCGGCTGAGATGAGACACCAGATTGTTGAAGACATCGCCAAAACACGCTCACCCAACACTCAAAATGAAATGATTATCGCGGAGAACAACTTGGAGAGGAGAATGAATCAACCAGCATTTTTCAATTACCCAACACCAACACAGGAATCTCTACCGTCTTTCCCACAAGTACATAGTTTATTTTTTTATTAGGAGACCTTTGTAACCAAGTGGATAATATTAGTATCACTGACTCGTAATAACTATTAGTTACCATTAACAAATGGAGGAGTTCCTGTGGTTGTCCTAATTATGTTTGAAAAGTCTCAGTACGACCTTGACCGTGTCAGAATTTTTTTTTAATCATTGTTCTTGCTAGGTAATGTCAGATTAATGAAGGTATTTTACAATTTATATGTTGTTTTTTATTTATTTTTTTATTTTCATTTCCATTGGTATTTATTTATTATAAGTACATGTATTTAATTAGCAGCCATTAAATAATGAAAAAGGACATCTATCATGTCATCTATGGTGTCATTCTCATAACTTTTATTTGACAATTGTAATACTTGTTTTGTAATTCATCTCTCTCAGGAAAGTCCAAGGTCACAGTACTCTCAAAGGTCACAGAGGTCACAGGATCCAAGGTCATATGAACAGGATAGAGGTCAACCTCATTTACCAAGGCGACCAGGTATTTATTATGTGGCAATGAAATCATTTTGATGTGAAATTACTAAGAGTGGATATTCTTTTAACTTTGACAATTTTCCTCTTGTAACAATCCTGAGGGTTAGACAAGCACAGTTGAAAAAAATAAAAGCAACAAAACTATAAGTCAATAAATCTAAAAAGTAAGTTTTCGCAATTTTTATTTTTAAAGCAAATTACAGGTTTAGCCAAAGGCTGTCAAAACTATTTCTTTAGTAAGTTTATTGCATTACAATGTTTGTTTTATTAATTTACCAAATGGTCCACTCCCACATTCTTACAGAAAAGTTAATTTTCTTAAGCTTTTTTTTCAAATGAAAAAAAAAATGAACACTTATCATTTATGTGTTGATAAATCATAACACTAGAAAAGTAGTTCCTTGGCTAGTTTGATGTAATTATCATGCATGTGCAGTAAAAATCTAGGTATTGTAGCACAAAATTATATCTAAATATCTATAAATGTTGTGTAGGTTTTAGCAATGTTGCCATGGTGATCTGAGGCCTATTCACACACAAATGCAAATTAAATTGTAATGGAACTTTCTTTGCTTCTTTTTGATAACAGTAGCAAAGTTGTGGTGCTAGTTTTTTGATACACAGTGAAACTTGTATTTATCTACAAATATAAAAACTTGTCCATCAAGACTATTTTTGATATTTCATTTTCAAAGTTACACAGATCTTCATAAACAGGTCTGACTGTACATAAATTTGACTTGTTGATTAAGAGATTAAATTTATAATAATACAAGATTTTAATAATGTTCCTATGTATTGCTGATTATTTGCATTTCATTAATTTATTAACATCATTAAAAGGTGAGGAAAGTTCCTGTTTGCTGTAAGGGTGTTGTGTGATAATGGTGTGCTGTGTTTTTGTTGTAGATATTGCACATGATGCCCCAATCACGCGCCAAGATGCCAGAAATTCATACCAACCTCCGCCAAATAAATACGGTCATAATCTAAATGACTCTAACTTGTCTAATCATTTAGATGGCAGTGATATCACTCTTACTAATGAAGATGAACGAAATGATAAAATAAGTGAATTTTACGGCCTTGGCAAATACAATGCTAAAAAAGGTCAGAACCGAAATGATAAGACCAGGTTTATGTCTGACATAGATGTGCGGTCAAATACAGTGCCTTACAAACCACAGACAGGTATTACTGGTGAAAAAGATTTTAGATTACGTAGTTTACCAGATCACGTTCAGTCTATGCCGGCATTGTATCACGAGCAGCAGCCATTATCAATACAAGTACCTGAACGTGAGCCAGTTAATAGTTACATGAACCTGTCTGCAGCTAGTAGTATACCTAATGGCCATGAACCTGCGGACCAAGATCAAAGAAGATCTGCATTCAGACCTCTATCAGCAAACTCTTTACAAAGAATTCCAAGCACTGGAAGCTATCCAGATGATCGCTATGGTGATTATAGAGATCAGAGTCATAGAGAAGATTATCCCAATCAGGGTCGATCAGGAGATTACAATATGTCCCCTAATTACTCGGATCAAGGTCGATTTAATGACTACAACACCCCTCAACAGGATCAAACCGATGTAAAGAGATTATCATCTGCTAGTTCACAACTTTCTCAAAATAGAATACCCCCATGGAAGCAAGGTAGTTTGTCGTCTGCTGTTTTGTATTTGGCAATAATGGGCTTTAATTATATTCATTAACTTGGGTCTAGAGGGCTGCTTCTGTCTTAATTAATGACTATGATTTAAAATGTTTCTTTCAGATGTTCAAACTTAGTTTTACTCATTTAAAGATTTCTGCTGTCAGCATTAATCTATATGTTAGAATATTGAAATATAACAAGATCATGTAGGCATAGTATTAATGAAACTTCATTGGCTGGTAAGAAAGAATTGTTCTCTCATCTATGTTGTAGAACATTTAGTAGTAAATCCATCTGTACATATCTTTTAGACTTTAGAGTTTAGTCTGTTGTTGAAAATCTTGCTAGTTATTCAAAAAACAAATAGGCAAAAATTCAAGTGACATGTAGATATGTGTCAGTATGTGAAAAGAAAGTTGATTCTTTTATTTAGATACATTACAAGGAGATCATGATCCTGGCAGACAAAACAGGGGTCAAGGTTACAAGGGTCAAGGTCAGAGAGGTCACAGACCACCACCAGCAATACATACAGTGAAAGAAGACCCAGACATGCCCGATTCACAAGTGATAGTAAGTAAAGAAATATATTGGTATTTGATAAAGTGTTGGTAAATAAACTCTTTCTTGTATAGGAATTTAATAATTAATATTGTGTGTGTAGCAGAACAAATTCAACTAATCATTACATTTTTCATTTGAATAAGATCAAAGATTTTTAAAATCACCATATGCATGACCGCACATGACAAAATACTGAGAGTATGTGGGTAATAGAGTTGCACTGATAATACATAGAGTATAATATCTAACCCTGGGACATCAGATAGCTGTTTTAACTGCATTTTTATGTAAACATATAGGAAGATGTATTAACTGTCGATCCAACTTCTGGTTTGATTAACCTTTTCCCTTATATAAGCGTGTTTCGACGGCTTTTTGCCCCCCCCCCCTTTTTGAGGCCTCAAACAGTGAAAAAATGCCCTATTTAGGCCCCAAACACTGTCTTTTGTTTGAGAAATGTTGTTAAAAAAAGTGACCATTTTTTCGGCGCCGTCCCCCATCCAAATATTACATCAGGGGGTTGCCAGAAGGGGGATGTGCCCCCTTCTGTTTGGGGGGTTTGAAGGGGGGCGGAGTCCCCCTCATCGCCAAGAAAATTTTGGACTTGTGACAGGCTTAAAATGACCCCAGGTCGATCATAAGGTAACGTGTAACCAACGCTGAAAAGCCTTTGACTCTATCTCAATCCCTTGAGAAGTTGCAGCACTTTGAAATAAATTTTGATGGAGAAAATCGAGACAAAAAAGTGATTTTTGGCAATTTTGAGATGTCCCCTCGTTGCCATGGTAACAGGAAATTTAAGACTGAGCATGTCGTTACAAAGGCAATGGTCCAGTCAACATTTGTGCCAAGTTTGATTAGTATTGAAGCATTTTTCATAGTTTCATAGCAGTTTGAACTTGTAACAGGAGGCTTTTCAGTGAAAATGGCCATTTTTCACAATATGCTCATGGGGGAAAGGGTTAACTAAAAAAAATATTAATGTTACAAAACAACAATTTTTCACCAAAATTAGGTAAAAGACCACATGTTAACATGGAAAAACTAGATTTTGGGTGATTCCAAGGTTTTTCATCATTTTTTGTTAACCTTTTCCCTTATATAAGCGTGTTTCGACGGCTTTTTGCCCCCCCCCCTTTTTGAGGCCTCAAACAGTGAAAAAATGCCCTATTTAGGCCCCAAACACTGTCTTTTGTTTGAGAAATGTTGTTAAAAAAAGTGACCATTTTTTCGGCGCCGTCCCCCATCCAAATATTACATCAGGGGGTTGCCAGAAGGGGGATGTGCCCCCTTCTGTTTGGGGGGTTTGAAGGGGGGCGGGTTCCCGCTCATCTCCAAGAAAATTTTGGACTTGTGACAGGCTTAAAATGACCCCAGGTCGATCATAAGGTAACGTGTAACCAACGCTGAAAAGCCTTTGACTCTATCTCAATCCCTTGAGAAGTTGCAGCACTTTGAAATAAATTTTGATGGAGAAAATCGAGACAAAAAAGTGATTTTTGGCAATTTTGAGATGTCCCCTCGTTGCCATGGTAACAGGAAATTTAAGACTGAGCATGTCGTTACAAAGGCAATGGTCCAGTCAACATTTGTGCCAAGTTTGATTAGTATTGAAGCATTTTTCATAGTTTCATAGCAGTTTGAACTTGTAACAGGAGGCTTTTCAGTGAAAATGGCCATTTTTCACAATATGCTCATGGGGGAAAGGGTTAAGTGACATGTGTTTTTGATGTATTTTGATGAATTTTGATACATTTTACCTACTTGGACAATATTTACAAGTTGATTTATACTAATTTATCTTAATTACATTAGTAAACATGGTTAAATTACATGTATGTACTTCATGTATAATGTCAAGGTAACTTCATATTTACCTCAAAGTGTCTGTAATAATACATGTATGTGTGTGTAAACAAACATAAATATGTGTATGTATGGTCTTTTATTCCTTCAATATGGGTAATGGTTTTGTCTTTCTTTTAGTTCAAAGCTGTCTTTATTAGTTGCATGAATTTCAATGTCAAATCAGAATTATAATTTTTTCTATTGAAGTCCAAAATGCAAATTTAAATGTTAAACATTGCAATATTATACAATGACCTTTCTTTTGAATTAATAATTAAAAAAAAAAATAGGTGTGTTGAGAGAATTTTGTTGTGTACCAGCTATGATATCCCTCAATGTGATTGATACTTGCAGTGTTAACCAATATGTTTACCAATTGAGATAAGCCCGCTGTCTCAACTGATAAATTTGTATATATAAATATTGCAGTAAAAAGAGGATACAATCTAAAGAATGAAAATTATAAAATCTTTGTTTTATTTGTAGGAGACTGAACTTCCAAAGAAAGTGTTCCCTCTGAATGGACCTAGATTACGGATGAGTATTTCTGCTACTGATTTACTGGGTAAAACTGTAAGTAAATTTCATGCTTCATTTTAATTCATTATCATTGTCTTACATGTATAATTTAGAGGAAGATATAGATATTTTGTATTGATTAAGTGAAAATTAATTAACTATATGTTGGAAATGATAAGCTGATTTTAGAGATTTACACTATAAAACTATGATCATAGGATAAAATGTCTTCCAATCAATATAATAGTATTGTTACATATGATGCACATGTAGAGCCAAAGTTAAATGATGAATATTCATTTCAGCATGACGAGTTGGTGCTATTATTGATACAGTTAAGGCGGGACAAGGCGGAGTTAAATGAACAAAGGGATGGTATTAGAAAAAATGTTGAACAAAACAGACCAGCAGAGTTCTATTACAGAAAATTGTAAGTTGTTTTGTTCATATTTTGTTTTATTATGTGTAGATATCTTGATGAATTTACTGCTTAGACCACTGGTTGCAAATATGTTGATTTTCATGGAAGATTTCAATGGTTAATGTTTTGCAAAAATGATTTGTTAGTTTTATTGTAAATAAGGACAATTCGTCATGTACTCCATGTACACCATCATCCATGTTATTTTAGTTATAGAATGAGGCTGTGTATGTCTTGCTTAAAAAACAAGAATTTAGGCACATTGTTGTTTCGTTCCCCCTAAAAATCTTAAATGGACTTGTCCATCTTTATATCTGAACAAAACCATTAAATTTTATCATTTTAAGCTGGGACGGAAGTATCTTTCTGTCCCAGTTTAAAGGAAACTTTTAAGGTATAAACTGGCTTAATAGTGAACAGTTCAGACTATAACCAGACAGCATGAATGTGCTGGATTATATTGGTCTGCACTGGTCACATGGGTAGAAATAGTTGTCACTAGCACATGTAGCAGGCTTATTGATAATAAAATACCTATTTCAGACAAAATGAGGGTAGACCTATAGATGGTGAAAAAGAACTTCAACATAGAAGATATGTAGATCTGAAACATAAGCTAGATGAGGTGGAGAAAAAGGTAGTCATAAGTTTGACCTTGACCTTTGTAACTTTGATCCGCGTAAATTATGATTATCAGACATGCACCAACATATAAGCCTTGCATAGCTAATTTGAACAAACTTTTCTTACTGTCCATTGTGAAAGAGGGGAGTTTGACCATTTACCTGGTGAATTTCTTAAATGGATACCTTGTATTTTCATTTTTGAAGTAGTTATTGGTTGATATTGGGATGAAAATATGGAAGTTGGCCAGCCAATTCTGGTCTTGCTCTAGTCTGGTGGCAAAGGCCAATTACTATGATCCAACAATGAATGAATTAATTAATTAAAGTATAAATGCTGAAATAAAGCAGTTGCTTGTGACATAGGCATAATATTATAGGCACATAATCATTATTGCTTACATGGAAATGTTTTTATTAAAATTAAGCATCCAAGTTTTCCTTTGTTTTGTTATATATGAATATTGATGCCAAAAATAGTAAGAAAATTAAAGTAAGTGTTTAATGTTTTAATATTATTACAGTTGGAGGTATATAAACCACTGGTGAATCTTGTATGTAACATGGTAACCATGGGAAGTTTATATGGAGGCGACAATCTCATGTTAGCAACAGAATATAGAAAGGTATACAAATAAAAGTCATGTTCATTGACAATTTTTCCGTTACCTTTTATGATAATTGAAGGTTGTATATATTGCAAGTTATAAGATTTTTGACAGGTTTTATGGCCTAATATTAATGGTTGCAAGTTTATATAGCAAACAATCTACTACATTTGACCATATAACTTGTTAAAAGTTTTTATAACACATTTTATAATACCAAACAATTTTCTTTTTGATTAAAATGAAAATAAATTCATTAACTTGCATCAGATGTATGGTTATAAAGATAATAAAACTAACCTGTACAGGCGTCATTATCAGACAGTATTGGTTATGACCTTAGCAGGAGTAAAACCAACGGTTCCTGTTTTGAAATGCAGACACCTCAACTTCTCCTTCACATCTCTTCTTTTATGTGTGTATCTGTAGTACAGTTTTGAAGGGCAGAGACCTAATTCACCCCTCTTCTCTTATTCGTGTATCTAGAGTACAGTAAGAACACAAATTTTCCTTGTTTCAGTAACAATATAACTTTATATTACAGCATTTGTTATCACCAGAACAGTATTCTCCACCTAAGAAGATGTTGGAGTTTTCCCGGAAGCACCAGGAAGATCAGGTTATACAGGGGATAGAGGAAGATGTTAAACAACTCACCCAGGAACAGGCAGATCTCGAGGTATATATTTAATATATATAGACACAATACAATAGTGGTGTAACAACTTGAAAAACTAGTTAAAAATGTTCTCAATAATTATTGTTCTCAATGTTTCATTTTGTTTATTATGTTTGGTTTTACGAAATGTTAATTCAATTATTTTTAAATAGGCATTTTCTGGAGATTAATCAGTAAGCTGCCAGGTTTGAGTAGAAATCTGGGTATGAATACCAATATTCAATGTGAAGGTTTGATAAGTCCAGGAGTTTGATAAGTCCTGAATCTGTCTATGTGGCATACTATAACTTATTTTGTGTTTCAAATGTTTAATTTAAAGATATGCTATGCTAAAATTTTATACATGTATTTTGAAATATTGATAATCACTACACAGTCTCTTTGTAAATATAGAATAAGCATGTTCTGACTACGCAGAAAGTAGATAATTATGTTATGTTTTAAACTCTACACACTATAAGTAGACACATTAAGAATATAATAGTATCATAAAAAACCGGCAGTTTTTTTAAGAAAGGACCAACTTGACTTGACCTGTAATAGGATTTGCACCTTCCCACACACAGTTTTTACATTCTTTTATTAAAATTAGACATATTCAGAAAGAATGACATACATTTCAATTAATTTCTGGGATAAAAATATTTTACTCTAAGATGAGCATAGTATATCTTTAATATTTTTTATAATTATACGGTTGACGGTATTGAACTTTTTTTTATGTACATGTACTTTTGTTTTTGAAAATTAGAAATGGTATAAACTCACATGTTCTTTTTTCAGGTTAAAAAATATGAGGTAAAATAAGGCATAAAAATGTTGATGTAGATGTAGTGATTTTTTCAAAAATTACAAGTCTTCTCTCACTTGTAGAATGTTGTTTATGAGGGTTTTTTTCTGGATCAGAAATTTTGGAAACCACTTATTTCATTGTTGTAGACAGTATACTGTTACTGTAATGTTATATGTCTCTGCTAGTGTTTGAAATTTTAAATTTTGCTCAAATAGAACATTTTTATACATTTCTTTATGTGACCTAGGATGTCACAGATGTTACATCTCTGTATGTGTGACCTAGCATGTCACAGATGTCACATGTCTGTATGTGTGACCGAGCATGTCACAGATGTCAAATGTTTCTATCTGTGACCTAGGATGTCACAGATGTCACATGTCTGTATGTGTGACCTAGCATGTCACAGATGTCACATGTTTCTATCTGTGACCTAGGATGTCACAGATGTCACATGTCTGTATGTGTGACCTTGGATGTCACAGATATCACATATCTGTGTGTGTGATCCAGGATGTCACAGATGTCACATGTCTGTATGTGTGACCTAGGATGTCACAGATGTAACATGTCTGTATGTGTGATCTAGGATGTCACAGATGTCACATGTCTGTATGTGTGACCTTGGATGTCACAGATGTAACATGTCTGTATGTGTGATCTAGGATGTCACAGATGTCACATGTCTGTATGTGTGACCTTGGATGTCAACAGATGTAACATGTCTGTATGTGTGATCTAGGATGTCACAGATGTAACATGTCTGTATGTGTGATCTAGGATGTCACAGATGTCACATATCTGTGTGTGTGATCCAGGATGTCACAGATGTCACATGTCTGTATGTGTGACCTAGGATGTCACAGATGTAACATGTCTGTATGTGTGATCTAGGATGTCACAGATGTCACATGTCTGTATGTGTGACCTTGGATGTCACAGATATCACATATCTGTGTGTGTGATCCAGGATGTCACAGATGTCACATGTCTGTATGTGTGATCTAGGATGTCACATGTCTGTATGTGTGATCTAGGATGTCTCATGTCTTTATGTGTGTGACCTAGGATGTCACATATCTGTATGTATGACCTAGAATGTCACATATGTCACATGTCTGTATGTGTGACCTGGGATGTCACATGTCTGTATGTGTGACCTAGGATGTCACAGATGTCACATGTCTGTATGTGTGATCTAGGATGTCACATGTCTGTATGTGTGACCTAGGATGTCACAAATGTCACATGTTTGTATGTGTGATCTAGGATGTCACAGATGTAACATGTCTGTATGTGTGACCTAGGATGTCACAGATTTCACATGTTTGTATGCATGATCTAGGATGTTACAGATGTCACATGTCTGTATGTGTGACCTAGGATGTCACAGATGTCACATGTCTGTATGTGTGATCTAAGATGTCACAGATGTAACATGTCTGTATGTGTGACCTAGGATGTCACAGATGTAACATGTCTGTATGTGTGACCTAGGATGTCACAGATGTAACATGTCTGTATGTGTGACCTAGGATGTCACAGATGTAACATGTCCGTATGTGTGATCTAGGATGTCTCACATATCTGTATATGTGACATAGGATGTCACATGTTTGTATGTGTGACCAAGGATGTCACAGATGTCCATTTATGGCTTTGACTGGTAACTGGTGTTTTTAGATTACTAAAATTTAATGATATTGGATTGGATAATTAGTCCATTTTAACAAGTATTTTAGACACATTTTAGCTGCACTGATTGTTTATGCTTGTAATTGAAATGGAGAAAGACATTATGCATTAGGGTTTGAAAAGTTTAATTTAAAGTTTAACTTAAACATGTAATAATGCATTGAAACATGTTTATAGATATGATAGATTGATATTAAAAGCTTTGTTTTTAACACACAATAAATGTTTTACCTCTTTTCAATGAAAAAGAGGACAGTACATGTATGCAATAAGTGTTGTCAGTATTTCTATAAGAAGTTGTTATTTTAGGACTTAAAAAGTAGTAGCAACATTGGCTGACCAAAAGCCCTTGTTGATGTTTTCCTACTTTTGGTGGCTTTTGGTTGAGGGGCTTTTGTTCTACATTTCTCACTCAGTACAAGATATGACTATTGGAAACTCAGAAAGTGCAAAATTCTTACTGACTGTATAGGAAACCATGATCAGATATTGTACAAACATGGAAGAAAAACTCTGAAAACCAAGCTAGTTTTCTAGCAGAATACATTTATCTTAAAATGAATTATCAGTTGTATGTTAAGAAACAATGGATGAAAACTTTTTTGCTTTTGTCAATTTCTAAAAGTGCTTTGATACTATAGATAGCCAACATTTTGTGGAGTATTTTAAAAGATAAAATAAAGATAATAAGATTTGTCCAAAGTTATGGCATGGATCTGAAATTTGGGGTCTTGTAAATTTGATGAACGAACAAGAACATGTACATTATAATGCTTGTAAATTTTTTATGTGTGTAAAACAGAACTCATCAAATTGTGTTTTATGTGACTGCGCTAGGTATTCACTGTATGTTAGGACATTAAAAAGATCTATAACATATTGCCTGAAAATTTATAGATGTCTAGCAAAAGAACTGTGAAAAGATGCTAAATGATCACACAAACATATACAGTATATATATATATATATGTTAATTGGGCTACATCAGTGAAAAACTGTTTATTTAAAGATAGGTAGAGTTTTTGCTATTTTTGGCAAAACCAATGTGTACAAAATGAAATTATATTAAAGTATTCTGACATAAGTCTTGAAGAATGGAACATAAAGGTTAACAATTATTATAAGCTAGAAAATTACAAATCATTTAAATGTTGTTTTACTTTTGAGCATTATCTGAATGTTTAGGATTTGAAAAAAAAGAAAATTTATTGATATATATATACAAATTTTAAAATTAGCAGTCTTAATATTAAAATACAGAAGGGAAGATCTACAAATACTCTAAAAAGTGACTGAATTTGCAAAGTGTGTTATATGCAAATGTTGAAGATCAATATTTGAATAAGTTTAAAATGATAATGTTAATTACAAATGAAAATCTTATAAAATCTGTTACTTTATATTTACATTATGCATTTTAAAAAAAAGACAGCATTGCCTGTAAACTGTTGGATGTGGTAAATGTAATAATGATGTTAATATGTAGTTGTTGTATGTAAATGATTGTCAACGGTCACATGGGTAGAGTTTGTTGACACCAGAGACTCAAGGTTAATGTTATCAAGTGAGACTAAAAAAAGTGTTGGAGCACCACACTGTATTCCAGTATATGCTTCAATGAGTAAATGCTTAAATTAACTCCATGTGTAATGGGTCTGGTTCATATCTCATATTTCATATTAATATTATAATCTACATGTATATTTATCTTGGAATGTTTATTATAATTTTTACAATGATTTTATTTTCAGGAGAAGTTAAATAGACTGTATGACCTTGATAAAGTTATCCAGGACCAGTCATTCCAAGTTACCAGTCTGAAAGAGGATAGGGTAAATACATTCAAATAAATTAAAACAGATAGTGTCACACTTATTCCACGGTAATAATGTTGAAATGATATAAAGAATTGAGAATTTCTCTAGAAGGTTTTCTGTCAAATGTATTTCTTACTTTTAACATACTTATATAGTCACAGGAATTTAATCACACTCTAAGTTCAAACAGATCAAATATTCTAATTTATGATAACATAATTCAGAAAACATTAATTTTTTGTAAATTTAATACTTTAATACCTTAAAGTCACATTTTTATTTTTGCCATACATACATTAATTCATAATTGTATAAAATCATTTCTTTCTAGTTTCTGCTAAGTTTAGTTGATATATTACATTTTCTTTTAATTATTTTTTAAACATATTCAATGATACTTACACATACCAGTCAATATGGAATCTCTTGAAAAATCCACCACAGCTTAGAAATATATGATATTTAACAAGTGTGGTAGATAGGTTCTTTATTGAGTTTATTTAACTTGTTAAATAAAATTGTATAAGGCTATTTCTATGAAATGAACACAAATTTGATGCATGTATTATTTCTGTAACATAGGAGGAAACCAAATATAGCAGAATAATATTGTTTCTATAAACAAAAGTGATATATGCGAATAAAGTTTATTTGTGTGTTTGATGCACAGCTGTGCCATACAGTTATTATGGAGTATGAACAGCAGCACGGATGTGTGATAATGTATTATAAAATTTATTGTTTCTAGGAAATGTTAGAGCGAGCACTCGGTGGTTTATTGAAGAAACAAGATCAACATTGCACCAATCAATATGAGCTTAATAAACTATTACAACAACAAAAAACTATAGAGAAAGAGTTATCCAGAGTTTTACAACAGTTAGCCGAGGCATCTAAGGTTTGTAGTTAACTACTACCATAAAAAAAGAATTTATATCTTAGCTTGAGTTGTGCTTTGTAATAGTTTTTTCGCTCTTCCTTTTAAAAGAAAAAGTGAAGCTATTGTCATGACCCACTTTGTGGCTTCAGCCTTAGTTAAGTTTTTGTTTATGGTCATTTACTTCGATCCTATTTAGACTATTACTAGTACATTGAAACTTTATATGTAGATGCACCTTGATGAGTTCTGTCATACTGATTTTCAGGTCAAAGGTCAGGGCCACTGGTACCTGTAATGGCAAAACATAAAATTGATTATTAAATCAAAGCAAAGTGCATTGACATGGAAACTTAAACTTTGTTTGTAGATTTATCTGAATGAATTCTACCTGACATACCAACGTTGGGTCAAAAGGTCAAGGTTAATTCTCCAGCACTGAGAAAAGTGAAGGGCATTGCTTCTGGGACAGCTTTTGTTACTATTTTTAAATGGCCATTTTGTTGGACAATAGAGTCACCTGAAGCTTGCTAGTACTGTGTTTCATGCATACTCTGTATTAACCTGTATTATTGTATCACTTTATTTAATCTTTGTTTATTTATTCATATAAATGTCATCATCTTTGTCATCATCATCATCATCAGCATTCATTTATGTGTTTGAAAATATCAATATCTGATCAGAAAAATCTATGCTTAATAAACATGTATTAGTATAGTGTTATTTTTTTATTGTTTAACTTGCTTTTATTGAATTCAGGAATTGGAAGAAACAACAGCTGAAAATAACAAACTTGAACATGAGGTGGCACTACTGAGGTCAAAGGTTCATGGAAATGTTTCACGCAGCAAGAGTGCACCATCACTGGTATACAAGACATTGAATTAATATTTGCAATTTAATGGCTGTTTTGCAATTTTAAGTTGATATTACATGCCAATTTCCTTTTTCTGTGGCAAGTACTTAGTATTGTATTGTATATCCATTCTCTGATATGATGATTTCAGTCCAGTGAGTCGCTACGCACTAAGATGAAAATGGAGAAAGATTTAGCAAAAGTTAAGAACATTATGGCCGGTCTGTCACAAGAGGGAGCCAGGTTACAGGAAATGATGAGCACATTAAGGAAGCCAAAGTCAGCAACAGAACCCCAAAGTCCTCCTTTCCAACAAGGTTGGTGCAATTTATATTTAACAATAGTTTATGAAATACACTTTTAATAATAACCATTAACTGCTATAAAGATATATTTTATTTCATATTTTGAATATTTACATCATAATTTAAAGTAAACAGTTCTTTTAATACAGTGGCTGTGCACTTGATATTCTAAGTTTTTAAACGGAATAAAGCTTTATCTGATAACTTGACAATTTTTTAAAAAGAAATTTAAGCCCTGGTTACAACTAAGAATTAAGGACTTATAATATGCTTTGATTGTAAAGAATATAAATCTATAAAATTAATGATTAATGTATATTTTCAGGGAGACTTCCAGGTACTGACCAGAGAGATGGGAGAAAACTAGACACCCGGAAACAAGATGGAAGAAAACAAGATGGCAGCACATATTATGAGACTGACCTTGACAATGGCCAGTCAAAGGATCTAGCTCAAGTGACTGCACTTCTGGCATCATACCATTTACTACCAGAACAGCCAATGGAGGACATAAGTCACGAGGCACCCACTACAAGATCTGAGGTTGGAAGAAGTTTTGGATCCCCTCCACCAAGCACAGAAGAGGGAACAAGTGCATTTAGAACAGTGGTAAGCCATTATTTAATAGTTAAGACAGGGAGTGTTGTTAACCTATCTAAGAAATGGGAACCAGCACACAGGTCAGGGATCAAGATAGTATTATTTAATTCAGAATTTATTTTAGTTTAGTTGTACAGCAAACTATAAGCTAATTGACACATTCTTGATGTCCATTCCTGGAACCAACTAGTACTTAGCAATAGGCATAAAGTTTTTTGCTCAAGGAAACAATGAATGTCTCTGGCAGGGTTTGAACCCACATGGCCAGCAATCATGAGATTACTAGTTTAAGGCTTTAGCCACTTAGCCATGCAACCATACTCTAGCTAATTAGTTGACTATTTAATTATATTTTACTTTTATTTAAAGTCATAGATAATTATACTAATTTTTATTACTTTGATGATAGAAGAGATTGAGAAAAGAAAAGCTGTAATCATTATGACAGTTATTTGATAGATTTATAACATAATTCAGAGTCCATCCCGCAAGGAAGATGACACAACTTATCATGCATCACTAGTACAGGCAACATTTCAACCAAATACACAATCACAGTTAGAGGTATGTATTTCAAGCTAAAAATTATGTTTACAATCAAAGTCTTTTTATTTGGATTAAAAAAGGATGAAATTTTACTTGGAATAAATAAAAAAAATTAAATACAAGCAGTATCTTTTACAATCTTAAGTTTGGTTTAATGCAAGTATTAATTGCCAGTTATCAAAAACTGTACAACTTCTGTAAAGCAACCCACTGTAGAACAATCACCTCTTCACGACAACAGTAACTTTCATTTTTTCCCCAAAGTTAGACTTCATTGTAGAGCATTTATAAAGTATATTAAAATAGATTTTTTTTATTGTCTTAAGAAAAAGTATTAAAGTGATAATATTTTTGATTTGTTCAGAGTGGAATGGAGACAGATGGGTCACCAGATCAGTGGGATATTGGTGAAGCAGACGACAATACTAAAAGATTTTTTGGTAAGAATCATTTCTACCATTCAGCTTATATGTTGATATGTTTCATAATATATTTTGTTGCTGAATTCAAAACTGCATGTCCTTGCACCTAAATCATGTTCATACCCAGAATGTTGATCTCTTTGAGGAAGGAAAGTTAAATACCAATCATAGTAAAAGCCGGGATATCATACAGATTCTCTCTCATGCCAGTCATAATGAATGTAGAAGCACCTAGTGTTTTACCAAGTTTAAAACTGAAATAAAACATGTAACCTTAACAATGCCAGTGTGACCTTGAAGCTTACTAATTAAGAAATAAAGAAATGAAACTTTGGACATTGGCGTTCTTTAAGGTTTCCGTTTTTGACCATTTTTGCAGTCCTTATCTACAGGTAAAGAATACAATGTATAAAAAAACGATAATATGAAAACATTAATAATTGATATGGGAATATTTGTGTAGGTTTGATACCAAAGTCTATGCCAAAACAGCAGACGGTACGTGATGTGAAGAGAATCTCAGAGACGCGAAAAGAAGTAAAGAAAAGAGAAGGTTGTATACCATATTGATTAATGTTAAATACTTTTGTTATGATGCTGTTCTTATTACCTCATTTGTTGTTTTTTTAAACTTTACAGTGATTGTTTTATAGAAGGTCTGAGAACTTGTATTATTTGGCACTATATAGATTTCTTGCAATTTGTATGTTATATTTTGATAAATACAGTAATCTTGATCCTTAAGTTGTAATTGGAAGGATAGTACTCATCAATGAATTTATCTTGTTTAAGAAGAATATTTAGAATAGAGATAAAAAAAATGCAATTTCAGGTACTTGAAAATATACTGAAAATAAGAATATTGTAAAAATGTATGTGTTTATATACAAAAAAAGGCATGGTAATATCATATGAAAAAGATTATATTTGGCAGACTTTCATGTCATGGCATTTAATTATAGTTAAACCTTTTTTCCACTCTTATGATTTAATAATTTAAATACAATGTTTGTTGCATTTAAGATTGAAGAGCTTCACTATTATATTTCTATACTAATTTAAAGTATGTTATACATGAATTAATTTTAATGTATATTTTGCCTGATTTATGTATTATGCTTTTATTTAAATAGATAATGCTTTTGAACAATGATTTTTTAACTTCTGCACTCTTTATTCATTGAATTATTTGCATGTATTCAAGAACTTATCTATAAATAACCTGATCCAGATTTGAGTTATATTTGTCAATCTTGTGTTTTAATTAAAATCATCTTTTTGCATGCCCTATTTGTTTTTCCTAATGTGGAATCAGATAATATTCCCTCTGCAGAAATCCATAAAATTCGTTGAAATTTGAAGATCTAAATAATTCTATAAAATTCAGGCCAGTTTGTTCATTTTCTGTTGGTATTAGTTAATTATAAAAGACAGCCTTCTATGAAGTAACCTAGAGTATTTTGCTGTTTAGCAATTTACTTTTTCTTTGGTTAAAGTATTATAGCTTGCTTTTTTGTATTTTGGTCAAGAATTGTTTAAAATCTAAAATTTGATGGGTCTAAATTTGAAATTAAATTTTAAAGAATTATTAAGGAAGTAGAGGTAGTTTGAAAGGTAAAATTTCTGATTTCACAGTATTATTGTACGCTAATTTATAACAAAGCATGCTTTTTGTGTATGTCTTTTTACCCTTTGTATAATTTCTTCCATTTTTCTAGACTCACCTCCATTACGTGTGGGGGTCATTCCTTCAGATTATAATGACAACACCCATGTATATGAAAACCTTCCTCAGCAGAAATCTTCGTCTTCCACGGAGGAGAAGTTGCCATGGGCAGCGTTAGTGAAGGACGATGGAGCAGCTTCGGGCACGCCAAGACGGCGCTCAAATTTACACCTCATGGCTCCGAAACCTTTCTCTCTAAATAGTAAACCCACACCTTATAGCAGTGTAAACAATATATCCATGTATAATAGCCAGAATCTTGACCAATCAGACGCACCCTTACATAATAATCATAATACTCAAGATAGCCAATCACATTCTATAAGTGATAATTTGAACACTTTTGAAAACAACCAATCAAATGATAGCTATAAACCCACAGAGCCAATGGCAACACAGCTTTCAAACAAGACTCCACCCCCACCTCCTGTGAGAGGAACCAGCAAGTATATAGCAGATGTCCCCAACTTGGAAAGGTTTCAAGAAATGTTAAAGAAGTCATCAAGTAATCGGAACTATGAGATACCTGTGCCTGCAATATTGAAGAAAGGTCGTAATGCAAGAAATTCTCAGAAAGGACGATATTTGACAATATCAAGCTCTGAACCAATCAAATTAGAGCAGAACATTTCACAGTCACCTAAACTTCACTCACAAGCAGGAGATCTTATTACCTCTGTAAGTTATTGGGAAAACATATTTGAGAATTATTTAAAATGAATCATTTAGCATAAAATGTAGATTCAAGTTTTCACTACCCTGCCTCACACTCAGTTATCATTTATATGACCTCACATTTATCTGGCATAGTTAAAAGTAAATTACATGTCACTTCACAAATTTCTTGGAAAAGTTTGGGGAAAAAAAATTAAACCCAATCAGATTTATGAAATTTAAAATGTTTCTGTGATTCTTGCACATAAATTTTATTTATTATATTATAGTTTATAGAATGCTGGAGATTTATTTAGCCATCATTTGATCAGTATAAAGCCAGGCCACCCTGCACATATCCTCACTCCTTTATTCTTGGCAGACTTTAAAGATCTCCCAAACTGATAATGGACAGTTCCAATAATTGAACCTGGGCAAGTCCAGTTATGTAGGTCAGCAACTTAAGTTGAATAAAGGTTTAATAAATTATGTGGCTACTGTCTCAATATGATAGAAATGATATGTCTGTGTTTATTTTGTTTTCTTTAGATGGATATACCAGATATTGTTAAAAGTTCAACAACAAAATCTGACTTGTATGATGAAAGAACTATAGAGAGGGAAATAGTGAGTTGAATTTTAATATCATGTCTTACTTCACAATGTTATAATGATATGCTGTCTTCAAAATGCTGATTCAGTTAGTTGTAGAAGCTAGTTGTGTTGGTTCTATGTGTGGTAAAGTGGTTGTTTGCTGACTTCATAATTATCAGAATAGTAGAATTACATGTTTGGTAGTTTTATTTACCACACAAACATCTGTAAAATAATTTTAATGAGATAAACTTATAAACATTATCATTATCTCTTAGTTTCAACATGATTATTTCAATTAATTATGAAGGTTTGAAAGTTTAAGAAGTATTAAAATCGTTTCTCCATTTTGCTGCCTGGACTAGTTGGTTGTGTCCTATGAGCAAACTTGGTCATCACCCTCATTGACCTTGAACCCATGACTCCTTGGCTTGGAGGCACACCATAACCTTTTGACCCTCCTCATTCCATAAGTCTCTTTCCTCGATGTTCAATAGAAGCTTTGAGGTAACTGTATATAATAATGGTATATGTAATTATTTTCAGTTGTATTTCCCGGAGAAGGTAGAAATCCCGGAACGTTACATTCCTGATTCAGATGATGAAAGTGTTACAGAGGAAGAAAAGGCATCGCGGCGAGAAAAAGCGAACAAAATTAAGAAGATTCTTACACAACAAAGGTAATTTCACATATTATGATTTCAATTTTATTTTACATTGTATAGACATTTGGAGACAGATTAGAAAATGGTGTGTGTTTTCATTCTTTCTTTTTCTTACTTTTTTTTTCTTGAAAGAAATAATGAATTACATTTCACAAAATGTTTTTGGGGTTATCATTTTAGGGTTTTTGTTAGTCATATTGTTATTTATTCATATTTATTCATTATTTTAAGAAACAGAAAGATCAGGTTGAAATAACAAAGAGGGGGCATTAATATTCTTTGAACTTACATGTATAATTATCATACAAAGAAATTAGGTTACCTCATTGCATGGACACACATTGTTTTGCATTTTGATAAAAAATCTAAAAAGCTATGCTTAGCATACCCTTCACCAGCCTTTTCTGCTAGAAGTAGGTCACTGACTGCTAGACTAACCGGAAATATTATCAAGACATTTACAGCAAGTTTTACCATTTCACTACTTGCATCTATAAGCTCCACAGAAATAATTCTGGTCCTAAATGATGTGCAACATAGAAATATTCACATTTTTCACACCTTTTGTATGGTGAGAATAAAATGACACTGACTGTGTTTGTTGTACGTTCAAAACGGCCTATTCTAATGGCCGCTGGTCAACAAGTGACTGCTGTTTACAGTCGTCTATATAGTTAAATTTATTGGGTATAAACCAACATGAATGCTGTTGGTTACATGTAAGTTGTAAGAAAATGACTGTTAAAACAAGTAAGAATCTAAAGAAATTTGGTTGAACATTTTCCTTTCATGACTCAATGGACAGATCACCACCAAACTTTGTATGTGGCATCCTTGAAATATCTGTGTCCAAATTTTACACAGTCAAAGTTCCAACAGATATAAAGATGGAGAAATAAAATTCTATAATTTGTCACCTAGAACCTTTGTGTCATATTTGTGAGTAGGATTTAGATAGAAGTATGGCCATTCCATATCCGTAGTTGACCAAGTTTACAAACTTCTCTTCAATACTCTCACTAGTGTCAGAAGGTTTGTTAGATAGCATCATGGAAAAGATCTGTTTTGAACTTTGTTAGCACATCACCTCAATATAATGAATCATTTATCTAGATCTGATGTCTTGTTATTTTCTATAAATCATTATCTAGAACTATATCTCTCTTTCTGCTAGTCGTTACCATTACCCACCTTTAGAGGTAAGTGGCATGCCGAGTATCAAATAACGTAACATTATGGTGTGTTTTCATCAACATTCAAAATCTATAAATAAACTAACTGCCTAATTCAAAAAAACGATTTGTTGTGTTAGGGTTAATTGATTCAAGAGAAATTTATGTGAGCTGTTCTAGTGAGTTTCTTTCACTTATATTAAAGTGTGATCAATCGATGATAATTTAATTTTTCAAGATGGTGTCAAGCATAATATTTCACTTTTGTGAGATTCACTTTTAAAGTCATAGTGTATCGGAAGCATGATTTAAATGACATTTAAATGAAAGCAAATTTTGTTATTATGATAAAAATTCTTACTCTATTGTCTCAAGATATGACAAAAGTCGTTATTATCTTGAGATATGACAAAAGGCGTTATTATCTCGAAATATGACAAAAGGCGTTATTATCTTGAGATATGACAAAAGGCGTTATTATCTTGAGATATAACAAAGTTGTTATTATCTTGAGATATGACAAAAGTTGTTATTATCTTGAGATATGACAAAAGTTGTTATTATCTTGAAATATGACAAAAGGCGTTAATATCTTGAGAATAAAACATGACAATGTCTGTCATAACTTTAATACTTTGACAAAAAATGTAAAGGCTGCTCTGATTGACGTCACACTGTTAATGCATTTATTAACACCCATTACCAATAGTTTGAATGTTGATGAAATACAAGCCTAGTTTTGCATCTTGATCTGCGTAATTTACGTAACTGTGTACTGTTGACTGTATGCCACTAAAACACCTTTACTCTATTGTTTTACTGGCATTGTTTATAGTGCTGTCAGAATCTTGTCTTCTGTAAAATATATATATATAAATATTGTAGACTATTTCCGGGCACTTCAGTTATAATGAAAGTTTTGTAAATCATATTTAATCATTGTCATCATATTTGATGTAACTTTTTTCTGAAAACTACTTTCTCGTCTTTTGTCTCAGTTTTACTAAAAAAAAAAAAACAACCAAAAAACTTCAGCAGAACAGTTTTGCATTGATATTTCTGATCACTTTTCAAATGTTCTGTATTTCTAATATATGTGTTTATTTAAAAGAATTCATGGATTCAAAGGTACATATATTTTGCCAGCATTTAATTTTTATGAAAAACACAGAATACATTATTTTTATTTTTGAATTCTATTGTGTTTTGTTTTGTACTAGGTACCTTATGTTGGGTATATTTATATGTTTATAATTTGTTAAGTTGTTAAATACATTATTTGTCATTGTGTTTTTGCTTTTAATTTGATCCAAGAGATCACTTTTTTGTGGTTTTGAATATCTTTTTTATTTTTGCAAACCAATGCCTCAAACCAGCCTTTGTACTGTGGAGTCAATGAGCTCAGTGGTTGATGCAGAAATAAAATATCAGTTGATTATGGCGGCTGATTTACACCATGCTATTTTTTTTTTTTTTTTTCACCATGAAAATGCAAAGATACAAAGACAAAGTCCAACAAAGTGCATTGTTATAATAGGGAAAAGGGAAATTGTAACAATGTGAAAAAAGCGAAAATGCAAAAACTTGAATATGCAAAAATGCCATGATATTATGTGTCACTTTTTGCCTAATTTTGTCTTCCTTTTACTGTTTTCACCAAATTGTGAAAACATTAACATACTTAAAGTTGGGCTTTTTTGTAAGTGAAAAAACAAAAATACCACATGGTGTAAATCAGCCACCTTAGTGGATTTATTTGGGAACATTAAACATGACATTTTTCCCCTTACCCTCTATCATTTAATTATATTAAACTATAATTATAGTAGTAAGGAAAAGATGGTTTTGGTACAATGTCATATTTTAGTGGTAGATAATGCATGCATGTACAAACTGGAGATACCTCACTGCTACATGCGCTTGCTTTGAAACGAAAATTTTAGTTAAAACTATCAAAATAATACAGTATAATTTATGTATTTTCTCTCCAGCAATTGGTAAGTGTCCTGTTTGGTTGCTATGGTTATAGAGGTCAAGGGTCATCACAGTTGTTGTTGTTGTTTTGCAATCACTTGTTTTAAGGGACAACTGTTGTTGTTTCTACACACAGTTCATGCATTTTGATTTTGGCAGTGTTACCTAATACAGTAGTTATGTAGTTTTGCAGCAGTTTTGTTGTTGTTGCTGTTTGGTTGTTTTTTTTTCAGACATTGTTTCATATGTTTGGCTAGGGGTATAAGTTACCATTACTGCGTAGTAAAGATTGCTGAATACTTAATTGCCCATCACTGCCGGAGGAAAAGATATTTAGATACATTATATAGCTATAAGTTTTCTGATGAAAAAAAAATAACAGTCATTTTAAACTAAAAACATTATACACACAGGGAATGATTTTCTATATTTGACGAAGTGGTGACACCACAAATGTGTATTGATTGACATTTTTAACATTTTAAAGGAAGGTAATTGCTTTGTTTTTTCCCAAATTTTCTTTTAAATTATGTATTTTGCAGGAGTATATTAATTATAAAAAAATGGAAATTATGTCAGTGTGTTATTCGGGTAGAATAGTGTGACATGTATTCACAGTTGTCCAGCTGGCTCGTTGAAAAAGCAGTGCAATCATGCATAAAAGCAGGACAGTCATGGAATATTCCTACATTTTCCAACATGTTCACATAACATAATTTTACATAAACACATGATTCGTATTTATGATTAACTATATAATGAATGATTTTTTTTCCATTTCATTGCAAAGTTTCCATTTTATTTTGAACATATTCTGCTGTTAATATATTTTAAATACTTAAATTGATACAATGTATTGCAAGATGGTTAAAGAAAAAACTTCTATATTCATTCTTGATATAAAATTGGAATAATATATTTCATTGGTTCTCTGTCTGTCTATATTTACATGTGTAAGCTTTGCTTATTGTTATTAAATTATAATACAGTCTGATATTTAAACCAGTTTATCACTACATTTGTATTTTTGCATTATTTTCAGATTTTTCCATTATTTTGCCCCTATTTTTTTTTGAGAAAAAAAAATCAGTAGACCATTTTTTCACTACTTGATAAATGAGGAAAAATAAGTTAAAAAGTTATTTTTGTGTAGTAATTATTAGTTTCTAAAAAAATTCTTTAGTATGTGGGTGGTCTTTGCATATTTTGTCAATAGACACTACAACATTATAAATGCCAAAATGCTTTCTTTATTAATATTTTATAAGGCTTTAATGACCTTTAGATATCAAACTTAATTGATAAATTGTTTTGGTTTTCTCAAAGGTCAAGGTCAAAGCAACCTGCAAATGCTTTCCATTCAAGAACTAAGGAGATTAAATTTCATTGTGCAAACATTTGTCAAACTTAAGATTATTAAACTTCAAATTATGGTTAGGTATTGGGAGCAGAATATCTATTGGTTTTAGGGTCAAAGGTCAAGGTCACTGTGATTCTTGACATTTGTAATGACATGCTCAGTAGAAGATATGATTTTCTTTGAATTTAACCTACAGTAGACTGTCTATAAAATTTTAACAAACTTCCCCCAAAAGTAATGTATGATGGGGATGACATATGTTTTATAAACATTTCAACATGTTGCCATGGTAAAAAAAAAATCTGAAAAGAATGCATGAAAAGTCTATACCTATCTACAATATTATGTACATTAATTATAAAATAAGGTAAATTAGATATTCTAGATGTAAGCCAGATAATAGAGTATGTTGAACTGCATGTAACTGAAAGTTGGTTTGAGAGTTACTAACAAAACATAGTCTTAATGGATATCTTCAATATTAACTATGTGTTTATTTAGAATTTAAATAAACATTGTTAATTGAATTTTTGTCTTTGAGATTTAGAGTAGTTTTTGATACATGATTTAAAGATAATATTTTGTTAGTAATATGTACAGAATTTAAGCATTGAATAGAATTGCTGATGTTTAGTAACATTTTTTCTGAAGCAGGGTCCATACCATGTAAAATTTGTTGAAATCTTAGGCTATAACTGTATGTTTTGTCATGGTGTGAACGCTTGAAATGGCAATTGATTTCCAACCCTTCTTTTTAAAAAAAGTGAGATTTCCATCAGTTGTATAATTATGAAATGTATATCTCTTGTTTTCAGGTAGTAATGTTTGGCATGTTTCAAGTCATTAAATATTTATGAGCTTTATTTTACAATTAACCATCATTAAGACATTGAGGAAGCTTACATTATGAAATGAAAAAGATCCTTTTTTTGTTAAATACAGTCAAACTTGTTTTAAAGACCACCTCCTAATTAAGACAATGTAATAAAAGTGTTTCATTAATGACCAGTAGTTTCTTATCTGTTTTGATGAATTATGCTGATAAAAAATTACTTTTTAGAGAGATTTGGTGTCAAAAAATATTTTTCTTAAAAATATGGAAGACTGGCCTTTTTGAATAGGTTTGACAGTATATATCAGATGTAAACATTTCAGGACATGCTTTCTGGAGAGATGTTGTCACCAGAGTTTTAAGTATCGTATTTGTTTAAGAAAATATAGTCTTTAAAATTATATTTTTAAAAAAATTTCAGTGTGCACTCCCTGTCCCAACCCGACGTGAGCAAGGTAGCGGGCGAGGTCCACGAGCGCGTACAACACGAGAAGCAACAACGCGCCCTCCTGCTAGGTATCAATCAAGAGCTCGCTGAACAAGTCAAGAAAAAATCAAGACAATATGCTGGTATGTTTTGAAATCATCACAGATTTCTTTAAACAATTCATTAAATATTTCTTTTTTAAACAGATATATAAAGTTAAACTTTTTTTTGTGTTATGAAATGCTTTAAGAGTTTAATACTAAATTGAAATATTTAAATGCCAGCAATGGAGTTTATGGCCATTTGTCCCCTATTTTTAGATGTTTTGAACTACATAACTGTGACAAATTACCAAACAAAACACAAATGTTTTTAAATTAGAAAACAAGGCAGTATTAGTAGCCATAAAGAAATCTTTATATTATTAAAAGATTTGAAAGTTATGGAAACTGATTTTCAGCAATTCCTCCAGGCAAAAGGTTAAAAGTGTTTCATTCCTTATGTTGTTGGAATTAGAGGTCTGATAAAAAAGTTAAGCCTTTTTGATTAATTATAGTAACTTTTTTTTTTAATTTATCAACCATGTTTATGGTGTCATATTTAGAATGGTTTTGCTTTGTAGTATATTGTTAAATCATTATAATATCATTACATTAAATGAGTCATTATGGAAGATGATATAAATTATTTTCAATACAATTCTTACCTTGTACAGGTACTAACAGGTAAAATGTGTTGCCAATTAGCAATTTGAATTTTTAGCTCTTAGTCAATTCTATAAATAGATAGGAATGGGCATCAGGGGATTATTTCCATTAAGGTTCATTACTGATCAGGTGAAGGTTCTAATCCCTTTAAATGCTCGCAGTGGTAGTGACAAATAACCTGCCGAGTTTCTAAGATGGACTTGTCCACCTTCCATCTTTGGAACTGTCCATTATCAAGTTAGGGGATATCAAGATGATAAATGAATGTAAGTCAGCCAATAGTATAGAGCCTGGTTTGACAGCAGAGATTGCATGCTGGCCTTGATCTGTCCTGGTGGCAAAGGCTGTAATCAACTTTGCTTCCTGCAGATTAAAGAATAACTATAGACCTATAGGTTCTATAATGGAAGCTGCTCAAATTTATTGCATCAATATCAGTATAACAAGGATTTTGATCAACAGGCATGTTTGTGTGGTTTGATCATGGTCTACTTTGTTCAGTTAAACTAACTTAAGTATATTTCTGTGAAATTTTCCTTAAAAATAATGAATGGTTTTGCCCAGTTGGAAAGATGGACAAGTCTATTTTAGATATTTAGCATGGTAAAACTAAATCTGTTTTTCCCCGCACAAGGCAATTTTTCCTGCGGCAAGGGTAAATAAATCAAAACAGACAAAAATGGCTAGACAAAACTGGTGTGCTGTGTTTTACAATTGGACAATTCCATTAATCGGATATAGGGGTTTACAGATGTCCGGCAAAAGCATAACTATTATAAACTATTTTATATGACTGAATATTTTAGAATGGAAGGAATTGACTTTAGGCTTTAAAATAAGATAATAATTATGTAACAATTATACTGTATTACATAATAAATGAAACTTACATAGTGAACAAACCTAATGCACAATAATATCATTTACATTAACACAACAACAACAACAAATAAATCTGCTTTTTTTCCTTTTCAATTTTTCTCCTTTAATCCTTGCATTTAAATGAAATGAAAATTAAAAACGTTGTAAATACTGACACAGAACCTTCAATTTCCCAACATTTTTCTCCTAATACAGCTCAGTTAATTTAAGTACTTAATTAACCTTTGATTAATTGTATTACTATTAAAAGCATGAGGAATTGTTAACTACCATATTATCAATTGGGTAAACTTATTATCTTTTAAATAACTTTCCTTGATAATGATAAAATTATGAAATATCATAGTTCGAATAAATGATTTTAATAACATTGCAACAGTTGTTTTCTTTTGAGAATTGACATACAATATAATTCAACTTATTTTCTTTTGAGAACTTACTAATTCTTAATGTAAACATTAATATTACATTTTGTTTTGGATAATTGTTCTAGTCAAAAGTTAAGTATCTGTTCTGTTCTGTTCTGGTAAAGAAAGAATTTCTGAAAAGTGCTGTAGATTTGACAAAACTTATTTTCACTAAATATAATTATACATTGAATAAAGATGTTTATGTCAATGTTTGTGTTTATTAGCTGAAAGAAGAAAAACATGGTCCGGGACGACTCAGAAAGTTGACGTGGAGCCCGACCATCACGCGGAAACAGACGACGAGCATCATGGTGACGCGAACAATAATTCGTACACGGCACGTGATGATAAAGAAGTGTATTATACGGAGAAATCATCATACGACACTGACTTATATCACAGTGACTTATACACGAGCCCGCGGCAGTACGACGACGCCCCGAATTACTACAATGCTAATTATAATACTACCTCATATGATAATCGGCCAAATTTTAAAATTTAACACTGAACAAATTTTTGAATAATCAAGTGCTGATTCACTGTAGTTTAGAATACTTATAAAGCAGCAAATTTCCTTCTATTATGTTTGAACATTTGTATAAAGAACTGTTTATTTACTCATCCTTCAAAGTCATTTTTAATCTAAGAAGTTAAACTGTTATGCCCTCACTAAAATATCTTTTTCCTATCTAACGCTTGCGTAAGAAATCACAAATAATGCTAATGCCCTTTTAAATAATTAATAATGTGTTGAACTAAGTATTTTAATACCTGAGGAACACATAGTTAACAAACATTTTTTAAACCATTTTTCATTTTAAACCTTGCATTCTTCATTTATTCATTATACATGTTAAATTCTTAATGATAGAACAATTTTCCTGCTGTATTTTATTAGATATTTTTATCAGTAATAAGTTTATATACAAATGTGACATGAAAATATGTGCAGGCAGTGTTTAACATAACTAAAATTGTATGGGTCTATACATGTATTTGGCTTATGTTCATTTGTGTTTCATTCTTGAACTAAGAACAAAAACTTACTCTAGACTTGTTTGTACACCAGAGAAATTACAATGTTGTATATGGATTACATATAACTTCTTTGATGATATCTTAAAAGTGCCAAACTACACATTTTTTTCTAAACCGAGGACTGAAAAGTGCAAGCGGAAATCGGGTGGCATAGGTTTCTTTGTTCATAATTCGCTCACTGACAAAACTACAACACTTGTATCTAATTGTGAATATATATATTGGCTCCAAATTGAGGACAACAACCAGAAAAAATTTATTGTTGGTGGTATGTATATTCCACCCGAACAATCTCGTTTTTATAATGAAGATGAATATTAATCTAATTCTGTTCTGTTCTGTTCTGTTCTGATATGATAACTGTATTACTAGTAATATAAATCTTTTGTGTATAAAACAATTTGTTTTTCATGTAACGATTATGTGCAATTATTTGATTTATTAAGCTATGATAGAATGAATCAATGAATGTTAAATGTTGCTTTCCTATGTATATAGACACTATATTATAGCCCTCATTAAAGGAAACTATTTTACCTTATATATCCACGAAAATGCTTGCATTTTTTGGCCTTATGAAATATTTTTTGGTCAGTTTCTATAATTCCATTTTAATTGTATCATATTTTTACATGTTTACATTATTCTGTTTTATCAATTTTATTTTTGTATTTGCTACTTTAAAAATTAAAAAAGAATGAAGTTTGTGATGTTATAGAAGGAATGAAATACTATTATATTGATTTTAAATTATATTGAATGCACATTTTATGCTTGAGTGACTTTAAGAAGACATTCATCTTATTGCTTGTTTTTTTGTCTGAAATGCTTAAAATATTCCAATATACTTTATATTTGAATGCTAATTGAATTTTGAAATCTTCATTGTCATCAATGAATATCATCATCATCATCACCACCATCATCTCATCATCATCATCACAACTGCTATAACCATCAGAAATAGTCATAATAATAATATGATGATGATAATTGCCCCTTACATAATTTTCCGGGATGTATTCAGTAACAGCAACAAAAATATCATCATCATGGCTATGTCTTCAATGATTTTTGGTCTTATCGATATATGATAATGAGAAATGCCATAATAAGGCTTAATTACCTCACTGTATTAACTTTTGCATTTAAGATAATTGTAGAAACAACATACTCTTATACCAAAATGTGAACAATGTACATGTATTATAATTATCACTGCTGAAATATTTTGTTGTTGTTTTCAGTTTTAAATGATGAGTATTAAATAAAAGGCATATTAGTATAATGGACAGAAAGTAGACTGTGATAGAAGTATCAGATCAGTTGACTATCAAGCTCTATGACATGGAAACATATGACTGACACTGTTGTGGGTTATTCGAACTACATTAATGTAATAATGTGAACTTATATAGACAATATGCTACTCTATAACATCGTTCACATATGGCCTTGAAATACAATAGAATTATTAATAGAAAACATTGTTTTTAGATTACCTTATTATACAATAACAATATCAGTTGACATTACTTGTCTATAACATTGTTATTAGAAACGTTAAAAAATGACATTGTTATTATAATTATGACATTGTTATGAAGAGACAATGTTAAATGATAACATTGTTATTAAATGACATTGTTATTAGTGACAACACTAAATGATAACATAAGTGTTATTAAGTGAACTTACTAAATATATGATGACATTGTTATTAAGTGACCCTGTAAAATGATAACCTTGTTATCTGATGACCTTTAAATGATAACCATGATATACAATGACCTTATTTAACATTAATTAACCTTGATAACTGATAATCATGATATGTTTTAAACATAAATCTGGATAATTGATAACCTTGATATTGAATGACCTTGTTTAACATAACCTTGATAACTGATAACCATAATATCTGATAATTTTTAAACGATATCATTGTTTTCTCATTACTACATTATATGATAACCATTTTATTACAATAACCATGGACTGGTATTCAAGTTGTGATACTATTTTAACTATGCATTAACATTGATATTATGTAGATTTAGAAAATTGTAGAATAATGGAAATTAGATAGATGAATTATAAGTTAAATGTATAGCTTTTTAGTTGTTAAATGGACTTTAACATTTATTTTCATACAAACACATTTTTTGTATGTTTTGTATTCCTATTTTTGTTATACATTTAAATTTTAATATTGTTGGAAAATCTCTTAGGCCATTTTCATATATCTAGATAAATAAATAAAAATAGGGGATCAAATATAAAAATTGTTTGTTATTTCTTGAAAACCCGACAGGATGGATGGCTCCTCTAGATTAAATTCAACATGCATTATGGCATTTATGCCTGATCATCATTCACTTTCACAATCTCTCATTGGTCAATTAGGCAAGTGTGTTGAAATGCAATGAAATGAGGTTAATTGGGTTAGGGTTGTGAAATATTACAGAATAATACAAGTCTATAATTAAATCATACAGATTTTGGGAGTTTTAAATGACATTTTGCTTTACTGGGAGATGAAGATTTATGGTGATAATAGCATGCTTTGTTTTGGCATGTGAGGCACTCAAGTTGTACAACTGACCCTTTATAAGTTGGTAGAATAGCTAGCTACCTTACATGAGTAAATGACATGAATCTAACTTAACAGCTATGAGAGGCAGGTAAGTACAAGTCAACCAGCTTTACCACTCAGCCATGGAAGGCCAGTGAAAGTTTATGATGGGGAAAAATAGAATGACAAACTTTAATAATGTTTCAACATCTTTTTACTTCAAAACAGAGATTTCATTACATCAATAACAATATCTAGTAAATTGATAACAAGATACAAGTCTATACCAATATCAACAAGATATTAACAGGATAACATATACAAAACAGGATACTGGAGAGAAAAACAGGATACTGGAAAGAGCACTACGTCTTAGCATCAAGTATAATCTAATAAATTTAAAAGAGCACTGCAAATACTTTATCTATTTACATAACACCTAAAAAAATGTAATGCAATATTAAATTTTCTGTAATTTTTTACTTATTGTCTATGATGATTTTTAAATGGAAAGTGCTGCAACATGTTGTCATGGCAACAGTGTGTTGTGCATCAATTCAATACAGCAATAATCTATTCTGCTTTAAAAATAAAAAATGTATAAAAAAGGGACATAATTAAAACATGTAAACAATCTGTGTAGTTATGGTAACAATGATAAAATAAATCATTATGCTGGAAATCTTTGGCAGGAAAATGTCATGAAATAAAAATGCTAGAAATAATTGAGCACCTCCATGCCTGAATCCTACAATAAATACAAAAGTTTTATATTAAAAGCAAATTTATTACATGTTTATGCATTTATATCTATCAAATATTTCGGAATTACTGTACTCGAATATTCCCTGCCAGTACATTACATAGCGCCACCTATAAACATGGTAGACTGACTTTAATGTTTTTGCCTTTGATACTGGACCAAACTTTGATGAATACATATTGTTGTAATTTAAGATGCAGCAGCCAGTGCCAGAAAAATATGTAATAGTGAATATAAGTCTCTTTCGTTCTTACAATTTCATGGAAATAGTAAGTATTGTATTTCAAGTGCATCTCACTGTATTATTACTAGGTGATGTTAACTTAGGCATGGTTCAAATACTGCCAATACATCTAATATGTATAATTATACAGTTAACATTGTGATGATATTCTGTATATAAATTAGGTGTGAGAAATCTTCTGTTTTTTATTCTTCCTTTAAAGCATTATGTCTCCAGATGTGTAAAATAAATCTTCAAAACAATCATGCTTAAAAAATGCATATACATCTATAATTATCAAATTGTGTAAATATTTACAATCCAGCTGAAGCTTTGAATGTTTTCTGAAAATTAACAGAATAATAGTTTTATAAATACAAATGTACCAAAATTCTATCCAGTAATTATTGAAATAAGAGAATATAACTTCATAATCATGTTGACAAGTCATTGGTAGATTCTGTGTTTAGGCTGGGTTATATCATTTCATATTGTACACTTGACAACATTCCATTTCAAGTTTTCACAGAAAACACAATTTGGTTTTTAAACAAATACCTTTAACTGCATGAATTTACGTAAATTTACATTTTACAATAACTTTCGAGTTCATGCAATATTTATTAGCACTCTATATAAAATGAAGATGAATCATTTGATATATAAAGGATTTCTATGTCATACACATTACCCTGTCTGTTTTTCCTTATATTAATTATGATGGTTATATTAATTATTAGTTATAAAGAAATTTGACAGGTTAAATGCCCCTATATAAACAACTGTTTGCATATATAACCTGAGCAGTTAGGCAAGTGCTATACTGCAAACAACCAAACTGTCAAAAATATTTATAACAAATTTATAATTACACCAAACTTCCTACACTAGAGAAAAAAAAAATTACTTAAAAAATTGACAACAGCCATGTACATAGTTTATATAAACATCACGATTATCCAATAAAAAGCGACATTACAAATATGCGGTATTATAAAAAGATATATATTAAATTGTTTATGTAGCTAATTACTGACTATTCCGGGTCAATAATCTTAATTAATCTATAATGCTGCTAAATAATAAAATACTTTCCTTGATTTAAATAGAAAACAATTCAAAAGTTTCAAGCGCTTCTGTGTATATAGTTAATATTAACATCAGAATTGACCAATCAAAATTGATGTTACAAATGAGCAGTATAATAAATCATTTTCAGTAATGAAAGGCAAACAATCTACAGCTAAATAATTTATATTTCAATAAAGACTAAAAAAAAGTAAAAACAAATTCAATGAAATATATAAAGAATGAAAGAAATGAACTATTAAAAAAGGTAAGCTTAAACAAGTCAGTTATTTTAGAATGTTCAACTATTTATAACATATAATGATAAAAGGTGTCATCTATATATTATATTTTTCTAGGAATGATAAAATACCTCTGATATGATTATTGCACTAGGTGAATGGATATGCAATATAAAAAATATAAATCAAGTAAATTTTAAATATATCAACAACATTTTCTGTACAAAAAATAAATGGTAAACCTGATACATAAATATTTAGACCAATGCATTTTATTTCATGTCAATTTTAACTTCAGATCAAAATGAATCAAAAACGTTTCACATAAAGTATGCAATATATGTACACATCTATTATCTTATGTCAAAATAGTAAATTTCAGGTCTTTTCTAACAACTTTAGGACATGTTCAAAATGTTAGTGGAGAATACACAATTTTAGGGAATAAAACACAATTTTAACTTTAGGACATTATGTATAAATTTATGGCCTTAATTACATAAATGAATATAGGCCAAATAAAAAGTGCTCAGAATGATAAAATCTATGTTTTGATACATGAGGAAAAAAACGAGGATACAATGAGGACAAAATTGTACGACGGAATACCAAATGTTTCATAATTCTTACTTAACATTTAAACACACTTTTAATTTTAGGACATACAACACAATTTTAGGGATAAGGACAAACTGTATGATGTGACACTTATGTTTTATAATATCAGTATTATCACTTAACATCTTGATTGCCAGTAGAATGTCTAGTACTGTCTGTTTTATAATACATTATATAATAACATATTATATATAATTCCCTCTGTAAACAAATGTATTTTCTCTTACTTAATTATCATATTGTATTTTGTGTTTTCATGACCATGTGACAATATGATAATTGTTTTGTTTATCTATTTGCATGACAATGTACCACATACAAGTCTAAAATAAAATGCATGTTCTGTTTTGTTTACATAAATTATGTACCATCATGATAAACATAATGATCACATTCTTACTGTGTGTTTGTGTCCTAAAATTTGTGTCAAAGAATTAGCTTTCACAAAATGTATCCAAGTTACCTTTGGATAGATTCTAGAGATTATATATTATCTATTCAAATATTCAAAAATAAATTGTTCATTCTTTTTCCGGAGAGAAAAGTGGGGCACCTGGTGTTTTTCCTAGGCGTCTTTTGTGGCCTTTTGCGAACATGTTTTCCTGGACTCTACTTTGGAAAAATTCTGTAAAGAAAAACAGATAACAAATAGAACCTAATATAGTTTAAAAGACAAAAAAGTTTTGAATATTTAATAATCAATACTTATTTGTTTACCAAATCATATACTGATATAGAAGTCATAGGCACTTGAAAGCAACTTTCTTATTTCAAGTGATCACAGCTAATCATATGATCAGGGCATTAAGGTCGTAAACAAGAGTAATAATGTAACTGCCTAACAACCCTATTCTGCTGAATTTCTTAAATGGACTTCTCCAGCTTCTATATTGGAACTGCCCATTATCAATTTTGGGGTTTAACATGATGCAGAGTTAAAGTTAATCAGGCAACATTATAGACTACACAGATGAGCAGGTTTGTCTGGCTCTATATACTGGTGTTATAGATTTGTCCTTTACTGGCCCAGTAGGTTAATAGTTAATATCTGTGCCATGTAACAATATACCTTTTCTTATATGTCAAAATGTTGACATGTTGTATTTCTTTATTTCTTTCTTATTTTGATGCGGTCAACTTGATATAAACTGAACAATCATTATTGTCCTTACCTTTCACAGTACTGGCACTTTCATAAGGAAATTTAACCCAAATTTCATAAAATAAGACAGAAGATTTTTCTAAAACAATAAAAGAAAACGCTCACAAAGTAGTTTTGATATTAAAGTAAAGGTAAATCATAATACCTATAGTGTTACCCCAATCTGTTTTCTCAATTTGTTTTGTAATAAACACTTCAAACATCTGTGTCTCAACAAACCATTCCAGTAACTGCTGAAGGGAGGACGAACTTGTACCTAGTAATATATACATATCCACTGTAAATATCAAGTTGTTATATACTAGAGAATTATTTGTTTGTTTCTTGCAGAATGTGTGTTGTTAGTAATATACATGTATACTTCCTGTACTAGTAATTAGGAAATAGCTGATAACTGCAATGTTTAGTCACACAATATTGAACATGAAAAAGTGATAAGAAATAAGTGAATGCATTTTATTGTAAAAATTTCACACATATGTCAATGACCTAGATAAATCCATCTATTAGCATTGGTCTTCCTCGGAAGTCTTTCACTCCTTTTACGGTAAGAGAAATTATCATGCCACTGAATTAGTATATACTGCCAGTTACAGTTTCATGTCCTCTAATATTATAAGACATTCTAACATGCCATTAAAGTTGTGTTACCCTTAAAATCCTAATTTAATGAGCAGATCATAGTACTTTTATACAATACCTTTGACAAAACTTTCTTTCCGAAATATTCTTTTACCATCCTGCTGTGTAATTATAAACTGTCCATAGTGCCCGATGGCCTCCACAAAAAATCTCACAAAAGCCTCGGAGATCATCAGGTCCGGAGAATTCTTGGCATCTGTTAACACAAACAGTTATATAGTTAACATTGACAGCAGATTCATTAAACCTCAACATGCTAAATATCTAAAATGTACCTGTCTATCTATCCATCTGGACAAACATATTCATCATCTTCAGGGAGAATTTCAAAATATGTTACAACTGAATAGCAAACAGCAAACTGATCTTCAGGGTAAAATCTAATTAATGCCCCTAGCAGGCTGAATGTTAATTTATCACAGTCATCAATAATTAGCCTATCAAATGATATACATACAGTTTAAAACAGTCGCATATTAATTAATTAATTAATAAAAATGTCAATTTGTCTGAAAGATCCCACATGGTGAGACAGCCTGCATGCACAAATTATAAATTTGTACCAATTCATACATTTAAATTTCAAAAATTAATGTATGAAAACTTTACATCCAATTCAAAACACAATGAGAAATAAAAACTTCACTGTTATTTTAGATATAAATATATCATCAAATTTTTTAAGTTTTCATAAATAAACAATAGACAGTTGATATCTGTTTAAGTAATATACATGTACATCTGTTAATCACCTCCAGTAAGAAAAGAAGAAAAAGGAATCTCTAAAGAACGTCGAAAACAGCAAAATTGAAAATGTTGCAAGCTGCATTTGATTGAGCCTGTTCATGGATGGTTGTGGTAAATTGAGCCTGTTCATGGACGGTTGTGGTAAATTGAGCCTGTTCATGGATGGTTGTGGTAAATTGAGCCTGTTCATGGACGGTTGTGGTAAATTGAGCCTGTTCATGGACGGTTGTGGTAAATTGAGCCTGTTCATGGACGGTTGTGGTAAATTGAGCCTGTTCATGGACGGTTGTGGTAAATTGAGCCTGTTCATGGACGGTTGTGGTAAATTGAGCCTGTTCATGGACGGTTGTGGTAAATTGAGCCTGTTCATGGACGGTTGTGGTAAATTGAGCCTGTTCATGGACGGTTGTGGTAAATTGAGCCTGTTCATGGACGGTTGTGGTAAATTGAGCCTGTTCATGGACGGTTGTGGTAAATTGAGCCTGTTCATGGACGGCTGTGGTAAATTGAGCCTGTTCATGGACGGTTGTGGTAAATGTAATCTACCACTCACGCCCCTAGCACCAGTTGAAACATAAATACAGATGTACAAGACTTAATATCTTCCCTATATAAATGATTGATTATATACACAGTGAGTAAGTAAGTAACAACTTTATTTATATTACCAGAATCTTCCCAATATAAATGACTGATTATATACAGGTAAACATTACCAGAATCTATTCTGCACATATTAAGTGATGTCTTAAGAGCTTTTTCTATCTTCTTGGGTAGAAGAGTTCCTTCATCACCTTGGGAACGGATAAATGATCTCTTGTCAATGTCAACAATTAATACATTCTGAAAATATGAAAACATTCCAAGTTGATAAACAGTGGTAAACTATCAAACACTTCACTTTATAACTTTCATGTAATGACAAGACAAATCTCAAGCCAGGGTAATATTCAAAATATTATACATGTATTTGTCTCCAAGATAGCTCCTCATTTTATTTTCAATTTATATGTTTTTGTATTTCTTTTTTTTTTCTTCAGAAAAATAGATTTAATTATCTATTTCCATACTGAGTAAAATGAAAATATTGCCTCTCATTAGAGAGCACATAAATTCAATGACCAAAGTGAGTCAAAGTGACGGTTTTCATAAGAAACACCATTATTCATTATGTATTAAAAAATTTTACATCACGATACATAAATATGTAATAATTGAAAAGTTACCTCATCAATGGGAAGATCTGTTAATTTTGGCAGCAGGGAGGCAGTTATACCAATTATATATGGAGTAGGAGAGCAGACGACATCTATCATATCTGAGGGAAGTACCGGGATAAATGTATGTTGCCATGAGAATGGATACAGCAGGGACACAATGGCATGTATAGTAGATGATAATTTACTGTAAAATATATACAAGCGTAGTATGGTAAATTAGGCATGTATAGTAGATGATAATTTACTGTAAAATATATACAAGCGTAGTATGGTAAATTAGGCATGTATAGTAGATGATAATTTACTGTAAAATATATACAAGCGTAGTATGGTAAATTAGGCATGTATAGTAGATGATAATTTACTGTAAAATATATACAAGCGTAGTATGGTAAATTAGGCATGTATAGTAGATGATAATTTACTGTAAAATATATACAAGCGTAGTATGGTAAATTAGGCATGTATAGTAGATGATAATTTACTGTAAAATATATACAAGCGTAGTATGGTAAATTAGGCATGTATAGTAGATGATAATTTACTGTAAAATATATATATAAAAGTCATATGGTAAATTTGAACGGCTAGATAGTACAAATTAAATACACTGGGAGATTTTATATTAACTGACATGTATGTTTAGTTGAGTATTGGGCTAGTGTAAAACAATATTTTACTAATATACCCAAAAATTAAGTTATGAATATTCCTGGATTCAGTTCAAATACTAGTTTGTTGCTCTGGCTGTTATATTAAACATTAGAGTAAAATAAGGCAAACTTATTATAGACAATGAAAAACATGTATAACATAATATGAATAAGTAAAACAACGGGATACTGCATCACAATGTGAGAAAAATGAGACACCTGACTAGGCCTTTAACATGAGACCACAGATTACTTCCCCACTGATTCATTACCTTCCACAGATTTATTATCTGACCTACCTGATAATATACAAATTCTGAACCCCCTCTTATACAGTGATGAATTACAGGAAAGGTTTTCCCTTGTTTAAACTTAACTTTATTATCCAGAACTTACCTTAGATGTTTGGCACAAAAAAGAACACTTCTCTCTAGCAGTATAGTAGAAAATACTTTAAGCAACTTGTCAGGTCCAAGACTTGTCAACAAGCATTCACAATTTACCTGCACAAATACAAGATAATACATGTACTTAATTACATTTTTAAAAAGAGTTATCAAGGAAATCATATTGTTCTTTTGACTAATTCTTTCTCACAAATAAGTATTATAAGAGTTTAACCTTATTATTGTTGGATCAAAGTTCTGCAACAGTAAAGGTCACTTTAGTTTCCTTTAAAATGATGAGATATAATGTTGCATGCAAACTTAAACCAAAGTGTTATGCAGATGCAAATCCCCCCCCCCCCCCCCCCCCATGATCAGGATAGCCTTCTATTCTTGGAATAAAGCTAAAAATCAAGCAAATTATAATTATGATTTTTAGACACTGTACTTCCTCTTACTATTCTGTATCACTGTTTAATCAGTCTTTCAGGTTATTCTATGCACAAGCATTTTAAGAAATTTGATGCAAAAAATGTAAAAAAAAAAGTTCTTACATTTTCTATTCTATTATCAGTATCCCTGGTAACAAATATAGTCTCCATTTCACCATGTTCATCCTAAAATACCAAATACAGAAAGTTTATATTAGTTAAATTTTCAAAACTTACAAAATATTTTAATAATAATATAGTTTCTACAGTAACTTAGTCAACGAGAATAGCCTTTCATTTTATTGAAACTGTCCAATGTTATTTATTGGATTTCAATTTTTAATAGCCAACAATATAGCCAGGTGAGATTGTCAGAAAGAAGCAGGCTGGCATTACTCTATACTTGTGGTAAAGGCAAGTTGTTACAATGGTTACATGTAGATACATTTCAGTTACATGATTATTTTTTTAACTTTAAATCTCAAATGTCATCAATTCTGATGGCTACAATAAATAAAATTCTTTAAAAAAAAAAAATTTGTTTGAAAAAAGGTAGGGAACAGATGTATCATTTTGTTAAAATCCTGCCTTAAATATTATATCTTAGAGATGTATTTTCCTTCCTTTATTTTCACGTACGTTAATAGTGTTAGGGGGCTGTTAATACAAATACAAAAGACCTCATCGATCCAACAAAAAGTATAGTGATCACCTGAATGAGAACTTTTATCTTTTTATCAGACTGTTTTTAACTAACTGGTGTGTAACCAGCAAGAAGAATTTACAAAGTCCAAATTACAAAAGTAATGACAGCTTAAATGTCTTGTCCATTTTACTTGAAATTTTATTATTTAAATATATAATTTCTTTTCTTGTAGAACTTTTTTGTATAATTAAAGAAATAGTAAACACGATTTCGGACCTTTTAGCAATATAAGGACCACCCATACAGCTTCAATTATTGAACAGATTTTAAGCCTCCGGCTTTGGTCCATAAAATGTTTGTAGTCTGACAGCTTGGTTATTATAATGCTATGGTATGGCCCTCAGTATTGTGTTCTATTTTTGGATTAATGTAATATCACTTACTAGTGTTCGTATAGTTTCAGTCTGACCAGGTGAAGGTAGTGGACGACCAAATGATGCTGCAATCAACTCCTGGGCGGCATCTAGAGATACCAACCTTGTCTTCTCAATCTCTTCCAGTAACTGCAATGTTATTTATAATAATAATATAATAATAATAATAATAATAATAATAATAATAATAACAATAATAATAATACTTTGATATTAATACAACATATCTACATGGTAAAAATCTTTGTCAGTGTCTCATACAACAGTAAATAAAGGTAACATGGATTCTGCACATAACCTTGTTGAGGTGAACGTTTGAGTAAAGTTTGAAGAAAGTTCTTCCATTAGTATAGGATTTATAGAGCGGACACAACATATTGTCTACTATTTGATTGTATGTAAATTTGAAGACTTAAAAAGGGGCATAACTTTGTTAAAATGCAAAACAGAGTTATGAAACTTGACCAGCATATCTTAATTGTGACACTTCATATATATTTTAAGTTTCAAGCAAATACCTTTTCTAGTTTCATAAATATTCAAACACATGTTAAAATTTAAGAATATTTTCCAAGTCAATTTTTGACCTTCAAGTGTGACCTTGACCTTAAGCTGGCAAAAGGGTGACATGAGTTCTGCACATTACCTTGTTGAGGTGAACATTTGAGCCAAGTTTGAAGAAAATCTTTCAATTAGTGTAGGACTTACAGAGCGGACACGACATACTGTCTAATATTTGATTGTTTGAAATTTTACCTTCAATTGTGACCTTGACCTTGAGCTGACACATGGGCAACATGGGTTCTGCACATCCCCTTGTTGAGGTGAACATTTGAGCCAAGTTTGAAGAAAATCTTTCAATTAGTGTAGGACTTACAGAGCGGACAGGATATACTGTCTTATATTTGATTAATATTTGACCTTCAATTGTGACCTTGACCTTGAGCTGACACATGGGCAACATGGGTTCTGCACATGCCCTTGTTGAAAACATTTGAGCAAAGTTTAAAAAGTCCTTCAATTGGTATAGGATTTATAGAGCGGACACGAAAATGGAGATGTCGGAGGGACCGACAGACGCGACAAAGCGAATCCATTATAGCCCCCCCCCCCCACATTTTGTGGTGGGGGTATAATTATATACATTATATAACAATGTGATTAAGTATTAACTGACCGTATTATACATGTTGAAAGCATCTATAGGACTGATAATACAAATCACTTCAGGAATCTTGTTGGGTGACTTCGGTGGCTGAAATAATACATGCATATGCTTAATATAAAAAATCAAATTTAAATTAAATTCATTCAAACCTGTAATATTAATTAAACGAAGAACATAATATGCTGTTTCTTTGTGGATATCATATTATTTGAAACTTGCTTCATTTCTCCATGAATGATTCTCTCTTTTAAGAGTAATATTCAATACGTAGTTAACTTTAAACATATTCATTTTAATTGGTTGCAAAACAAATTCTTGTAACTTATATTAACCGCTCTGGAGTCTGCTTCCTGGAACTAACCAAAGGTCATTACCCATGTAGGGCTCGAACACATGATCCCTTGGTTGAGAGGCAGACACCTTAACCACTAGGCCACCGCTTCCCTTCAATATTTATTAAACCATGCCCTACTGAATGTGTTTAAATGTTCATTGTGGTTGAGTTAATATAAGCATCATCACATTCAACCCATATAAAAGTTTTTACTGTATTTCAACCTATCAAAAGTAGTATTTTAACTGTATTTAAAACACTTACAACAAGACGTCTACAATATCCATAGACACGCCCACCATCAAAGTTGGTTAATACAAAATTATATGACTGACTGAAAACAAAAAATAAAATCTCCATATTAAAATGCTGAATATGACTAGAAAAAACAAAAACAAATTTATCATGTAATGAAATCAAATAGATAAGAATTACTTACCAATGAGAACTTTATTATTTCATATTTTACATATTCAATTATTATTATCATTTGCTTGTTGTCACAATGCTCTCAAGACTTACAGACATGATTTTACAGTTTTTAACTTAAGTGTGATGATGGATTTAACTTATAACCTGCTGAATTTGTTAGATGGTTTTGTCCCACTTCTATTTTTGGAACAGTCCATTATCACCGTTTGGGAAATTTTGGATGCAAATCTCAAGTTATAGACATTATAGGTATTATAGACCCTTGCCTGGATTGTTCAGGCTGGCCTGGCTCTATACTGGTTTAACAGGCTTGTCATCTTTCAGCAGGTTCAAGATTAAGGCTAACAATTGTAACTTAACAGCTATGTAGGTCTATTAACTTAATGTAAAAGCACTAAATGTATGTTCCTGTCCCTCTAACATTGTAAATTTACTTATTTTCATGCTGAACACATTAACTGCATTCATGACAGTGAAAAAAATTTAATGAATAAAACCTGACAAAAATGAGACGTTCACTCAAAAATATTTGAAAGCAACATACCTTTTAGAACTAGATGATGTTGGTTTGAAATTGGCAGCATCAGGGAAACAAAATAATGGAACTGATACATTTGTGTCTTTCTGAAATGATGAAATAAAACTATTATAATACTATTTTCTAAAGCAGGGATAATCTTAGTCACAATATTGATAGGTGCATTGCATTGTTAAAACCTGTTTTGGTAGGTTTTATGTCATAATATAGTTTAAAGATGCACACATACAAATGGAGAAATTGACCTTTACCTACAATATACTTTAAACTTTATTTACAATTTGATCTAACCATTATGTAACATTTAACCTAATCTTTCCTATTACTTGCAGTAAAATCTAAACATTACCTGTAGTTCAATTTCATTTTTACCTTCTGCATATCTACCTTTACCTTTATAAGCTAATTTCTACCTAGGCATATAAATCTTTATTCATGGCTTAATTTCACTTTTACAGCATATCAATTTTTACCCATGGCTTAATTTCACTTTTCAGGGTTCGTACAGAAATCCAATGCCAAAATTCAAGGACTTTTTAAGCACTAATTAAGCATGTTTTCCCATTTTTCAAGCACATTTGTTGTACATATATCGGCACAATCTTCAACATAAGACGGAAAGTTTATTCGCCAATTTTTGTTGAATACACATTTTTCTGGCCACACTTTTAAGGTTTTTATAGAAGAACAACAAAGGGTGCATCAAAAACAAATTAGTTCAAAACAACTTCAATTTGTCCACTTACTGTTACATTGATACATTTCATTGATTTTGATACTAAATTAGATCATTCTTTTGATTTTGTTAACTGTTGACTATTATCTACACTGTCAATCAATCATTTTCAATCACATTTTTAGCAAATTTAAGCACTTTTTAAGCACTATTCAAGAGTGTTATCAAATTCAAGGACTTTTAAGCACGATTTTACATTTTTAAGCACTTTTTAAGAAAGGGACTCAAATTTAAGCACTTTTTAAGACTGTACGAACCCTGCTTTTACAGCATATCAATTTTTACCCATGGCTTAATTTCACTTTTTTAGCATATCAATTTTTACCCATGGCTTAATTTCACTTTTACAGCATATCAATTTTTACCCATGGCTTAATTTCACTTTTACAGCATATCAATTTTTACCCATGGCTTATTTCACTTTTACAGCATATCAATTTTTACCCATGGCTTAATTTCACTTTTACAGCATATCAATTTTTACCAATGGCTTAATTTAACTTTTACAGCATATCAATTTTTACCCATGGCTTATTTCACTTTTACAGCATATCAATTTTTACCCATGGCTTAAATTTTACTTTTACAGCATACTAGTATCGCTTAATTTCACTTTTAGCTACTGAATATACCTATGCATACTTTTACTGAGTATTTCTTAAATCTTATCATCTTTCTAATTTAACAAAATCTTTGTAAAATATACTTATTTCAACCATTAATATATTGAGTCATAAATTGAGTCACTACAAAATTTCACTTCTTTATAATTTTATATTGTCTTTACAGTTTCTTAAATAACTGTCACAGATTTTCACTTTGTTTTATTCAGATGTGTAAATGAAAGTTAGAAAAGAATTTTAGCACTTCTAGATCAAACTTAAAGATACATCCACAGGATATAAACATGCTCATTAAAGTTATAACAGTACAAAGAAAACTATAACAGAACAAAACAATATGAAGTTATAAAACCAATGTTAACAGAAGAACAGGGGAGTCCATGTGCATTATTATACAGAAGAGACAGAAGGTGGTAGTTATCATAGCTACAATTAATACATGTATGTCTAAATAAAGTAAATCTAATAGACTTACTCCAAAATTAAGAATATTTGGGGATTTCCCAGTGCTAATCTATAGGTACAAACAAACTGTTACAGTAATATCTTCAAAAATAAGTACGACTGGTTGACTAATGTATTGTGACCGGTAGTAATATTTTGTTTGTACCTAAATATTAACCTGGGAAAAACCAACATTTACCAAGATTTAGATAACATCTAATGCTTTGAAGAAATTAATTTAATTGACAATATTTAAGTAATAGAAAGAGCATCGAAACACAAGGCTATCTGATTTGTACGAGGGGGAGTAGCCCCCGAGTATTAATCAGATTGCCGGGTGTTTTGATGTTCTTTCTCTTTTGTATCATAGTCAAACATAAAAACACGTTCCATGTTGTCACAATATGAAATCCCGGGAAAAAGTAAACAAGAGCACCGCTAGGCGGAGCATTATATGCCCGAAAGTGTTTTTTTTTTTAGTAAGGATGAAGCATTTGTATGACATGGGAATTAGCTGTTCATCCTATAAAATTTTACAGATGTAGGTTGATTAATACTTAAGTTATTAATAATGACCTTAACCTTTGACCTTGTGACCCTAAAATCAATAGGGGTCTTCTACCTTATATGGACAATCATCCTAAGAAGTTTGAATATTGTGGGCCAAATGGAAGTTTAGATATGCTCCGGAAACTGTTGTCAATTTTAAGGTAATAGTGACTTTGACCTTGTAACCCCAAAATAAATAGGGGTCTTCTACCCAATATGGACAATCATCCTATGAAGTTTGAATAAAGTGGGCAAAATAGAACTTATGTTATGCTCCAGAAACTGTTTTCAGTATGAAGGTAATTGTGACCTTGACCTTTGACCTAGTGACCCCAAAATCAATAGGGGTCTTTTGCCCAATATGGACAATCATCCAATGAAGTTTGAATATTGTGGGCCAAATGGAACTTAAGTTATGCTTCGGAAACTGTTTTCAGTATTAAGGTAATAGTGACCTTGACCTTTGACCATGTGACCCCAAAATCAATAGGGGTCTTCTACCCAATATGGACAATCATCCTATGAAGTTTGAATATTGTGGGCCAAATGGAACTTAAGTTATGCTCCGGAAACTGTTTTCAGTATCAAGGTAATAGTGACCTTGACCTTTGACCTTTTGACCCCAAAATCAATAGGGGTCTTCTACCCAATGTGGACAATCATCCTATGAAGTTTGAACATTGTGGGTCGAATGGAACTTAAGTTATGCTCCGGAAACTGTTTTCAGTATCATGGTAATAGTGACCTTGACCTTTGACCTAGTGACCCCAAAACCAATAGGGGTCTTCTACCCAATATGGACAATCATCCTATGAAGTTTGAACATTGTGGGTCAAATAGAACTTAAGTTATGATCCGGAAACTGTTTTCAGTATCAAAGTAACAGTGACCTTGACCTTTGACCTTGTGACCCCAAAATCAATAGGGGTCTTCTGACCAATATGGACAATCATCCTATGAAGTTTGGATGTTGTGGATCAAATGGAACTTAAGTTATGCTCTGGAAACTGTTTTCAGTATCAAGGTAATAGTGACCTTTGACCCCAAAATATATAGGGGTCTTCAACCCAATATGGACAATCATCCTATGAAGTTTGAACATTGTGGGCCAAATGGAACTTAAGTTATGCTCCGGAAACCAAATTGCTAACGGCAGAAACTGTTTTCAGTTTTAAGGTAATAGTGACCTTGACCTTTGACCTTTTTACCCCAAAATCAATAGGGGTTTTCTACCCAATATGGACAATCATCCTATGAAGTTTGAACATTGTGGGTCAAATAGAACTTAAGTTATGCTCCGGAAACCAAATTGGTAACAGACGGAAAAATGCTAACGGACGGAAACTGTTTTCAGTTTTAAGGAAATAGTGGCCTTGACCTTTGACCTTTTGACCCCAAAATCAATAGGGGTTTTCTACCCAATATGGACAATCATCCTATGAAGTTTGAATGTTGTGGGTCAAATGGAACTTAAATTATGCTCCAGAAACTGTTTTCAGTATCAAGGTAATAGTGTCCTTGACCTTTGACCTTGTGACCCCAAAATCTATAAGGGTCTTCTACCCAATATGGACAATCATCCTATGAAGTTTGAACATTGTGGGTCAAATGGAACTTAAGTTATGCTCCGGAAACCAAATTGCTAACGGACGGAAACTGTTTTCAGTTTTAAGGTAATAGTGACCTTGACCTTTGACCTTTTGACCCCAAAATCAATAGGGGTCTTCTACCCAATATGGACAATCATCCTATGAAGTTTGAACATTGTGGGCCAAATAGAACTTAAGTTATGCTCCGGAAACCAAATTGCTAACGGACGGAAAATTGCTAACGGACGGAAACTGTTTTCAGTTTTAAGGTAATAGTGACCTTGACCTTTGACCTTTTGACCCCAAAATCATTAGGGGTCTTCTACCCAATATGGACAATCATCCTATGAAGTTTGAACATTGTGGGCCAAATAGAATTTAAGTTATGCTCCGGAAACCAAATTGATAATGGACGGATGGACGCCAGGGGGTATAACATAATATGCCCTTTCGGGCTTATAAAAATGAACGAGCATCTGAATATGATGTTTCTGTCGCTTTCTATTTCTCTTCCATCACAAAAAGTAAATCCCAGCAAAAATGAGCCAATCAATGGGCATGCTCTGGAGTGCAGGTAACTAATACCTGCACTCCAGTTAACGTACTGTGCATGTATATGTATACCATTTAACTCTGACACATTTTCAACAGAAAGTCCCCAAACTATGATACAATATAAGGATATACAAGGGGTATTACAATTCATCATGCAATTTCAAAATATAAGACTGGTCTTATTTTATAAATGTCTGATTAATTGTACAGAACAAAGAAATATAATAAGCTACCAGTCAACATTTACCGTTGGTTTTTAGCTAAACACCGAATATAAAATTCAATAACCGGCAACCGATGTTAGTTTTTGACAAAGAGACAAAAAAGTTTAAGTTTGATACTAAATATTACCTTAGTGTTTTATTATAAGAAAAGACATTTTTTTTGTATTTTAGTTAACTCAACAATGTATTTTTTCGAATCTGATCAAGTACAGTACGACCTTAAAGGAAAATAGTTACTCTATATTCGGATAATTATGTATTTTAAGTACAACAAAATTCAAACAAAATGTTAGATTTTATCATAATGAAACAAAGTTAATGTTGAAAAATCTAAGGATTTTATTAGTATGGTCGGTTAAATATTTTTAAAACGGTTATTAAGTCCGTTTGTCGCCGTTTAAACGGAGAGCATTTTTTTTAACCGTGACACCTTAATTAAAAGCATGATATCCGGTTATCAAAACAATAGAAACAGATTAACTATTCTAATGTACAATCAGTGAATCTAGTGATATTAAGTTAATACCAAAGACGCTTCTGGTGCCAGCAAAGATTGAGGAATAAACATCTACTTGCAGAAAACATATTACATGCCAAAATGCAAACAAGTGTCTCATAAATGGTAAAGAGACAAGGCAGATATAATGAGAAGGTGGATGATAATGAAATGATAAGTTATGCTATAGACACTGTTAGTAATAATGATCATACATACATGCTTCAACATAGTAGAAATTCCCTAGTTAAACCGTCAGACAAATTACATACATGTGTCATATTTCAAGACATAAGAAAACAGGTGAACGGTATAATTGTTTGACATACATGTACAATAATGTGCCTTAAACCAAAACAGAAATTCACATTATAAGAACATCTAGAAGAAATAAGTAAAAGCGACAAGTTAAGCACATGTAAGGGGGAACTCAGCCAGCTACAATCTTCTCAGCAACACTATGAACAATATCTAACCCCTTACCGCCTCAGAGCACGGGAATAATTTCCCTTCCATTGTAAGTTTATAATTGCGCTACAACATGAGATAAACATAAAATCAATACGAGAGGTAATAAGCAATTTCTAGCAGACATGGAAAACTGTAGATATCATAATTTCAGTATACCTCACACTATTTCCTTATTGAACAGAATAAGCTTCTGAGTGAATTTCTACACAATAATGTACAGAATAAGGAAAGTACTATGTACATATTGAATGACATCAGATGAGGGATGAATACACTAAAATTTATGATATCATTAAATTTACTTGTCTGCTCAATGTAGTTCAACATATTTGTATTGATCCTCTATCTATTACAATGTCAAAATAGAATTAGACAACATTCCTTTCTTGTGCATCTGTGCACACTAATATGGTTTATATCAATGTCCTAAACATTTCTTAAGGTAAAATCATTAGCATCAATAATTTCAAAGGAAGAAATAATGAGACCAAAATAGACTTTTCAAGATTTCACAACAAAGATTTCTAACTGAAAATCTAATAAGTTTGAATGTTTTTTGTTATAACAGAGAGACCAACATTTACATTTTACACTATCTCTACGGAAACAGTAGTCCTTATTTAGTCATATTAGCTATACATGAACCTAATTTCATACATGTACAAAATAAATGTGAAAAACTTCATCCATATAAACTTAAAGACACTCTAAATGCAATTAGTGTCCAACTTAATTTGTCATCCAATGAAAACGCTGTATTTCTTAAAAGTTATGTGCGTTTATTTTCATAGAAAAACAGAAGTCGATACTATATCGAATTCCGTTCATAGTCGACTACTATTTTTCATAGTACTTCATAGAGCGGCATAGTGACGTAATAAAGTGAATGATTATGAAGCCAAATAAAGTTTGACACTAAATATGTTAGTATTCATCCGTAGCTGTTCTACAGAAATTAGAAACATTCTCCTGTCCCTAACGCTCCCGTCCAAGTTTCTTATTTCTGTAGAACAGCACGGATGAACACTAACATATACTAGGTTCAAAAGAAACACATTATACTAACTATCTTTGAAAATTTAGAAAACTGTACATTAATAAACAAACTATATTTTATGGCACTATGGGATTTTACAAAGCTTTCACTGACAGCACTATACAAGTCTATCAATGGTTTGAGAGAAAGAATCAAACGGTATATAATTGTTCTAGACAGAGTTCAACTACACAATCATAACATTATAGTGGCTATAGTAAAAGTGACCTTTCAGAGGATATTGTACTAAGGAAATAAAACTCACTATTTCTGGGAATTTATAAACGACATATGGCTCATAAACGCCAGTGTCCGAGTTCTGATGAAGGCTCACAATCATTGCATGTTCAAATAGTTGAGGATATATCTTCTTCTCATACTGCCTGGTCTCCTTAATACTCTTTGACTAAAATAACAGAAATATATACATTCATTTAACCAATCAAAACGTTATTTTGAACAACAATGTGGAAATATATAGAGGATATTGAATGAGTGTAAATTCAATACTGAATTTATTGAACAAGTTCTATTCATCACATACCAAAAATAAAGACTGTTAAAAGAGAAAAAAATTCATTTTTCATTAATGTGCCTATAGTATTTCGCTAGCATTTAGCGCATCCTTACACTTTGTTTGTATAACGCAAATGTTGTCACATCAAAATATATGCACGGCCGTGCAATACCATTTTTACGGAGTAGCAAAAGCGGCATGGGTATGTGATGTACAGCTTTTTTATTTTCAGTTCTTAACCCTTACCTTGTATAATCTATATAATTCAACTTGTCTCAATTTTAAGTGTGACACATCCATCAATACTGTTAAGTACATTACCAAAATACCAGACAGGTATTGTGGCTGGACAGACTACTGGGGTGTACCGGCTTACCTGGCTACGTACTGGTGGCATGGCCGAGTCAGTATCATCAATAATGATTCAGCGTTCATCTCCATGCCATTTTTTACTATTGTATTAATACAATGACAGCAATTCCAATTTTTATGATAAAATACTTTATTACAGTTATTAGGACTCACTTGGGTTGAGGTATTATTAAAGTTAAATATTATTTGTATTTCTTCAATATTAGCATAATTTTGTGTCAATATATACAATGTAATATGATAAAGCTATACTTACAGTTTTGATTCGAATACTACGGGAATATTCTACCCTCTTCCTAATCTCCCTTTCATCAACTTTGCTGTCAGAATCATCTGTAATTACATTAATAAATTTCATTAAGTTAACAGTGAAAAATAACCAATATTCACCGAGTATCACCCATTACCAATTCAATACATTCTGCATTATTTATTGAACATCACTCCTTACCAGTGAGATATTTTCTATATCATTCACTGAATATCACTTATTGCCAGTGAGATATATTCTATACTATTCATTCTCCCTTTTTTAAAAGTTAATAACAGTGGCCAAGGGTCTCAACTATTCTCAACACATGTCTGCTTGTTAATAAAACAAGAGTTTAGGGTCTGACCATTGACCTACAGTTATGATAATAAAGAAATAAGTCAAGCAAAGAGTATCTTCAGTGGGTATTGAGATATAAAGTTCCACATTAAACACCACAGGTAGAAGGACAGAACGATTATTCTTTAACAAAATGACATCTCAAACAAAGGCATAAGCAATTTATATCATTTTACCAGCACAAAGAGGGAAGATGATGTTTCATTTCCGTCTTTTTGAAGAATAAAATTTTTCTTTATCCTCTTAACATTATGTTTTCACGTACACTCAAGCAATTAAGTGATATAATATTATAACTGCACACTATACATGTGCATGTTATAATACTGATACTTGTGTTGCAATGATAAAGTTGGGAAGAAATATTGGTGTGGTATTACCATAACAAGTTTATGGACAGAAACCACTTAAGGTAAAGATGACCACTTTCAGTGACCTCCTTGTAATAAACCACATCAATATATACACAGTCATGACATCTAACTTCTTATATATCTATACACAATCAATATCACTTCAAACGTTCACTTTTAACAACTATTATTATTAACATTTGAACCATATTTATAAAGTACTTAAACCCTAAGTAGCTAAATTTGTATAATTCACTTGCTCTGCTTTCCTTTATTAAATAATGTAAATATCATGAAGAAAATTTGGAAGTTTGTTAGCTAGCCGAACCTGCACAGGTGTGTAAGCTGGCCTGGCTCTATACTTGTAGCTCAAGTTTTGCAATTGTTATGTTTAAACACCCATAATTATCTAGAAAAATAGTCATGGTTTGCCATTATCCAGGTCAAATAAGCATTTTTCTTTCCTTTTACAAATTATCTTGTCAATTCACCCCTAATCAATTAATGATGTTTGCCTGTGTTTGTTTTAATGCTGATTTAACATATTCTTTTGGTCATATCTGGGGGCACTCAGTCCACCTAACCAGCATTCCTGGGATAAATTACCCAGTAATTACCAATTTGATCTGCACGTGAATTGACTTCCAATTCCACATGAGAGTTGAGAGACAAATGACCTAAGACTCTATTAGTAAGAAACTTATGATACAGAAAAAAAAAAAAAAAAAAAAAAAAAAAAAAAAAAAAAAAAAAAAAAAAAAAAAAAAAAAAAAAAAAAAAAAAAAAAAAAAAAAAAAAAAAAAAAAAAAAAAAAAAAAAAATGGACAAAATTGTCCAAATCTAACAGAGTTATTAAAAAAGTATCGTGATTTGAAATTTGTACTTGACTGGGGTAGATTTCATTAGTTCAGGATCTCACAATGTGCAAAAGCATCAAGTTCAATCTATTCTAAGAAAATTTATGATAGCCAAATACAAGTACTAGATCAAGGTACAGTGTTGTCTTATAATGACACATGATGACATGTGGGACCATCATCTCACATCTACAGCTTTAAGTTTTGAAATCTGTTAACAAACAACCTTACATACCGGTATAAAAGTACTCATAAAAGTGTCTTTTATAATACAAGTAGCAACATAATAACAAAGAATACATACTAGAAAGTTTTTCAGCTAATTCATCATCTTCATCTTCACTGTCTTCTAAATTGTTGTTAATGTTGTTTTTCTGTCTCAATGAACTTTGTAATACTTCAAATGCTTGGTTTACTTTGTTACGAATCTATGGAGAAAAAGCCAGTTAACATAAAAATAAACCCTTGAAACAAATATAGCTTTAAAATATAATTTTCTGTGTTGAATAGATTTCTTAAATGATATAAAGCTTTATCTTATGAAATATTTTTATCTTTATAAATGTAATCATTATTAAAGAAACCTAAAACCTTATCCTGTGTTGATTGTTTTTATCTTTATAAACAGTAAAACTAGGTGCTCTCATGATATTATAGTAAATTCTCAAAAGAGCAGTGATTTTTCTCACTTAATTGGGAAGAGGCCTTAGCCTCTTGATTTTGGGAAAAATTATGTCTCTTTTATTCAAAACATATGAATATTGTACAGTCATAAACAGAAGAAAATGGTTCAGGAACAAAATATTATGCTACTATTTCGTATAGGATTTCAACCATGTAGCATCCTACATGTGTTATTCACTCTTAGGAAAATATACAAACATACTTCTTTCATACAAGTATTTTAGAAGTATTCTTTTTCAAAACCAAAAAATACATTTGCAGCAGATATTTAGCTTTAAACACTTTAATATAGGACTGTAAAGGCATAGAAAATTAAGATACCTATAATTTACATGAGATGTGTTTAAAATAAAAGCTTAAAAAAACACCAAAAATTAAGATAAAAATATGTTTTATTAACCACTTGCTACATTTTCACAAAGAAAAGAAAGAAGTTTTCTCACTGAAAGTGGATTAAAAATTTTACAATAATTCATTAGTCTCCTTCAAAATAATTGTTTTTTTTAATGTTTTTTCTTTTCCTTTTCTTTTTATACATGATGGTTTAAACAATGTTCAATTTTATGTTCTTGTTAAACAAGTTATAAAACAAAAAGATACATACTGCATCTACTTTACGTTTTTGACTGCCCCGATCTGAGGTCGAGGATTTCTCAGGGGCTGGTTTGTCTTGTTCGCTGAACAAATTCTTAAACCGACGGAATTTTGACTTTACTCGATCACCTATTGCTTTCACAGGCTGAAAAAACAACAACAGCACAATATTCAAACAATAGAACTTAGCTATTCTTGTATAAAAATTGCTATTTTTTGTTTTAAATATTTAATAAGTAATAAACTTATATTGCCTAGGACAATTTAATTGGTCATTTCCTGTAACTGTAATTAAAGAAAAGTAATTGTAAATAAAATGAATCACTACATATGTTTCAATTATTTTCATATAGAGAAACTCCAAACAATACCATTGTTAAAACAATCAATCTATCCAAATAGTTTTATCAGCATAGTTCAGATACAATGCAAAGTATTGTGTGATTTTATTAACTTGTCAATTAAATGCATACTAATTATATGGTCAATACACACACTGTATTATTCTTTGATAGATATTTGGTAAATTCCGTAATATGAACACTATAAGATATGATTTAGTTTAATTTGTGTCACTCACATAATTATACTTAGCTTTATAGCACAATAGTAAATTGGATCGAATATTTAGATAAATGCTATAATGTATTCATAATTGACAGGTCAATAAAATCAGACTATAACAATAAAATAAGAAAGCTTAAGATTGTCCCTGTCACGATGATTATTCTGCTTGTTAGAATATTTAATATCAAATTTAGTCACAACATGAGGATGTTCAAATGTTTTATAATCCTTTGCTCAGATAATCCATTTGAATCACTGGTATAGATCAAGGTTGGTGAAAACACATCACAATTTCTATATATGAAAAAAAAAAGCTTAATAAATTAAGCCTACCATAACGTAAGATGAGCAGTTTCAAGTATTTCCTCTCAATCTAGTATTTTAGAAATATGTTACAACCAAAATGGGGGTTTTCCCTTACTCATTACTTGAATTGTTGAATTTATAAGTTCTAAGTATTCATGTGTTTCTTAGAAATCTTAATTGTTTCATGTAAATAATTATACATGTAATTTTCATATTGTAATATGATGTTATATCCTAGTACATTATTACATATAGATACTGGCATGTTATAACAAATAATACAAATAAAAGAATACAAAAATCTACTTTTAACAAGAGTGATCAGTGATCACATGTGTTGCCTGATGATAGCCAATTAAGCATTCACTAATTTTGGTTAATCTATGTCACAGGTTAACACATAAAGTGCTGCAGTTAAACATGTATATTCAGTGTTACTTTTATTTCAGGATATATTGTTATAATTATTTTACAGGTACATGAAGTATACAAGTCACCCTCTTCACTGAAAGAAATTGTGTTAACAATACATTTAACATGTAACTTAATGTTGAACATAAAGACATTAAGAGTACACCAATTTTGTTCCATTTTTCAAGTTTCAAGTGGTCAGTTTGATTTTATGATAAAATAAGATCCTTTTTTTTTGAGATCTGTTGGATCTGAATTGCTGATGCGATCTGGAAATTTCACCTGTTTTTTTATTTTATTTTGACTGGGTATAAAGTGATATGGGCATTGACCATGTGGAGGTGATAGTAAGATACCTCTCAAGTTTTACTGGTGAAAGAAGACCTAAGGTGACCCCTCTTTGCATTATTTCAAGTACAATTCAGCAATTCTAGTAGAACCTCTGACCTAGCTTGAAAGAATCCTTACAAAGAAAACAAGAGCACCGCTAGGCGGAGCATTATATGCCCGAAAGTGTTTTGTTTTGTCTTTGTAAGGATGAAGCATTTGTCATTTGTAAGACATTACATAAATTAAATAAAGTATTACCTCCTTCAAATAGCAATCCTCCTATAAAGATTGAATATTGTGGGCCAAATGGAATTTAAGTTATGCTCTGGACACTGTTTTCAGTTTTGAGGTAATAGTGACCTTGACCTTTGACCTTGTGACCCCAAAATCAATAGGGGTATTCTACCCAATATGGACAATCATCCTATGAAGTTTGAATATTGTGGGCCAAATAGACCTTAAGTTATGCTCTGGACACTGTTTTCAGTTTTGAGGTAATAGTGACCTTGACCTTTGACCTTGTGACCCCAAAATCAATAGGGGTATTCTACCCAATATGGACAATTATCCAATGAAGTTTGAATATTGTGGGCCAAGTAGACCTTAAGTTATGCTCCGGAAACTGTTTTCAGTTTTAAAGTAATAGTGACCTTGGCCTTTGACCTTGTGACCCCAAAATCAATAGGGGTCTTCTACCCAATATGGACAATCATCCTTTGAAGTTTGAATATTGTGGGCCAAATGGAACTTAAGTTATGTTCCGGAAACTGTTTTCAAGTTGTCATTCAAGTCAGAAAAGCCTGTTTACAAACACACAACATGAACTCATAACATAATAATTTAGAAGCAGAGTATTTGTTGAAAAAAAAGACATTCTTTAAATAACATTTAGTTGATGCACTGGACACATTTCAAAATAGGTACCAAAAGAGAATCAGTTTTATAATAATAAAAATGTTACAGGAGCATTTTCATGATACCCCACCAAGACAGCATGTCTAGACATGATTTTACAGAACTCACTTGTTTAAAAATTTAAAATTTATGTGTGTGTGTGTGTGTGTGTGTGTGTGTGTGTGTGTACATGTATGGTACATCATTCTAGACCAATGTTTAAATATTTATGAGGTTGTTTAGGTTTAAAAGATTTCTTATATAAATCTTAACTTCCTTGTATATATATTATACATTCATTAAATAAACTTATATCTCACAAATCACACTCCAGTATTTTTTCAGGAAGTTATCAGTATAAGTTTATTATTGTTATATATAAATTTTATATAATTAAAGAATGATATACTTTGCTCATTCTTGAGTAAGATATTTTAATCACAGAAATTTATTGAAATCTATGAAATTCTTATTAATTTTGTCTAATTTGAATAAAAGCATGCATAATTTATGCATGAGAAGCTGGATTCCCTTTTACAGAACAAGTGAAGTTGGTCTTTTCTTAAAAAAAACTGGCAGTTTTTTTAAATGACACTGTATATTCATATTGTGACCATCTGTAGTGTTGAGGATTTTAAACATAAAATATCTATTTTGTGTTAAGTCCAAACATGTTAATTTTATAAACCGGTATACAAAAAGACTGTGTAGCAATTATCAATATTTTCTAATGTGAAATTTGAGCAAAGTATATCTTTAACGTTTTGTTTTATAATAAAATTTCCGTGATGTGTATTTCTATATTCTATTTCTGCCATACTTTGTTAGTATTATATATCTGTGTTACTTTTTGAATTTGCAAGTTATAGGGGGTGAATTCTGATGACAACAAGCAATTATCATAGTATTGCAAGCAATCCATAAGTCCCCTACCGGTAAGAGCCCAAGCAACATTCTGAAGGGCCATTGGCAATTCACTTAGGTTCCTATTTTAAGTAAATTTGTTGAAAAAGTTCTTTAAAAGTGATCACAGGAAATAGTTTTTATGTAAAGACAGACGGACTGAAAGACACTCTAAAGTTATTTTTTAAACATCCCTGTTATCAAAATATAACATTTTTAAAATCCTATCATAATTGAAGAAGTTGGAGTAAAAATTACCAATTTCTCAAAAAAAAAAGTCTAAGTTCAAAAGGGGCATAATTCTGGAAATAGTCTTGCTAGAGTATTGAACACTCACAAATGTTGAGTGACAATAAGAAACATTTATATGAAGTTTGAAGTAGATACATTCAGAAAAAGAAGTTATTAAAAAAACGATGTTTTTTTCATGAAAATTTCAAGTTCAAGGGAGGTAATTCTAATAAATTTTGTGATAGAGTTGTAAACCTTGTCACATATGATGTGGTTGATGACAAGCAACTTATATTTAAAGTTTGAAGAAAATACCTTAAGAAATAAAGAACTTATAGTGAAAAAACTTAAAAACTAGAATCAGAAATCTTGAAATTCAGTCTATTTGTTGCCATAGCAACCAGAATTTTCAACATAGGAAGATAAGAAAAGGATGTGAATAATTTCCATACTGCCATCTACCCATATGTCAAGTTTCATAAACATATTTTCAGTACTTTTTGTGTTATCACTGGATCCAGGTTATGTGTAAAATTTGCCATATTTTCAGTCTATTTGTTGTCATAGCAACCAGAATTTTCAACATAGGAAGAAAAGAAAAAGACGTGCATAATCTCCATACTGCCATCTATCCATATATCAAGTTTCATAAAAATATTTTCAGTACTTTTTGCATTATCGCGGGATCCAGTTTATGTGTAAAATTTGTCATATTTTCAGTCTATTTGTTGCCATAGCAACCAGAATTTTCAACATAGGAAGAAAAGAAAAAGACGTGCATAATCTCCATACTGCCATCTATCCATATATCAAGTTTCATTAAAATATTTTCAGTACTTTTTGCGTTATCGCGGGATCCAGTTTTGTGGACGGACGGACTGACGGACGGACAGACGGACGGCCGGACTGACGGACGGACAGGCGGACAGACGGACGGAGGGTAAACCTAAAGTCCCCTCCGGTAAACCGGTAGGGGACTAATAAAGTATAAATTCCATCTTAAATTTTACAAAGACATTTGAAAGTTACATTTATAACTATGACATTAATTAAATATCTATATATCCCTTAAACTCCAACACTTTTATATTTTATCTGATTACCATACTCTATCTTTAATTCTTACCTGGATTCATGTAAATACAGGTTTGATATACATGTATTAAAGAATATAGGCATAGATAATTAAGCTACAATCCATGCATGGATCCAGCAAATGCTCGAGCTTACAATGCCACAGGAAAAGGTGAACTGTGCTAAATCCTTTAACCTGATATGCAATTATTTTTCATCTATTCAAAAATTCATTCATTCTATTGATGTTATCTTATTACAAGAATCTTATTACAAGATCATGTCAGTTCACCATACACTAAACTCACTCAATTTCTAAAAAGGATTTTCCTTTGAATTTCGAACCAATCCATTAAAAGTTAAAAGAATTTCAATATGAAAGTACATTGTACAAAATTTGAGTTACTTATAGTATTGGGCATTGTCAGACTGTATGTACAGGCTGACCTGGCTCTATACTAGTACTACTAGAGGTAAAGGGTTTATCACTTTTTGATTCCAGCAGGTTAAAGAATAGAACAAACAGTAAGATATTCTACTTTAATTTGCACCTGTCTCTCTAGACCCATGCATGTATTTCTGTAAACAACCACCAAACAATAAAACAAAATATAATTACTCTCAGATCATTATCAGAAAAAGAGCCTTCAACATCTAATAAATGCCACTACAAATAATAATGATAAATTAAATTAAAAATATGTTAGAGTTCTTTTCAAGAAAGCAGTACCACTCAATCACTTAAACAAAACAATGTAATCTTAAACTTTTCATTAAAAAATAAATAAAACATGTCAATTTCAAGCTTAGTTTTTATAAATTTTACTCTCTAATTAAAGTTATATATCAGTTATTTATCAACTTCTTAAGAAACTGAAAAAAACCCACAAAAAACAAACAAACAAAAAACCCAAAACAAACAAGTATCAAGATGACAAACAAGAGCTGTCGGTAGGACAGCAACGCTCGACTATTCTAGTGCTTGATAGTAAAAAATAATGCTTGATAGAGTTACCTACTCCTGTTTACAGGTTGGTGACATGATGGTGAACAAGTATGCAAAGTTTCAAAGCCATATGTCAATGGACTTTGAAAATATTTGAGGTATTACAAAAAACTTTAACGTAAATTCTAAGTCGAAAAAGGGGCATAATTCTGTCAAAATGCTTAATACAGTTACCTCCTCCTGTCTACAGGTTGGTGTCATGATGGTGAACAAGTGTGCAAAGTTTCAAAGCCATATGTCAATGGACTTTGAAAATATTTGAACTATTACAAAAACTTTAACGTAAATTCTAAGTCGAAAAAGGGGCATAATTCTGTCAAAATGCTTGATACAGTTACTTCCTCCTGTCTACAGGTGGGGGTCATGATGGTGAACAAGTGTGCAAAGTTTCAAAGCCATATGTCAATGGACTTTGAAAATATTTGAACTATTACAAAAACTTTAACGTAAATTCTAAGTCGAAAAAGGGGCATAATTCTGTCAAAATGCTTGATACAGTTACCTCCTCCTGGCTACAGGTGGGGGTCATGATGGTGAACAAGTGTGCAAAGTTTCAAAGCAATATGTCAATGGACTTTGAAAATATTTGAACTATTACAAAAACTTTAACGTAAATTCTAAGTCGAAAAAGGGGCATAATTCTGTCAAAATGCTTGATACAGTTACCTCCTCCTGTCTACAGGTGGGGGTCATGATGGTGAACAAGTGTGCAAAGTTTCAAAGCCATATGTCAATGGACTTTGAAAATATTTGAACTATTACAAAAACTTTAACATAAATTCTAAGTTGAAAAAGGGGCATAATTCTGTCAAAATGCTTGATAGAGTTACCTCCTCCTGTCTACAAGTTGGGGTCATGATGGTGAACAAGTGTGCAAAGTCTCAAAGCTATATGTCAATGGACTTTGAAAATATTTGAACTATTACAAAAACTTTAACATAAATTCTAAGTCGAAAAAGGGGCATAATTCTGTCAAAATGCTTGATACAGTTACCTCCTCCTGTCTACAGGTGGGGGTCATGATGGTGAACAAGTGTGCAAAGTTTCAAAGCCATATGCCAATTGACTTTGAAAATATTTGAGGTGGTACGCAAACTTTTACTTAAATTATAACTCCTTAAAGGGACATTATTCTGTCTAAATGCTTGATACAGTTACCTCCTTCTGTCTATAGATTGAGGCCATGATGGTGAACAATTGTGCAAAGTTTCAAAGCCAAATGTTCATGGACTTTGAAAATATGTGAGGGATTACAAAAACTTTAACGTAAATTCTAAGTTGAAAAAGGGGCAAGATACTGTCATAATGTTTGATAGAGTAACCTCCTGTCTATAGGTTGGGATCATAATGGTGAACAAGTGTGCAAAGTTTCAAAGCCATATGTCTATGGACTATAAGTACTCCTCCTGTAAGTGGGTCATGATGTGAACAAGTGTGCAAACTCAAATTTGAAAATATTTGAAAAATAAATTCTTGAACCTCCTCTGTCTCATTGAACAAGTGTGCAAAGTTTCAAAGCCATAAACTTTGAACATTACAAAAACTTTAACAGTTAAATTCTAAGTTGAAAAAGGGGCATAATTCTGTCAAAATGCTTGATAGAGTTACCTCCTCCTGTCTACAGGTTGGGGTCATGATGGTGAACAAGTGTGCAAAGTTTCAAAGCCATATGTCTATGGACTTTGAAAATATTTGAACTATTACAAAAACTTTAACATAAGTGGTTACGCCGACGCCGACGCTCGGGTGACTACAGTAGCTCTACTTATTCTTATCGAATAGTCGAGCTAAAAAGTATCGCTTAAAATGAATGATATCAATGAATGATATTCCAGTACTTATTCTTATCAATAAAACTATCTTATAATAGGATTAAACTTAAAACTCACAAAGCTGGTAGGATGACATAACTAATAATTATCACCTTTAATTATAATTTTATACAACAAGTGTATATACAAAATCATTCAGTTGACATAAATTTTCTAACAAAATTGATCATGTGAGTCAGTGATACTCATAAATATAAATAATTATATAGATAAATATATAAATACAGTCCTGAATGTTTAGAGAATGTTTGTGAATGTGTGTACAAACCTCATTTGTGTCATCTGTAGAATTATTCCTCCGTATGAGGCGATGTGGAACGGCATAACCTTCTGTATCAACATATATATCGTACTCTTTCTTATTGCTGCCTATACCTAGTTGATCTGGGTCCACATAAATTACGTTCCCTGGTAAAACAATCATACATAATTATAACAATTATATGAGCTGTGCTGTGACAAAACCAAACTATTGTGTTTGCGACCAGCATGGATCCAGACCAGCCTGCGCATCCGCACAGTCTGGTCACAATCCATGCTGTTCACTTACAAACCCAATAACAAGTAGAGAAACTGATAGCGAACAACATAGATCCTGTTTACAAAATTTCTATATGGTATATAGTGAAAAAATCAACAAAGGGCCATAATTCTGTTAAATTTGGTCGCAGCAAAAATTCCTTCCTTTACTACCATCTACACATTAAGGTTGTTCATCCCTGGAAGTTTAAACAAAATCTGCCATCCGGTTTAAGAGGAGTTGCTTTCACAAAATTTCTACATAGTATATAGTGAAAAAATCAACAAAGGGCCATAATTCTGTTAAATTTGGTCGCAGCAAAAATTCCTTCCTTTACTACCAGCTACACATTAAGGTTGTTCATCCCTGGAAGTTTAAGCAAAATCTGCCATCCGGTTTAAGAGGAGTTGCGTTCACAAAATTTCGGGACGTACGGACCGACAGACCCACGAACAGACGTTGTCACAGGACAGTAATTATGTGGCTACTCTATTGTTCTCTCTTTTGTTCTTTTTAGCCACACAAAAGAAAAAAGCCACATAAAAGCATTACGGAATGAATGACATCAAAGAGAAAGAACAGTTACCTATTGTCCCTCTAGCCACATAATTACTCTCCTGTGAGTGAGGAAAGACGGACAGACGGACAAGTGCAACGCTATATGCACCCACTGTGTGGGGGCATAATTATTAATTGGCTGCGACCACATACCAAAACAACTATATACATGTATATGCGTAGTGTAATAATTACTTAAGTCTGAATTACAAATTTTCTTCATTCTCGTAATGGGTTTGTCAGAAATGGAAACATAAATTGTTTATGATTATACAGTCATTTACATTTTAAATGTTCCAAGTAACTGAGTATTATGTTTGAAGAATGAATGAAATCTGTACTTATTGCCATCACTACAAATTTTGTTACCTTACAAAATAACAGTGGTAACTCCACATAAAAATCTCTCTAAGTAATGATTATCAGTTCAAATTTTAAAGCAGGACATTTCCATTATGCAATGTTAACAGATTATCAGTTTGGTTTAATGAAGTTATAGCATAAAAAATAAAATTCTTTAAAACTTTGATTCCATAATTTGTTTTGCCACTTTTGCAATGGCAGAAATGATTTAAAGGAAAAAAGTAAATTTACAAACATCTTTTTGCAATTCTCATAATTCCTTGCAATTTTAGGAAGTTACAAATTTATTTGCACTTAGAGTGAAATGAAATAATGAAACATTTCAGGCCACACAAAATTGAGATGTATTTTTATTTCGTGAAGAATTTGTTAAAAAATACAAGTGAGCCTAGACAATGTATTCATTGTTAACAATTTAACATATTACATTTTAATAAGCATGTTATGCATTGTCAAATTAAGTATTGTTTGGTTTTATTAACCTGTCAATTGCATACTGATTATACGGTCGATGCACACAGTATATTAATCTTCGGATGATGTTCGGTAAGTTCCGTGAGATGTACGCTGTACGATCAAATTTAATTTAATTTGTATATCTTAACTGAGTGTACTCAGCGTTATAGCACAATAGGGTAAATCACGAGTTTATAATCTAAGTGCCACACGTTTTTTAAGTTCGAGGCCGCGTTGGTCCATGTTTTTTTATCTTATTAATACTTTCAACATTATTGAATCTATATATGATTATTTTAAGTTGTTCGTTTTTTTTTATTATGTTTTACTTAAGTTTGTTATGTATATACTCTTTTTAAATAACATGTTTTTTTAAGAATTCATGGTTAAAATTAAAACAGATTAAAATCAATAAATGTCTTTTCAATGCCGTAAAACACACTACAAATCTGTTCCATTAAAATATACTGCAAAAATAAAGAAAGAGTACTAAAACAATGGCAACAGTAAGGATCGAACCACAGACCTCTCAATTATCAGGCATTCTCTTTACCGACTGTCCTATTGTGAATTAACGAAAACCTTCACATTAAGCTGGCGTGACTTTCAATCCATGACTAATATACTCCACATTAATTCTCGTAAACTACACGGACCAAACCGAAGTGGGATCGAATATTTAAATGAGTCCTATGACGTATTCATAATTGACAGGTCAATAAAATCAGACTATAACATACCTTTTTCATCAACAGCCTTTTGTATGCATTCAGCACTTAGACTTCTGCGTATTGGTTCAGGGTGTGAAATCCGCGGTAAGTCCCAGTGTTTTAATTGTTCATTCTTGTGTTTGTTCAGGAAAGCTTGTGCTGGTATCATCTCGTAAAATGGATTGTCATCTTTATCATTGTTATGATCCGACATTTCATCAGAGTCCGAACCTTCACTAGACCTAAAATCTACACTGTCTGTAGCTATAGAAAATGGTCGAGGCTTTGACCTTGGTGGGGGAGGTCGTGTTGGCTTTTTCTTTTTGTTTAATACTGGTACTTCAGGAAGTTCTCTTTTTGAAAAATCAACTTTTACATTCTTAGTTTGTGTCACTGATGCATTATCACAGTTTTCATTTTGTGTCTCTTCAATTTTTATCCTCCCCTCGGATGCTTGATTCTCAAGTTTCACTTTCATATAGTCATCATGTGCACCAGTGCGCTTTGGTTTTACTGGTGGAGGAGGCTGACTTACAGGTGAGTGAACAATTGATGGATTTTCATTTGATTCTTTAATTAAATGCTTTTCTTTTGACTTCTCATTCACTGATTTTTGCCTCACAGGCGGTCGAGGTGGTAAAGGTTTCCCTTGTGAGTTGAGTTTAGCATTGTCTGAATTTCCCCCACTAAAAGACCTTTCTCTTAGAGGGGGAGGTGGTTTAACGGGTTTAGATGGGGACAAGGTTCCTTGTGCAAGAGATGCATTATTATTAGTACTTCCTACACCTTCAAACATTTTAGATCTTTCAAAAACACTAACAGGTCTATGAGTTTCCTCTGTATTTGGCACATCCAAATCAGGTGTCCCGGACTTTTTTTCCCATATTTTAGAATACACATGATCATCTCTTAAATTTTTCTCTGGACTATGCTTTCTAATGGCCACTGGAGATTTCTTCTCTGGAACCCTACTTGGTGAGTTACCGAACTTTCTGGCTGGACTAGGACTTTTAATTTTTGGTTTGAGAGGTACTTTAATGTTACCCTCACTAAATTTTCTAGGAGGATTTTGTTCAAATTGGTCTCTGACCTTTGACACACTGTAGGTATCATCTTCAGGTGGACTCAGTGCTACACTGGTGGCAATTTGTCCAAACTGTTTCACCTGTATACCAGAGATACCATGGTGGTCTATGTGTTTTCTAGGCGTAGGTTTGGGATGGTAGGAGCCACTTTCAGGGTTGGATGGTGAGACATGGCGTTGTGCTCGAATAGGTGATCTGCTAGCTCTATCTCCATGCTGAGTAGGGGAAATATGCTGTCTCCATCTAGAAGATGAAGATTCATTTTGTTCCATGTCCACTGTATCTAAAAAAAATGCAAAGTATCAATATAATATTTTTACAGAATATCAGATTTTTACAGATTTCACTTTAATACATAAGAATGTCACATGCCTCTCTGTACATTATTTAAGAAACATAAAGCAGCACCAATCAACAGCAGGCTTATTAAGATGATTACCTCAAATGAAACAATGCTCAGATATGGTGGGATGTGAACCCGCAGTAAAGGGAGGACATTTATCAAAGTCAGCAACCCTGTCCATTCAGAAACAAGGGCCTTATTAAATATTTCAACTTTAAATTATCATACACAATGTACATGTGACTATCCAACTTTATAATTAGTCAAGCTTAATAATCATTCACAAACTACAAATTAGTTATCAAAGAGGAAATAAAATACCTTTACATTTTATATTGTTATCCTGGAAGAATGCAGATAAATGATTATATACTAGTCCAGTTACAAGAATATATTGTTAAACAAATATTTCATGAAATGAAATACACTATGAAATACAACAATATTTATACTGGTAAACTTCCTGATCAAGATATAAACTTTGTTTTGAGACGATTGAAAGTCTGCCACTTTAGATAATGATACACACTAACACAGTCATGTATTTGTAAACTTTTCAAGTTTAAATCTCACAAGTACTTGCACAAAAATTGTTGGTTTTTATCAAATCAACCTTAAACAGCATATGCTTTAAACAGATGTCTATTGTTTTGTTTATCTCCACATAAAAACATATATTTATATTGTATCATCAAAATTGTGTGAATTATCATTATCAGTTATAATTTTCTCATTCATTCATAGATGGTTTTTCAAGTATAATAAGGATAACGTAACAATACAAATCTTAAGTGTGTACGCATGTTCTTGAATATCATGGTATTTATTCTGTTCCTTTTTCTCATTTAGTGTCTATAAAGAATATAAAGATTAGAATTGTAAGCCTCAGTGTTTATAACCTACTACACGTATTTTTTCAATTTGTTTCAAATTTGAGGTACTTTTATTAGACACTTTATTGCCTCATTTTTTCAGTTTTTGATGAAAATTTGTAACTCATTGAGAAAAAACATTTGAAATTATTCGCAAATATTTGATCACACAAAAATTATTTCTTTTTAGGCAAACTTTCTTCTGTCATTTGAAAATTTGTTCAAGCACTGAGATCAATTTTTCTCATTGCTTGTTGGTTTAAGTTTGGTCTAAACAAATCACAAATGTTTTAATGAAACAATATATGTGTTATTTACACAATAGGTTATTCATATAACAAAACAATGTTTCATAATATGACAAAGAAATGTGTGATCAGGTCCTTTATCAAACTTAAAAAAAATGGATATTTCCAATGTAATTATATAAATAATAAAGATATTAAACAACTGAACAGAACGATTACAATAACAGGCATATTCTTAACCTATAAACTTACTTATTTAATGAGTATTAAATTCAAGAATCATATTTTCACATATATTTTCGCACGCAAAAAGTCAACTTTTTGACACAAAAATATCCACTTATACAGTATTTATTTATCTAAATCTATCTGTACATATACCTGTGTTTGTGTCATCAGGTTCTGCTTCTCCAAGTTGTTCTGATATTGTGTTGTCCTGATCACATTGTTTTTCAAACATACGTTTAATGTTTTGCATCTGACCATGTGGTAAGCTGCGTATACTACCCTTTACAAGTTGATCTTCCATTCCATATACGTATAAAATGTACAGAAAGAATCTTCCATGCTAACCATGGTTACCAACTTTACATGTAATGTGGATTAACATCTCCTAAAACATGAAAAATTAAACAAATTATAGAAATACACCATGGAACTTAAACTTTCCGTAATTTAAAAGATCTGTAAAAATCAAGAAATGAGCCACGTCACGACAAAACCAACATAGTGCGTTTGCTACCAGCATGGATCCATACCAGCCTGTGCATCCGTGCAGTCTGATCAGGATCCATGCTGTTCGCTTACTAACCCTATTACAAGTAGAGAAACTGATAGCGAACAGCATGGATCCTGATCAGACTGCGCGGATGCGCAGGCTGGTCTGGATCCATGCTAGTCGCAAACGCACTTGGTTTTGTCGTGACGTGGCTCAAATACTTATAAGTAGTTATACCAATGCCCATGATAGGATCAATTGATAATGTGTTCTGAGCAGAGATATTTTTTTAGTTTGTTTCCTATAAAAGTCAAAGTATTTCATTTAAGACAAAATGACCCCTAGCTTGACCATTTTTATCCCAATGACTGTTTTAATCATATATTTTATATTTACTTTTACGGCTTAATTCTTTATAATTATGAGGAATGATGAACATTGAATGTTGAACATTCCTCATGCATTTGTAATTATAAAGTATTAAGTAATAAAGGCAAGTATATATTAACATTAACGGAAGTTTACTAGTATGTACTTAATGACACATGTATCAAATAGAAAATAAATATTTGTTTTATATGTTTTGTTCATTTCATAGCAAACCTAGGACAAATTCTGATGGCACTATTTGTAATATTTCGATTTGCCCCACTAACAATTCGTTCCACTTTAACGATGATTTGACCCACTTAATATTAAACATTTTTTTATTCATTTGGATTGAAAAATATTGATGGTTTTGGTATATTTTGCTTTTTTTGGTATACTTTTTATAGATAGCATTTGATTTAGAGATAGATTAAGAAAAATAAAGGTTTAACAGAACTAACAATTACTTACCTCATTTGTATATTCTTTATTTAACTTTCAGAGTTATAAGAATTAAATTAGATTAATGTTATAAAAAAGTGATATAAATTGTTTAATTTAAACATACCAAATTTTATTTGTTACTGAATGCAGATTGCTATACATTGTTGAGAATGGTATTTTGTAATATAATGTATGCTAAAATATATATTATGTTGTTTTTTTTAAACTAGAAATTTGTTATTTATAAAGTAACTGAAGGCCTTAAAATAAAAAAGGATGTACATAGTACAATGTATTTCAATGCATAGCACCAATTAGAAAAGCTTATCTTTTTCAGTAAATACAAAGAATATATATCTTACTTAAACATTCTTGAAGGAAAAAGATTAAGAACATGGTTACATGATGATTACAGAAGTGGGGCGAATTTTCACTGAACTAGGACAAATCGTTACCAGTTTTGACATTGATACACCAACATTAACAAGAGCTGTCGGTAGGACAGCAACGCTCGACTATTCTTAGTGCTTGATTGTAAAAAAAAATGCTTGATACAGTTACAGGTTGGGGTAATGATGGTGAACAAGTGTGCAAAGTTTCAAAGCCATATGTCAATTCACTTTGAAAATATTTGAGGTATTACAAAAACTTTAACGTAAATTCTAAGTCCAAAAAGGGGCATAATTCTGTCAAAATGCTTGATACAGTTACATCCTCCTGTTTACAGGTTGGAGTAATGATGGTGAACAAGTGTGCAAAGTTTCAAAGCCATATATCAATGGACTTTGAAAATATTTGAGGTATTACAAAAACTTTAACATAAATTCTAAGTCGAAAAAAGGGGCATAATTCTGTCAAAATGATTGATACAGTTACTTCCTCCTGTTAACGGGTTGGGATAATGATGGTGAACAAGTGTGCAAAGTTTAAAAGCCATAGGTCAATGGACTTTGAAAATATTTGAACTATTACAAAAACTTTAACGTAAATTCTAAGTCAAAAAGGGGGCATAATTCTGTCAAAATGCTTGATACAGTTACCTCCTCCTGTTTACAGGTTGGGGTAATGATGGTGAACAAGTGTGCAAAGTTTCAAAGCCATATGTCAATGGACTTTGAAAATATTTGAACTATTACCAAAACTTTTACGTAAATTCTAAGTCGAAAAAGGGGCATAATTCTGTCAAAATGCTTGACACAGTTACCTCCTCCTGTTCACAGGTTGGGGTAATGATGGTGAACAAGTGTGCAAAGTTTCAAAGCCATATGTCAATGGACTTTGAAAATATTTAAACTATTACAAAAACTTTAACATAAGTGGTTACGCCGACGCCGACGCTCGGGTGACTACAATAGCTCTACTTATTCTTATCGAATAGTCAAGCTAAAAATGATCAATTTCTGTTTTTAAAGATAGATACAGAGAACATTTTATTTCGAAATGTTACAAAAACATTTAACCTTACCATTTCTTAATTTTGATCATTTAAAGGTAAAAGTGGGGCAAATTGTAACTAATATTTGTACATATGTTATTTGTACCTGGTCCCTGAATAACTTTTTAAAAATCAAACATTTAAATGGCCTTAATTTCTAATGTACAAAAAAAAATCAGGTTTGATCCAAAAACAGATACTTTTTCAAAAAAAGTTTTTTGCCCTAAATAAGACAAATATACTTGCTAACTCACTGGTGTACAAATTTTACAGTCCTTTCATATTTCAAGTGTCTGAACAAGAATTTTCTGAACATTTTCTATATTAATGGCATTTAAATTATAGTCACTTGTAGCGCTTAATGAGCGATCAACTGTCAGTTGAACAACATATCAACATAAGCCAAGATCGCTTTTCCAGTGGGTTGTTGCTTGTTCCCTTATACACCCTTAAACATGTATAATTATGTATTATAATATCTCTTGATCATGCCAAAATTTAAACCAATCTCTGGGAAGTAAATGTAGTAGGGTAAATTCTGGTAAATACGGACAATTCGGTAAATACGGACGCGAGTAACATACGTATCATCATCGTCAGCGCTTGACCATCCGTCTTGTCTATTAATGCCTATATCACTTCTTTTAATATTCGTGTTTGAACATATCTAACAGTGATAACGTCATAAGGTATGTATGACTTCATATCCTTTCTTTAAACCAATCATCTACGCTTCTAGGCTATTTTTATCAACATTTAAATCGAAGGTATTCCAGTCTCCTTGGTTTTGAGGTCTTGGTTTTGAATGTATTGTATAGCCTTCTCTTTAAGTTAAATAGATTTTTCGTAAATAACATTTATTTTTTGAAAAATGAACTTGCACAAGACATTTTATGATTAACTAAATAAATATTTGTAAAAAATAAATTGTCCGTATTTTTCCTACGACTTTTTTTTCAGTACTGAAAATACGGACAACCTGATCGAAGAGATTCAATTTAAAAAAATAAAGACATTTTCTCCAGATTCATTATTCTAATGCACAAAACTGACAATATTTTATAACAATAAACAACTACTCTTTGAAAATAAGTGTAATCTATTTCATAATCATTGCACACACGCTGAATTTCAAACCTGATCCTAAATATGGGCCATAATTACAAGGCCACTTCATCATGTTAAATTTATGCCATTTAATCTGTTTCTTTTTAATGTGTAAACCTCTAATATCTCAGCCTGTCAAAAGTACATAATTATTTTCCTTTGCTCTCCCCTCTTTGACAATTTTCATTATATTATTATATTTTTTCATTATCCCAATCATTCCTTCTTTTTCCCGATGACTAAAAAGTATACTTTATATAAATAAAACTATGAGATATGATCAAACGTAACTAGAAAAAAAAAATTTCTAATACTCTAAGAAATTTTCTATTGAATATGTGCCCCATATTAAAAATAGCCTTCTATACGGGAAACAACCTACTGTTAGAGTATAGACTATAATAAACAGTGTTGCCTCCCTTGGTTAGAAAAAATTTGCCGTGGGTTTCCCATTTTCTGTCATTTTTGCTTTTATTTCAATATCTGTTGATTAAAAATGACAACAACACATAGTTCTAGCTTTTATATATTGACTATTATGAATTTTGAATGATTATTGGCGACTTTTGAAAAGTCATCTGTGTTCGCTGGCAAAGGGGGGAAACTTGTCATAATTTGTGCCTAATGGAGTTATCCTTGCATACGTGCAACAGTAGCACGTGAAATCCCCCATGCGAAAAATGTAAACATACCTGCTTGTAAAATCTAAAGGTGAGAACGATTATGTCTAATGTTTATTTAAGACTGAAGAAATTCTGTCGAATGTCCGCATTTTCAGTACTGTGTCCCTATTTTCCAGTTTCTACATGGAGCATAAAAAATAGTAATACCGCAACAATTTGGTCCAGAAACGTATTGGTTCAGATAATAATGACCGAGGAATATGTTTTTACAAATACTTACTCAACGAATAACAGATAATGTAACTCTTCTGCCTATCAGAAAGCTTCTACGGAACGTCATTCAAAATATGTCCGTATTTACCAGGATTTACCCTACACACTGTACATGTAGTTTCAACTAATTAGTTCAACATTAGTTCTGGCTTCCAAAACTTTATAAGCCGCTTTTTAACATTTTTGTTTTTCATCAGATGCGGCATCTCACGTCATGTCATATATATAAACGGGTACGCTGAAGACCTTAAGCTAGTTCAACATGTCCCATTTGAAGCAAACTGTAGAGGACAACAAAATTAAACCTTTGTTTTGCAATATCGTATTGCCAAACCGTTGAAACGTTATGATTAAATCTGGTAAAAAAAGAAAGTAAGAATAAATAATGATACCTAGATAGCGGGTATTATATTAATCAAAATATACAACTTAATGATACTAGAGTTCAGTTGTAAATCTTCAGACTTTTAAAACAAAAACCGTCTTTTTTTGTTTTATATTCCAGGAAAATACATTCTTTACTTATATGAGTTTGGATATCTATAAATAAAGATGATTTACATATATGCAATGCCGAAACCAAAAGTATTGGTATGGAAAATCACGACAACATCTATTTTCAATTTCATTTCACTTCCTCATTTCCAGTGGAGATATTTACATCAACACCGGTGATGTTACATCCGGTCTTTTACTTCCTGTCTTGAAAATGGTAACGTACTTACATTATTGTTAATAAAAAATCTGCACTAATCGTCTTCATTTTCGAAATTATAAAGTCAATGAAATTGTAGTTAGTAAGATTATAGAATTGTTCATCATTTAATCACGAGTGAATGATACTGATTGTAGAATATTGTCCGCATTTCCTCTTGTAAAATGAGATCTGTTAGCGTTTTCCTTTAATTTGTTTACATTCGTTATGACTTTTTCAGACCACAAAGAACAAGAAGACCAGAAAGTTGCGTGGTCATGTCAGCCACGGACATGGTCGCATAGGTAAAATTTTCTTTAATTAGATTAGATAGAAATTATTCTTTTACTTTCAAATAATGGGCTATTTGCTGCCTGGCATGTAACGATAACTACACGTTTTATCAAGTTAAGTATATTGTCAGTTGGCAACATATGAAACACAAGTTGGTGCATTTAATAATGCATCTGTGTTGTAAACGAGCATTTGCATAATTTAATTCGCCGAGAACGAACAGAAGTTTCACTCAGACACTTGGGGTGTGGAGCTTAAAATGCCTTTAAAATCCAAATAAAATGTATATTTGTCAATCCCAGCACATTTACATATCGATACAAGCTAAAAATAATTTTAATATACCTCTCTATTTTGGCTTAGAAGAGAAGTCATCTTTATTTTTCTAGTTTTCTTGGTTAACTTAAACTTTTAAACTCCGTTTTCAACTGTCAGTGACAAGAATAACAGAAAAAACAAACTTTCTACTAGTTTGTAGAATTTGTTATGTGTAATACAAGCATGCATGATCCCAATTTATAACACATATTTAAATGTTTTTCATTGTATTTACTGTCAGGCGATATATCGTCGATATTTGTCTATTGATACAAAATTTTCCATCAATGACAGCCCTAATATAAGCCGTTTTGAAAATTTTTCATATTTCAACGTCTATAATAATACACAAGATAAAAATGTTCATCGGAAAAAATCCGCACACCTACCGTCAACATCACCATGTATTTTATTGCATTTCCAATATTTTTACACAATCCTTTGGTCCATCGACACAGAAGATATAATTCTTCACAATGATGATCAATTTTAAACTTTTAAAATACATGGTGATGTTGACTGTAGGTGTGCGGATTTTTTCCGGTGAACATTTTTATCTTGTGTATTATTACAGACGTTGAAATATGAAAAATTTTCAAAACTGCTTATATTAAGTTTTTTTGATATAATATATGATCAGTATGTACCGCCTCCATGGTCGAGGGGTTAGAGTCGATGACTTCTAATCTAGTTACCTCTCTGGCGTGGGTTCGATCCCCGGAGATGCTTTGGTAGTTTAGCACAGAGGAAGGTAGTCTAGTACTGGTGTAACTCTCCAGGAACGATGGATGGTTAGGAAACTACCCGCCTATATGACTGAAATACTGTTGGGAAAAGACGTAAAAAATCAAACAAACAATACATGTGCTGGGATTGACAAATATACATTTTATTTGGATTTTAAAGGCATTTTTAGCTCCACACCCCAAGTGTCAGTATGTCACAATTGTAAAGTCATTCTTAAGTAAATCATATAAAGCTATATATCAAATTGCAGCTAAATGAAATAACTAGACGTTGCCATTAACATTTCATTATTTTCGACATAGCGATATTTCAGATGGAATATTGTATTTTTGCTATATAAACGCAAATCAAACCATGTCATTGTACCAACCCACAATAAATCAATAAAAAAAATTATAAAAAAACACCGCCTGAAATTGATTTTCAAAATGTTTTATTACATCTGCAAACAACATTTCTGAATGTGAAAATGAAAGTTGAAATGACTTTTGCAGGGCTAGAATTTCATGATATTTACGGACAGTATGAATTTTTGGACGATCCATAATTTTACAGATTTTCTTATCTGTAAATGTACAGACATAGTAAGAAAATAGTAGAAATTGCATTAAAACTTAAAACGGCAGGTTAAAATGAATATGGTTACTTATTATATGATTAAATGTTTCAGTATGGCAAGATCCAGAACAATTTGATGACTTTAAATTTTCACTTTTAACAAAGATTTTTTAATATCATACAAAGATGAAACTCGCCCCATTAACTTTGTAAATATAAACAATCAATAAAACAACTTTTCTTTATTGTAAAACTAAAAACAGCAAATTTAACATTGAATATCTGTAAATTTATGGATTGAAAAATCTTTAAATTTCAAGACTATCTAAATATTTATATCATGAAATCCTAGACCTGATCAGCATCCATTGGCTATCACGTGACCGATTTGAAACAGATTATTTCATTGGTTAATTAAAAAACAAAGCTGACCTGGGTCACTTGGTAAAAAATCAAACAAAACCTTATTGCTGAAATTTGATTTCCCTGATTGTAGTTCATAATCTTGATAAAACAGGATGGCTAAAATCAGCATAATCTTGATGAAACAGGATGGCTAAAATCAGCATAATCTTGATGAAACAGGATGGCTAAAATCAGCAGTTTTCAGACTGTCAATTATTATGAATAAGATTCCTTGTCATTTACTTGCAATGTTTACTTTTATGACAGTTGTACTATGTAACAATTTCAGGTAAACATCGAAAGCATCCAGGTGGTCGTGGTAATGCTGGTGGTCAGCATCATCACAGAATTAATTTTGATAAATAGTAAGTATTGATACAAATTTTTTTTAATATAATCTAAACAAAAACGATGTATTTAAAGAGTTTTTTCTGTAATTGCTAGTGATCATATAGTTTATACAGAATTTGCTTTAGTTTGTTTTGTAGGAAGCTGGAAGTTTAGTCTTTAGACACACTCTTAAAATTTTGTTCCTGAAAACAATAAGTGTAAAGTTTATTCCTCAGGTTACTTTCTCAGGCTAGCGCCCGGTAGGGTTTTAACCCATACAGACCGTAATTCTTTTCCTAAGATTCAAAGGCACATGTCGCCTTGGAAATGAATAAGATGTTTCTTTTGAAGAAAAGGCAATCATGTGTTTTAAATAGGAATAAGATCTTGTAAGATAGTTATCAAATGAAAAAATACCATTGAAAGTGTAATATCTTGTAATATTTTGATAAATGGGCCAATGTATGTTGTTTCAAGCACATTTTTGACGCCTTTATTTTCATTTTGTGGGCAGAGTGGTTTAGGTCATCGGCCTTAAATCACTTTCTCCTTACTGCTGTAGGTTTGCATAACACCAGGGTCTTTGAATTCTTTTATGTGAGGAAGTTAACCTGCAAGCTTATGGAATTTTGGATGTTCCACGCAGGCGTTTGTTTGTGTCTGAAATAATGCATTGAAACGTATGTGAGGTTTCTCCACCATTAAAGCTGGAAAGTGGCTATATGACTTGTGATAAAAAAGGAACTATGTACAATTACATAATGCCTTCATTGACAATTATATTGATTTACTTATTTTGTTTTTCAGCCATCCAGGTTATTTTGGAAAGGTTGGTATGAGATACTTCCACAAGACCAACAATAAGTTTTACTGTCCAACAATGAATGTTGATAAAATTTGGTCACTTGTAACTGAGCAGACAAGAGAAAAATATGCCAAGGAACCAAGCAAAGCTCCTGTCATTGACTGTGTCAGAGCAGTAAGTCTGATTTCATTTACAATTTATGTTGGCATACCTGAACATGTTGGGGCGTCCATGGCCGAGTGATTAAGGTCGTTGACTTGAAACCACTTGACAGTCACCACTGTGGTTATGAATACCGATAGGGACTTTGGATTCTCTATATTGTGAGGAAGCTGTCCAGCTAGCTTACGGAACATCGGTGGTTCTGCTCATGTGCCTGTTGGTGCCTGAAATAATGTACGGAAGGGCACCTGAGGTCTTCCTCCACCAGTAAAGCTGGAACGTCGCCATATGACCTATACTGTGTTTGACGTAAAACCCAAACAAACAAACAAAACCTGTACATGTATTTTTGATGCTTTTTGCAAGAACACAGATTAAAATTATTGTATTCTCCTCCAGATCAAGGTAAAGGCCCTTTTGTCTGCAGAAGAATAACATTTTTTCCTATAGATAAAGGTAAAGGCTGCCACTGTCCTCATTTTCTTTTGACTTTAAGAATACCATTTATCTTTTCATCCATGATGATGTCATATCCCTGCCAGATAAAAGACTAGTCAGACATTATTTTAAAAAGTGTTAACTTCATTTTTGGAAACTTTGATACATTTTGTCCATGATGTAACAAGTTATCCCTGTCATACAAAAGACATGGTGAAAACAGCACGTCAGACTGAGACATTATGGGGAAGATAATTATTATTTGACAGAAGCAGTGTTTTTTTTCCTTATATAACTGATACCAGAAAACGGCACCGTTCCAAGTAAAAAATAGACAACAAATTTCCCAATTCATGACTGATAAATTCCCAAAATAACACTGAAAATTTCCTTAAAAAATCGGCAAATTTAAAGGTAAACAAAAACAGAAATGCCATTGATAAGTGATAAAAACCAAGTATAACCACATGAGTGATATTCGTACCCAGTTAATTTCGTACTTTTAGTGTTTCACACCTTAACATTATTTATGTACAATTGTTATGATTATCAATTTTTTTTTCAACCTCAAGAGGCAAAAATAATCATTAAAGTTAATAATACATGGTTTTTAAGTGTTTATTATGCATAATTTTCATGTCTCCCTGGATGAAAGAAATTCCCAAAGAATATTTTGCATCTTATGTAAAATTCCCAATTTGAGTCAAACCGATGGATTTTTTTCCCAATCCGTGCGGTACCGGCACCATTCCCAAAGTAGGGGAAAAAACACTGCAGAAGACTGAGTTTATTTTTGTCCATGATGTAACAAGTTATCCCTGTCATACAATAGACATGGTGAGAACAGCACGTCAGACTGAGAGACAAATTTAAACAAAATATCCCTCATACTTTATTTACATCAATATATATTTGAACTGATGGACTTAAAGAAATCATAAGTTTTTCCGACCAAATAATTGTTTAAGCATTTCCATACTTCACTCCCACAGAGAGGGTATATAATTATTTCAGTAAACAATGCTTGAGCTTTTTGCCTTTATGTGACAAGTTTTCCTTGACATACAAAAGACATGGTGATAATCAGCAAAGAATCAGCTTTTAAAGATTTAAGGAGCATGCCTGTATAACAAAATACTTTACATTATGCAAAGTGTTAAAATAGTGTCTGTTTATCATATAGTGAGTTAATGCTAGCCTAAGGCACATTATTTATATAATGTGCCAAAATTTTCAGAAAAAGTCCTTGCTCTGTAAGTTGCTTGTACAGAAATTTGTTGATTGAAATGTTAAATTCAGCCATATTTTGCATATTAAACACTTGTCAAAAGACCATTAGTATTAATTGATATATTCTATGGAAGTTTTTTAAGAATTTATAATTATAGTCACCTGAAGTCATCCTGATGATATTGTTGTCTATGATGTAACAAGTTATCCCTGTCATACAAAGACATGGTGAAAAAAGCACGTCAGACTGAGACAATAAACTGGAGAGTGCTTTGATACTCCGATTGAAACATTAAAGGAACTTAGAAAATTTGTTATTTCTGATTCACATTTTCATAAAATAATTCATAATAGAAGGAGCATCGAAATACAAGGCTATCTGATTTGTACGATGGGGCATAGTCTTAAAACTGTGATACTAATATAATTGTATGCTAACTTGATTAAAGATATATTTAATGTTTCAAAAGTGTCGAGTCAGGAAATCTCAAACATTTAGAATTATGTGTTATACTTGACATCTTAAGTTATTTCTGGTCATAATTACTATTTTGTTTTTACAATGTTAGCATTTATCTGTCTGATGGATAAACAACAATTGAAAAGTTTGTTGTAAGTCCAATTTCTGGTTGTCTTGAAATTTTTTGGCCTATATCAGATTGGATTGCCTCATGTTTTTGATCCACAGTCTCAAGTGACTCATTATGAAGATACTATTTAAATATTGTTGTTGTTTTGCTAATGATGTAACAAGTTATCCCTGTCATACTATAGACATGGTGAAAACAGCACGTCAGACTGAGGCAAAACATGGTTTTGAAGACCTAAGACTTGATTTTTTTGTCTTCTTTTTACCAGTATGTAACAAGCTATCTTTGTTATACAAACAGCATGTGAAACTAAGATATTTTATCCTGCTACTGTCTATATCATCAGCTGGATAAAGCCTTGCCGGATAAAATTATCTATCTCCAGTCATTATGTCACATGATGACGTCAACTGTTAGACAGCAAAACAAAACTACATACTGTATCGGGGTAAAGTAAGAATGAAACCATTTAGTTATTCTAAAAACATGATTAAAAGCAGTATAAATCAAATACATTGTTGATGTCGGGATGGAGAAGGTTTATCCGGTTTGCTGCAAAAGTGAATCCTGGCTCGCTAAAGCTCGCCAAGATACACTTTCTCGCTCACCAGATAAACCTTCTCCATCCCAACATCAACCATGCATTCTATGTATTTTAAAGAAAAAAAATGAACCTCATACCAGATACTTTAAAATACTTTGTCCATGATGTAACAAGTTATCCCTGTCATACAAAAGACATGGTGAGAACAGCACGTCAGACTGAGACATTATGGGTAAGATAATTATTTGACAGAAGACCAGACTTCCGGAAATACGTCTGTCCGATGGACATGTCTGATAAATTTTGATCTGGTCCGACGAGTTTTTATTCCGGATCGGTCCGACTGTCCGGCTTTTATCCAAGCCGCATGTATACAAAATGGCGTCGCTAAAGGTGCCAAACCTTGGAAAAATAAAAAATCTACGTGAGAGGAACAGGCGAACAGCAGTAAAAGGATAAAAAGAATAGACCTGAGACAAAATTTAATGAAAAATAGAAGCAAGACAGTGAATTGTTGGTGTATGATAGGGAGGAGATGAAAATGCGCTGTAAGGAATGTGCCGATTTTTACGGCGAAAAAATTAAAAACAAAAAGTGTCTTAGAAATACAAACACAAGTTATTCTTTGATTTTGATCAATTTTATTTGGTCCGACAGATTTCGTTTCGGTCCGACGGATTTTCATGGTTTGTCAGACCGAATGTCTGACAGTTTTTTTCCACTTTCGGGAAGTCTGGAAGACTGGTTTATTTTTGTCCATGCATTCTAACAAGTTATACCTGTCATACAAAAGACATTGTGAGAACAGCACGTCAGACTGAGACATTATGGGGAAGATAATTATTTGACAGAAGACTGGTTTATTTTTGTCCATGATGAAACAAGTTATCCCTGTCATACAAAAGACATGGTGAGAACAGCACGTCAGACTGAGACATTATGGGGAAAATAATTATTATTTGACAGAAGACTGGTTTATTTTTGTCCATGATGAAACAAGTTATCCCTGTCATACACTAGACATGGTGAGAACAGCACGTCAGACTGAGACATTATGGGGAAGATAATTATTATTTGACAGGAGACTGGTTTATTTTTGTCCATGATGAAACAAGTTATCCCTGTCATACAAAAGACATGGTGAGAACAGCACGTGAGACTGAGACATTATGGGGAAAATAATTATTATTTGACAGAAGACTGGTTTATTTTTGTCCATGATGTAACAAGTTATCCCTGTCATACAAAAGACATGGTGAGAACAGCACGTCAGACTGAGACATTATGGGGAAGATAATTATTATTTGACAGGAGACTGGTTTATTTTTGTCCATGATATAACAAGTTATCCCTGTCATACAAAAAGACATGGTGAGAACAGCACGTCAGACTGAGACATTATGGGGAAGATAATTATTATTTGACAGAAGACTGGTTTATTTTTGTCCATGATGAAACAAGTTATCCCTGTCATACAAAAGACATGGTGAGAACAGCACGTGAGACTGAGACATTATGGGGAAGATAATTATTTGACAGAAGACTGGTTTATTTTTGTCCATGATGAAACAAGTTATCCCTGTCATACAAAAGACATGGTGAGAACAGCACGTCAGACTGAGACATTATGGGGAAGATAATTATTATTTGACAGGAGACTGGTTTATTTTTGTCCATGATGAAACAAGTTATCCCTGTCATACAAAAGACATGGTGAGAATAGCACGTCAGACTGAGACATTATGGGGAAGATAATTATTATTTGACAGAAGACCGAGTTTATTTTTGTCCATGATGTAACAAGTTATCCCTGTCATACACTAGACATGGTGAGAACAGCACGTCAGACTGAGACATTATGGGGAAAATAATTATTATTTGACAGAAGACTGGTTTATTTTTGTCCATGATGAAACAAGTTATCCCTGTCATACAAAAGACATGGTGAGAACAGCACGTGAGACTGAGACATTATGGGGAAAATAATTATTTGACAGAAGACTGGTTTATTTTTGTCCATGATGAAACAAGTTATCCCTGTCATACAAAAGACATGGTGAGAACAGCACGTCAGACTGAGACAATATGGGGAAGATAATTATTTGACAGAAGACTGGTTTATTTTTGTCCATGATGAAACAAGTTATCCCTGTCATACACTAGACATGGTGAGAACAGCACGTCAGACTGAGACATTATGGGGAAGATAATTATTATTTGACAGGAGACTGGTTTATTTTTGTCCATGATGAAACAAGTTATCCCTGTCATACAAAAGACATGGTGAGAACAGCACGTCGGACTGAGACATTATGGGGAAGATAATTATTATTTGACAGAAGACTGGTTTATTTTTGTCCATGATGAAACAAGTTATCCCTGTCATACAATAGACATGGTGAGAACAGCACGTCAGACTGAGACATTATGGGGAAGATAATTATTATTTGACAGAAGACTGGTTTATTTTTGTCCATGATGAAACAAGTTATCCCTGTCATACAAAAGACATGGTGAGAACAGCACGTCAGACTGAGACAATATGGGGAAGATAATTATTTGACAGAAGACTGGTTTATTTTTGTCCATGATGAAACAAGTTATCCCTGTCATACAAAAGACATGGTGAGAATAGCACGTCAGACTGATACATTATGGGGAAGATAATTATTATTTGACAGAAGACTGGTTTATTTTTGTCCATGATGTAACAAGTTATCCCTGTCATACAAAAGACATGGTGAGAATAGCATGTCAGACTGATACATTATGGGGAAGATAATTATTATTTGACAGAAGACTGGTTTATTTTTGTCCATGATGTAACAAGTTATCCCTGTAATACAAAAGACATGGTGAGAATAGCACGTCAGACTGATACATTATGGGGAAGATAATTATTATTTGACAGAAGACTGGTTTATTTTTGTCCATGATGTAACAAGTTATCCCTGTCATACAAAAGACATGGTGAGAATAGCATGTCAGACTGATACATTATGGGGAAGATAATTATTATTTGACAGAAGACTGGTTTATTTTTGTCCATGATGTAACAAGTTATCCCTGTCATACAAAAGACATGGTGAGAACAGCACGTGAGACTGAGACATTATGGGGAAAATAATTATTATTTGACAGAAGACTGAGTTTATTTTTGTCCATGATGAAACAAGTTATCCCTGTCATACAATAGACATGGTGAGAACAGCACGTCAGACTGAGACATTATGGGGAAGATAATTATTATTTGACAGAAGACTGAGTTTTTTTTTGTCCATGATATAACAAGTTATCCCTGTCATACAAAAAGACATGGTGAGAACAGCACGTCAGACTGAGACATTATGGGGGGGGGGGAGATGAGCCAACTACAGACTTGAACACATATTGTCTTGTGATGTAACAAGTTATGCCTGTCATATATAGAAGGCATGATGAAATTGACAAGTCAGATTGTGATAGTTTAAGAAAAATATTTTTATAATCCAATCTCCCAACTCTGAATGTATTTTAATGCCTCAAAATCTACTGATTAGGATAACAAATTAACATATTGTTTTTGGTCTGTTGGTAAACTTCTAGACTTCAGACTTTGTTTACCTTGATGAGTTTCACTCACCAGTGACTACACCCCCTTAGAGGTAATTGGGTTTCATTGATTTACACAATACAACCTTACTGTATATTTATGCCTGTCATAGAACTGATTTACAATAAGGAAATGATTTAAACAGGCTTCATGCCAGTGTTGTTCGTGACACTTTAGGGGCATAATTAACTTATAGGGGAAAATACAGAAATTTTTGTCTGACAATAAAAATACTCTATGTGGAGTATTATATTTAATAGAAAGTTGTATGAGATCAACATTTTATTTTTGATGTCTAGGCAAATTGAAGATCTTCAGGACGAAGAAGAATTTGTAGAAATTCAATTGCTGTATTTTTATTTTCAGGGCTATTTCAAGGTTCTAGGAAAAGGACATTTGCCCAAGCAGCCATGTATTGTGAAGGCTAAATTTTTCAGTCAGTTGGCCCAGAAGAAAATTCGACAAGCTGGTGGAGCCTGCGTTTTGGTGGCTTAAATTGTATATACTGACAAATAAAGAGAAAAAACCCTATTTATTGTTGTCTTCACAGATTTCCACAATTTCTTTACGTTGGACTCATTTGAAAACTTTCATGTACATACTATTGATAATTCCCTGTGGCTAAAATCAACTTGTGTTGTGTTATGGATGTTATTTGGGGAGAGTGGTTAAGGTTGCATACATAAAACTACTAAAGCCACAGGGATTTGAGCTCTACTCCGGTGCCTGAAATTATGCACTGACCACGGAGAGGCACCTGCTTGCCTCTTCTACGGTCTTTGTCAACCAGTAAAGCTGAAAAGTCGTTATATGACATTTACAGTGTCAGTGCCACACAAAGAAAGTTGTTTGAGAATTAATGCAGTGTCAGTTTATTACTTTGTTTAATGCTGAATTATTCACCTAATATGAAATGACGGAATTCCAAAATACACTCGCTGGTAATCTTGGTAACCATAAAATGTTTAGTGCAAGACCAAGTGAATCCCTGTCTGAAATCTGTCTCGAGCCAAAAGGACAAATTCCACAATTCAAAGATGTATGACTTCATTTTCTGAATAGCAATGAACATTAACAATTTGCGCTTAACTTTTATCAGGAGAATGAATTTGATAAACGGCTGTCAAGTCAACATCTTAACGTTTAAACAGAAATTTCTTCATACATAATTCTATAGTATGGGGTAGTCTATGTTAAAGTTATACATGTAAATGAACTGTTGCCACATCAAGATTGATAACTAAAATTGGCTAATAATTGCCTCAATAGCTCAATCAGTAGATTACTAAGCTGATTAGTCGCAAGTCAAACGGGCTTCAAAAATATTTCGTCTTTTTATGCCCTCCCCCAGGGAGGGATAATATAATCTGTGCGTCGCCACTTCATTCGTGTCCGGACTGTTGTAACTTTGTCATACATCGAGGGATTTTGAAATAACTTGGCACAAATGTCGACCACATCAAGAAGATGTGTCACGTCCAAGAACCATGTCCTTGCCTCAAAGGTCACACTTTCATTTTGAAGTTTCACATTATCGCAATTTAGGTACACACATTCGTGTCGGACTTTTACTTTGTCAAGCATCGAATTATTTTAAAATAACCTGGCATAAATGTCTACCACATCAAGACGATGTGTCGTGTCCAAGAAGTACAACTCTACCTCAAAGTTCAAGGTCACACTGACATTATGAAGTTTCACATTATCACAATTAGAATTAATAGGTACACACAATCGTGTACGGGCTGTAACTTTGTCATGCATGGAAGGATTTTAAAATAACTTGGCATAGATGTTCGATGTGTCGCGACAAATACCCATGTCCCTACCTTCAAGGTCAAGGTCACACTTATAGTTTGAAGGTACTCATTCTCTCGAGAAGAGTAGATACACATTCATGTCCGGACTGTAACTTTGTCATGCATGGAAGGATTTTAAAATAACTTGGCACAAATGTCTACCACATCAAGACAATGTGTCGAGGCTAAGGCTCATGTCCATCTGTTCGTGTGTCCCCACTTACACAACAATTATGTTCAGACTGTAACTTTGTCATGCATCGAGGGATTTTGAAATAATTTGGCACAAATGTCTATCTCATAACAACATTTTGTCGTGTCCAGGAACCACGTCCCTTCTCCAAAGGTCAAGGTCACTTATATTTTGAAGATTCATGCTATCACAATTAGAGATTACAGGTACAATAATACAAAGAACAATAATCAGCAATTAGTTACTTTCATTCTCTTTTCTTTTCATAATACCTGCATGCTTAAGAAACCTTTTCGGGGGGAATTCGTCACTTGGATGACAGCTCTTGTTCTATCATCTTTTTCTTAGCTCCATTCTCACTTAGTGACAGACTGAACTGTTTAATAAAATGGCTGCTAGAGTTAAAATTAGAAAACAACAACATCTAATCAACATCTTAACCACTGGTTTTGTTTTTAGATAATTTTACACAAAAATTTCCTTGGTGACTGTGTACAAAAAATTTTCAGATTAAACTGTCTTGTGTTTTCAAATTGTGCTTCTGGAGTGAAAAGGGTCTACACTGACCTATTTCTCAGGTGAGCGATCCAGGGCCCTCTTATTTCATAAATGTAGGAATAATTTATAAAAAGCTTGGAGATACAAAAATACATTTGTGGTAGTTTAGTTTAATAATATTTTATTGTATAAATACATGTCTACACACAATTTACAAACATAATGAAGTGTACATACAAAAGGGTTGGGCCAAAAGTTCTAACAACATTATCGTGGGCCCTCCTGTACGAAATTTTGGCACGGATTCTGGGCGGAATTGGCACGGAATTGACACGGAATCAGTGATTTCTGGGCGGACCAGGAACGGAAACGCAAATTCCGTGTCATTCCGTCTCACAAGAAAAATATTTTGTTCACTTTTCTGGGCGGAAAACTAGAAAAATTCCGGCTGGAATTTTATTTGGAGCAGAATTTATACTTAAACATTTCATCTTGGACAGAATTTTCAACTTTGAAATTTTCTTGGGAAGGAATGGTCTTCACTATGGGCGGAATTCTATACTTAAACATTTTTCTTGAACAGAATTTCACATATAAGATGTCTAAATCATAATTGTTAACTCTTGTTTTTGCACTTGCAGGCATTGAAATTTTACCAACTGTACTTATTATTTTTGTTGAAGCATGATACTTGACCAATAATTACAGGTGTTTTTTTAGAATAAATAGGGTTATTTTTTAGACATTACAATATGCCTAAACAATGTTTTTAAATATTGTGGCAAATGATATATTGTCAGACTAATTTAGCAAATCTTTTTTGTACTGAAAAACAACTGTAATAAATCTTAGTGTAGAACTTGAAAAACATTCACCCCCAAAATGCTTAAGTTTATAAAAAGCAACATTGAAATAAGAATGCTGTTTAAATTTGAATATCAGGACAGCACAGGACAAGATAGTGTGCTTGCCATTTTAAACTCCAAGAAATCATGATTTTGTTATAAAGAAATAAACAAAACAAAAAACATTTGCATGAAAATAATCTCATATAGTATGCCCTTTTAATCTATATAGAATTGATCAGCCAATATGCCCAATAATTGCTTTTCATTTAGGTAAATAAATACTACAATATATATCCACCTGAGATTTTACACTACACAGATCAGAGCTCTGATAAAACTCAACTGACCAGCAGTTTCCCACCATCTTAAATTCTTTGCATGACTAATTTACTCCACTGGTCATTCCAACAGATCAGGCTGTTCCATTGAATTATTTTGGGGAGAGATAACATAATAAATTTCATATGCAGAATTGGTGAAGGACATTGCAATTTTTTTTTGTTCAGAAATTTGTAATGATTTTTTAAATTCTATATATATATCTATTTGTTACTTGAATTTTTGTTACATTCAATGAATGGAGGTTGAGATGATGAGTAAATTAACCCTGTTTTACATAATGATTGACCTGTCCATGCAGTTATACAGTTGTGAATTTTGAATTCTAAGATATCTGGGTCAGCAAAAAGAGTGCAAATAACAGAGTTTAACATTTTTGGAGATATACTTTTGTTTAAGATCTCAAAGTGTTTAAGTATTGGTATGATAAATAATTGTGAAAACATGGGACAAGGAGATGAACAACATAATCAGGTACATTTGTAATTATAAACCTTTAGTTACATTAATGCTGAAACAAGTTTTATATCAAACTATCTGAATGGTAGCAAACTAAAATTTGTAACAAGAGGTCAATGTTGTTTTTAGCTCGACTATTCGAAGAATATGAGAGCTATTGTAGTCGCCCCGGCGTCGGCGTCCGCGTCGGCGTCTGCGTTGGTTAAAGTTTTTTGTAAAGTCAAATATCTCAATTATTGCTTGAGATATTCAATTGAAACTTACAATACTTATTTATAGTAACTAGGTACATCAGATTGACAAGTTGGATAACTCTACCTACAATATTGACAGAATTATGCCCCTTTTTAACTTAGAAATTTTGGTTAAAGTTTTTTGTAAAGTCAATTATCTCAATTATTGCTTGAGATATTCAATTGAAACTTACAATACTTATTTATAGTAACAAGGTACATCAGATTGACAAGTTGGATAACTCTGCCTACAATATTGACAGAATTATGCCCCTTTTTGACTTAGAATTTATGTTAAAGTTTTTGTAATATCTCAAATATTTTCAAAGTCCATTGACATATGGCTTTGAAACTTTGCACACATGTTCACCATCATGACCCCAACCTGTAGACAGGAGGAGGTAACTGTATCCAGCATTTTGACAGAATTATGCCCCTTTTTCGACTTAGAATTTATGTTTTAAGTTTCTGTAATACCTCAAATATTTTCAAAGTCCATTGACATATGGCTTTGAAACATTGCACACTTGTTCGCCATTATAACCCCAACCTGTAGACAGGAGGAGGTAACTGTATCAAGCATTTTGACAGAATTATACCCCTTTTTCAACTTAGAATTTACTTTTAGGTTTGCATTCCACCTCAGATATTTTCATATTCTATTGAAAAAAGTTGATATTTTATACTTTGAGAACATAATAGGACTCTGTCCAAGGCCTATAACTTTAACATGGATTTAAAGAAAAATTTTGTCCTTTTGTCATTAGCTTTGAAAATTTTACATTATCAAGGCTCTTTTACTATCAAGCACTAAGAATAGTCGAGCGTTGCTGTCCTACTGACAGCTCTTGTTATATTTTCAACTTCATACATTTGTTTTTTTCTGATAATTGTTTTAAATCTTTATTACATGTTTAATGACTGTAAAATATAAATTATTCAATGATTCTATATAATAATTGTGTGTATTGTATAAATTAATACATGTAGCATGTAGTAGATCTTTTTCATTTCCTGGAAATTAAACAAATTAAGTCAATTTGATTAAATAGGAATAAATGGTACAAATTCAGAAGTTTTGTACAGCTGAACAGGGTCATTATAATCATTTATTATTTTACATGTATGTGAACGTGTTTCCAATGGAACAATCTAAAATTACATTTTACACTCATAATTTCAGACTGGGAGTTATTTTAGAGCTGACTGTGAGATGCAAGGTGTTTCAATAAAGATGTGCAGTATTAATCCTGAAAAGGTATATTTTTAAATCTCAATACTTTACTATTCAACATCTTTCCTTGAAAAAATACATAACCAGTAATAAATAGTGTCACAAATAAAGCAGTTAATTAATTCTTATACAGAGCAATTCTTAAACACTTGTGCACTGAAATAAGATACTGCGTAAGCTTTAGTATTTTTGAATATGCATAAGCACTGTTAATATTTAATACTGTTGAAACATAAAATTTGATATTATCAAAAAACATGAAATATAACTGCATATAATTATGCAATCAAACATAATTCATTACTACATTTTTGTTTAATTGATTATTAATTTTATTATTAAAGGTGAGCACAACCACAAGAAGTTCTTGGAAACACAGGCAGTGGACTTAAAACAGACATCAATTAAAGAAATAGTAATTTAAATAATCAGAAACATTTGAAACAAATTTATGATTGAAACACTCTCAGCAAAAAAAATTGCAAAAAAACAAAGTGTTGGATTCTAAGAAAACCAGTACCTACCAAAACCTGCAGGTAGAAAAAAACTGTTTGTGTTATAGTGAATGTATGGTATTCTATTCTGTATATGGACTAAAGGATATGTATTAAATTTTGTGAAAGAAAATTTAATGTGATACATTATTGATAATTTTATCCCAAAAAAATGTGATCATGTTAAACTCATAAAAATTCCGCCCCCATGAATTCTGTCCGAGAATTCCGCCCAGAATTTTGTTTGACAATTCCGTTCCGAAATTCCGCCCCGAGATTCCGCTTCAAAATTTTGCCCAAAGATTCCGCTTCAAAATTCCGCCCCAAGATTCCGCTTCAAAATTCCGCCCCAACTCATTTGCATATTTCGTCCCAATTCCGCCCAGAATCCGTCCCGTTTCCGCCTGGAATCCGGCCGGAATCCGTGCCAAAAGCAAATGGTTTAACACTTGTATATTTGGGGGAGAATTTAAATTTCTGGGCGGAATCTGCCATTGAATTCCGCCTCATTTCCGTGCAGAAAATTTCGTACAGGCTTCCCCGAGGTTTGTCAAAATACAGTTTATATTATTTTAATATGAAGTTCAGTTTTAAGTTATTTTCCAGGAACTAATTTTAACAAATGTTTTATTTGTTGATATAAACTGGGATGTACTATAACGTATCGTATGTTCCAGATATAAATAAATCGAATGAGAAATTAAAATTTCGAATGAAATCAGAAAATCACGCTTATATTTGGCTAATAGAAATTTATTTCACAGACTGGTCTGTTTCAGTGACATAATGAAAAGCTGCTGCCATTGTAAAAGCAATTTTGTATGTGTATATTTATTAAAGTGGGGCTGTTCTGGCCATATATAATAGCTTATTGCATCTTGAAGGAAATGGTCACAAAATGATGCCTGCAATAACTAAATAAATAACTAAATCGGAACTCCTCGGCGATTATTCATAATATTTATCCGAAAATTGACGGAAAAGGCCGGGAAGATGCGATTTCTTTTTTCCCCTAATTTCAATGCATTTGAAAGTTATGTTGCTAATCAAATGCACAAAGGTTAAAAAGTAATGCCAGTTTCTTTTTCAGAAAGTCTCAAACTTATTCTGTGAAAGTGTTGTTATTTCATGATAGATCTGACTTTTTCTTCTTTTCAAACATAATCATTATTTTCTAAGGAATTACATATAACGTGTAGATTCTGTTCATATATGGACGTTTAAAGATTAGCATTTGTCAAAAGTTTCCCATCAGGGAATGCTCCTAAATAATCAAAATCAAAGCTCTAAAAGAACATATATGTTGTTCGGGAAAACAACATTCAGGAAATGAATTTTCATGCAGACTTTGTTTTGTATTGGGTTGATTATTTTTACATATCAGAGTATGAATGTAATGATATCCATCCAGAAACATACCAAATATTTGTAAAACGAATATATTGAAATCAATTGAAACAGACAGCTTAAATCAATATAAAATGGGGCGAAAAATGGGGCGAAAAAGTGATGATTTTTTTAAATCAAATATCGACTGTTCTGCCATGGATATTACTGCGACATACAATATTCCAATTACAGAAAAACAAACGAACAATAGTTCGCCCTTCATGTACAACGTTAAGTGAAGGTACTCAGCATGATATTTCAGTACATATATGTCTTTTGTACCACATACTCGTACATGTGTTCAGGATAAAAATGTATTTATTTCTGTCAAAATTAATTTTTGAATTTTCTAAATCCATTCCACTTATCATTACGTCAATAGCAAGAATGCAGACACAAAACGTTGCAATGGCGCCATGTTGACTACCATCAGCACATATAACATTTGATACACCTCTGATTATTGTAAACATATACATGTATGTATAGAGCACAATTTTGTTGGAAAGATATAATTCCTCGAAGAAAGCAATAGTATATATATTTCCATGCAACAATATTTGATATAATAGACTAGTCTCTTAGTTCGACTTCCTCTTGGTAACATAAAGGACAAACTCCGCCAAGAATCACTCTGCAGTCGTCACAATAGACAGCTGTACAGGCAACATCATCCCTTACCCCAGTACATTTCGTCAGCTTTACTGAGTCAAATGTTCCCTTTGTCTCCTCACAGCTGCTGCACTCTAACTGCTGTCTCGATGGAACAAGATTGGCAATGCATTTGCAATTGGTTATGAGCCACGTAGAAAGCCGGAATTTTTTCTTCATAAGACTTTCTTTGTGAGCCGACCGTACTTCTTGACGGAGAAATCTTTGACGTGCGATACGTTTATGACGAATAGTCTTGTGCAAATATTCCATTCGTGAAGCTTCTTGTTCTGGATAGAAGTATGCAGCAATTTTCCTGCGCATGCGCATTGCATAACCATGAAACATCACGAAGCACAATGCCAGTAGATAGAGAAGGAAAAAGCCAACAACAGTGTCTCCAGATGTAGATGTTGGGTTTGGTAAACATTTGTCTAGGTTAACATGTACGTGGAATACATCATCTATGTTTATGCCTTTAAAAATTTCCTTATAAAAGCTGGCAATGAAACCCTTTCCTTTCACGTCAACGGTCAACCGGCGTTTATCATTCAGGTCTATTTCGACTTTACCAAACGTCTGGATAAGATTTAAGATATAATACAGAAAGAAATCGAACAAAACCACGACAAAACAAATAAAGGCATGTATAAAAACATGAGCGAGACCAGTTTTACAACTGCCAAGCTCTTGCTTTGTTAGTTTTAATGACCTTGTATGAATGTATTCTGATTTCTCTATTTTCTTAATAGGCAATAAAGATTCCTCGCCATTTTCCTCCTTTTTCTTGTCAAGTTCAATGAATTCTTTTGTTATGTATGTATTGTCATACCCGTCTTTTGCCATATAATTTTTGAAGTATAAGAACGCTTGGATAAACATTAAAAGCAAAGACAACGACAGCACATACTTCATTGTCGTAATGATAGTTTTTATTGTAAGAACGCTTGACTCAGTCTTCTCATCTATTCGTCGTTGTACCATGCTGATTTCTTCCGAGTTATTTCCATTGTCTTCAAAATTACCATCTACCTTAACTCCAGGGCTAAAATACTTTTCTGCTTGGCCAATAATGTCTCTAAAAACACGAAACAAAAGCTCTGATTATTCACTGTTCATTGATTTTTGAAAGATGGTTGCAATTTCTTATGATATAATAAAATTTAAGATTAAGCGCCTGCTTTTTCTGTATAATATAAATCATTAGATGAGAACCGTTCTCACCTACGATGTCCTCATGTTAACTTGTATTGGGATATCTAACAGTTATCAAATTATACAAAAGAATAAAACGCCTTGTATTGGTACTTTCAAATAATTCCTGCTTTCAGGAACCCGGCAAAGTTTGGTATTCCCGTGTAATCCCGGGGTACAAACAAACAATTATCGTTAAAGCCTCGCAGTGAACTACCGTTCATAACAGAGTTGCGGTTATCATCTGTAACTGCAAATGTTTGTTTGAACCGTGGGATAAGATGAGAAAACCAAACGTTTGACGTGTTTCGTAGTATCTCTATAAATGGTTAACTACTAGCTAACATGTTATATGCTACAATACTTCTAGGACAGCGAATGACGCGCTGTTAATTTTTTCATACGAATTTCTTTTTATTCATACACGTACTCTTGTCACACTGGAAAGAAATGCGTGTATTACATTAACTAAATTTTTTTTGCTTGAAAATGCTCAAAATTAACTGAATACATTATAATTTATTAAATATTCATTTACATGGACAATTATTAGTAAAAATAATGATTATCTGTATCCAAATATTACAATGTTCATAAAATAACCAGATTTCATTACCATGATATATTATAAACTGATTTTATGCTTACTTCATATCTTTTGTAACACCAGCAAAGTTGTCACTTATCTTTAATGGAGAGCATATATCAGTTAGAGTGTTCAAACTGCTGCACTGAGTAAGGCATTCCTCTCTGAAGTAAGCAAAAGAAATGTTAACCCTGTAGCACGCATACATTAGAAAACAATATATAAAATGGTGATAATGTTGTTGTTAATGATAATGATAAAATGATGTTTGTAATGATGATGATATTATATGATATGATAAAGATGAAAAAATGACGACGATGATAATGATGATGATGATGATGATGATGATGAATAACACTCATATTTTAAGGTTTATTATGCCTCAGAAACGAGCACTATTTCCCTGTCTGTATAAGGGCAAACAATAGTTAAATGCTTAACACATGAAAAAGTAGGGTAGAATGTGAAAGTATTTGTAATAAAAGTAGAATAAACATAAACAAAATAGTATTTTGACTTCCAAAATACTCGCTGTGACCTAACTATTTTTACTTTTTTCCAAATGGTTCAGGTTATTGACAGTGAGTAACCTTTTAAAAATAAGCGCAGTATATCAAAAATAAAAAGCTTTTGAGTAATAAAAATGTATTACTGTAATGGGGTTTATTATAATTGACGTATATTTCTTACAAAACAAAAGTAAAGAAAAGAAAAATAATAAAACGATAACATAGAAGGAATGCATCGTATTTAGAAGTAATGATAATTTTGATCGGATGCGACGGGAATTTTGTGAAAGATATTATTTATATGGATAAATTGACAAGTTTGTACATTTTTACTAGTTTAACATAAGTCAAATGTTTATACCTTAGATTTATAGGAAATGTCGGAAGTTCGTTACAGTCGTACAGTTTTATACATTCTTGATTAACTGTCTTTAGTGGGCTGGTGCATTCCTGAAAGTTAAAAAAATGCACGTGTGTTTAAAGTATATAGAATAAAATTTCTCACCGTTAACATTATATACTTGCTTTTCTTTCAAATCGGAATGTAGTATCATTATGTGCATAATATAGATACTAATATAAAATATTGAGAGATAACCCGAGGAAAATCAAATAACCAATCATTCTCTTTTTACACATTATACTAAAATACATTAAATTACCATTCTATATACCATATTGTTGTTCTGGTTAGGTTTACAGTTCTATTTATGCAGAATGACAGACACATCTAACAAAACATTTTTTTCTAAAAATAATTTGTTTTCATCAATATTGTTTAAAAGATATTATGATATTAATTAAGGTACATGTATAATTCTCAATTTTTACCAGAAATGTTTGGCAACTTTCTGTAATCAATTCCACATGTGGAATATGTATTGATTCAATTTTCTGCACTAGGAAATAAACACCAGGGAAAACAAATTACCTCATAGATTTTGTTCATACTTGTATCCACGACATTAAAGTCATTCTCCAGTGCATCAATGGCGTCTCTCAATTCCTTAAAGTCAACAAACATGCTGTTCTGGATGTTTTCTAGTGACTGTCTTTGTTGCTCTATATATTTTGCAACATCTCTTATAGGCTCTTTTGACTGCTGTAATAATATTCTGGATTGATTGGCAATTAGGTCAATCACACATGCCATGCTGTTTCCGATTTCCTTACCATTGTGTGTAATGTTTAGAATCGGCCCAGTTAATATACCAGCAAAAATAACCGAAAGAAGTAGTGTTCGTCCTTTTCCCGTTGTAAAGTTTGGAAAAACTAGAGCCATGATACATCTACAGATCGGAAAGAAAGCTAGCCCAATACAAATGAAAATAGTACTGACAGATGCGACGATTCCTGCAATAATACCACTGTATTCAAAATTACAGTATAACAATACGAATATCAGACTTCCGACAGCCAGACCCGAAAACACCCCAAAGACAGCTTTCATTCTTTTATTTTCTTCTCTTCCACTATTAAACAGCATTTCAGTGCTAGCAAATAGTTCGCCAAGTTTCCTGTTCTTCATCTTTTGAACGTTATCTTTAGAATTATCATCTTTGGCAAAGGTAACTGTGCTTGGTGATATATCATTTCCCTTCCCTGACTGCTGGTAAGAGCTTTCAAATGTGGACTCCTGCCAAGATGTTACGGATTCGGGAACACTCGTAGAATGGTGAACAGTCGGACGAAACGATAGCGCAGTTGAAGGCTGTGTGTTGCTCGGAGCCACATCTTCGCCCTGTCCATATTCTGTATAAATAACGATCAAAAGTCTGAAACATACTCCCAAATGATAAATATAAACCTTTGTAACAACCGTTGACAAAACTTGCATCAAGCGTCTAATCGTGTATCGCGACCCCTGTTACCAAATGATATCACCATATGACGCGAGCAACACAGAGGTCGCTTCGCTCTGGTCTTACTGTGTTTAACACATTACAAAATCGCGCCTATACCTAACACACTTCTACATAATTGCTTCTGCCCTTTGCAAGTTACTGGTCGGCGACTTCTTCTTCTATGTACATTCTCGTATTTATTGTTAACACTACTATACCATCAATACAGTTAACACATAACTCCTCACAATGACATATACAAAATTAACATGCTTGTTTGGTCCTGATACTATGCGCTATCACAAATCTCTTCAGCGATTAGACCACTCTTGTCTACTGGCACAACTGCAGATATTGGAACAGGTGATTAAGTAATCATGCCTGTAGATCGATTAGAATATCGTGAATTGACACAAGAAAATAAACGAACCACGATATCAATAAAACATATTCTTGTTTAAAAAACATACAAAATGTTACTGACTCATGTCCTTTAGTCTCTGACACAATTTTTGATGGAATACATCAAATCCATGAACAGTAAACCATATACGCATATCAATGAAGTCTCAATCTCCTCTTCGTTCCATGTGTACGTCCTAGATAATTGTTGAAACTTTTCAATACTAAGGATGTCGGAATGTATTCATCTTCCATATTTGAAGTGCGCCAAAACCTACATTTGAAAAATGAAATGATTATGAATTACTGTCCTCTATATCGATCACGTCAAATGATTACAACGATAGTACATCCTATCCTTCGTTCAACCTATAACATGACAAAATAACTGTATACCTTAAATGACTAAATTAAGTGATTAATATAAACCTTATATGTTTGATTTGCACAGCTGTATGTAACTCTATCCTCTCTTTCATAAAAAATACACACACTTACAGCAACGCAAATATAACACACGCCGAAAATATATCGTGTTGACTGAATACGACCGGTAGCCTACGAGGCTCACACTAAATCATGATCTTCTTATTCAATCCTGTTCAATAAATCTATTAAGGTTAGCTAAAACTACAATTCCACCGTACACCCATTAACAGCACTGATCTCTGCAGCAACTGATGTTAGACAAGCCTAATCGAATCCATAGTCACATAAGTTCCTAGTCCACCTCAAACTATCGTTTAAAGAGATTAAAACAAATATACCACATTTTATCGACGCACGTGTGCTACACACCAGTGTCTCGGTCTAATACTACCCACATAGCTTTCCGACCGAATGCTGCGTAACAAGATTAAGAATGAACTCTCGATTCCCCTGAGTGCTAACAGCTTCCTCACCCATGCGATATAACACCACTGAAAAGTACGACGACCAACGATATAATCCAAATCCTTTTTCAGCGCGATCATATCATACGCCACAACACAAACACCAACCACCAAATCTCTGGTTTCTCTTAAAAAAGACTCAGTTTGTTGCTCGCGACCAAATGCTTAGCGAACACGCCTCCAACATACAGCTGGCGCCGCCGACACTACTAAGCCCCAACACCACTCAGTTCCTCTCACTAACAAACATCTACACCTCCAATCTACAAACTCTTCGCATCTCTTTCACACTAAACTCATTCGCTATGATGCCACACTCAGGCTGTCTCAACTATTTTACCAATCTAGATACAATATATTGTTACACATCTTGTAAATCAAACACTAACAAATAAAGGACAAAGACATGATAAATTACTCAAATATTCATTCCATATTACATAAACTTAAAAAAAGCATTAATGGTCACAGGACATACACAGAATATAAAGGTAATTGGACCTTACTGTCACCGTCATCAACTTAATCCAAACTACATATCTAATACTGAGTACATCGCCGGTCACAGAAAAACAAAGCATACAACACACAGACACAAACAGAGACACAGCAACGAAACACTCAAACTACAACTACAGACAGGCAACACAGCAGAACACCACACACCACCACAACAAACATCCAAAAACCAATCCAACAACTCATAACACGCCTACTCCCAACATACAAAGAACAAGAAACCTAACACATCCAACAGCCAGAAAGCGAGCGAAACTGAATGTCATGCCCGCATATACAAGATATATTATTATATCATTATATATGTATGTCGTTGTATGAATCATTTTTGTTCTCAAAAGGCAAACGGAAACATTGGTTCAAGTACAACAGCGCGCAAACCTTGTATCAGAACCGATAATTGGAACGTGTTAGGAATGCGCGCCATCTTCCTTCAGCTTATAACAATTATCCCAAAAAACTAATAGAATAATCCAACTGCACACTACCTACAACGCATGATCTTTGATTTTTTTAAAGGGGGAAATTAAAACTCCCCCTCGCCCCTTTTTTTGTTCTTTGTTTTTTCTCTTGTCCTCTGTTTGCTGTTTACGCTCTGAAGAGATTTTTCTGCACAGTTGTAGTCTTTGCAAATACTTATCTCTGTAAACTCGGTCCCCTCTTCATTATCTATACGAGTCTCGCCGTTTCCAATGGCTTTAGCTACGCTTATCGCCTCCGCTGACACATTTGTTGCGATCATTTTGGGCGCGTTAAGGTCGAATTCGGATTGTGCAGCCATAAGGAGATTAACGTAAACTAGATCAGTGTTATTGTCAGCAGAACGTTTATTACGATTTGAACTTTTCAGAGTTGGAAAGCCGAAAACAATTACCCCTCTGTTGTACCAACCTGTCTTGCTTGATAATTGATCCGCAATATTTTCAGCAAATTTGTTTAAGTTAGTCACTACCATTTCCCTTTCTTGTCGAAATATCAGCTGTATTTTCACCATTCCAGTTGATAGTATATCAGCACCACAGGACGAAACAACATCCAGCATCTGTGTTAAGGTTGCCGTCGCGTCTTGAATTAGCGCACCCTTTACAGTCCAAAATATACGTGTCCAGTTACCCACACTAATATCACAGATGGATGGCTTTCCAAAATCCGGATGAAGATAGCAGGAAGGGTGAGAATCAAAGGCTGTTTGTTTAATGCTATCACATGTTGCCATTACATATGGTCTCAGGATGGGTACAAGGGCCTGACTTGTAGACATTTCGTTACAGCATGATCCACTTCTTGGTCCAATGCGAGTTAAACTCCTCTTTTAACTAGCGTCTACCATGATCAATCTCGTACTACCAAACACAATATACGACATCAACCATTCTACCTCCGCGTAGTCAAAGCGGGCATCTACGAACTGCCTCCGCTGCGTCTTACACCGTGAAACCGTTTCTCAGCAACAATAGCAAAAACCAAAACTGAACTCACAGTCCAGATCCATTACATTCTATAACTCTTTCTTATTAACGCCGTCAACTACTTCGATCTATCAGGTCGACTCACATCCATCTGACACATCTGTCGAAACACAAACAATACAACAAGACTTTGCACACATGTAAGCAGACAGAAATAATCTATTGGCATGTCTTATGACAGAAAATAACTGACTTTCGCCAAACCAGTCGTTAATCCATCATTTTGTTTCCCTTCTTCCCAATAATAAACTTCAAAAATGCAATAAAGAGACTTATAGAATAAGTTAAAAACTTTTCGATAGTGTTATTGAAAAAAAAGCCCGAATCTCTAATCACTGATAAAAACGAGTTTACCTAGCAAAAACCCCTTTTACGGTATATAGCAATCCTTATTTATAAAATAGTTTATCTCAGCCATCATCCTGAACACACAGCTACATGTTGCGTCGCCTCTAACATGCATAATCATGTTATCATTAACTATGTATATACATTCAATATATAATATACTGTCTATAATATACTGTATTATACTATAACACTATACCTATATATATAAAACCTTTATAACAGACAAAACGTGAATATTCAAACCAGTCTTATTGCAATAAACGATTTGTCGAATTGCCATGTCATTCATGTTCATTCTACCATCATAGCATATAGCAGCTATACTTCAATCACTTTACACTGCACTTTTACACAATATTACATTCAACAAAACTATACTCGTACACTACCTATATAAAAGAGATGATATGCTGGGGTGACTTATTATCATTTGATTCATATGAGAAAGACTTGTTTAATGCTACTTATATGCATCATCTTTCCTTAAACTTTCTCTTGAGTTTCATAACAGCTATTATATCAACCATTTGCAATCTTTAACTTAATACGATTGTTCCCACTTCATGTATATTACCTCAAAGGCGCCATTGCCTCTGTACCACTGCAGGGCGGACACGCACGCAAACTTTCGCAGCGGAGGGCGAACAAGGGCGCATTCAGCCCCAAGGCAAACAACTCTGCACCCACAGACAACCAACTGACGCCACACCAGCACCGGGCACCCTGCCGCCAGGACCGCACTCGTCCCGCTACAGACCACTACCGCTACTGCACAGAGCCTATGGCCGGAACGGCGGTGAGCTCTGGTTGCGCGGACCGACCAGAGACCAGACCCTACGACAACGGTGGCGGCCGCTCTTATCCTAGGCACCACGTCACTCTGAAACGCCCGCAGCCAACGACGAGCTGACCGGCCCCAGACGACACGACAGCACCAAATTCCCATAGCCGGTTAATGCTGCCACGACCGGTCTGTTCGTGCAGCGCTATCCATCATCTCCTCTTTCTCCCAACAGTACCAACCGAAACACAATCATCTAGAAGCCAACCAAGCCGCCCATGCCACTAGATTCCACTCGTCGGAGACTGGCGCATACGTAAATGAGAGCACGCCCCAGAGGTTGATAAAACAACGGCAAAGGCGATTACACAAATAAAACAACATTCATATTCCCAATCTCGTACATAAAGACTGATCTATATAGCATTCATAGTACGTTAATGGACCGGGATCGCCGCTTTACTGAATGCTATTGCCACGCGCAAAAAACTGTCTCATCACATGACGCATGACTATCTGAATAATTCTGGTAGATCCCTGTTAGCACATATCCAGATCCCAGCCAACTAATACCAACT